GTATGATAGACAGTATACTTAAGAGCTACAAGAATTTTGCCCCAAGAGTGTAACAATTATATGCTGTGCTTACTATATTAATCTGCAATGTTAAATGGGATTCTTGTAATGTTATTTGTGTATTTGTACTCACTGAATTTGTGCGCCCCTTGAGGGACTTGAAGTAGAGGGGGGTAGAAATAGCCTAAGCTACTCTATCCCTTTGAGATGTATTTCTTTCTTATCTCAATAAACGCACTTGAACTTGATTCACACTCGCTGTCTTTTCCTATCACCAATATATTTTGTGTATTTTGTCATTTTAAATCAAATAAAATGACATTACACACAAAGGGTTACAACATTGGTTACATGCATGGTACAAGGCTACTTGTCGCAGGTTGTTAAGTTCCTCCAGCTTCTCAGATGGAGGGCAGAAACCATGGATGCAGTGAGCATTTCCTCTCTGGATTGCCACACTAAGGCGCTGAAAGAGAAAACTGGCAGCTCTAGGGTCTCTAGTTGTTTCAATTAGCTTGGAACCCAGCTCCTTCAAAAAACTAGCAGGATTATATATATATAATATTTATTATATATATAATATTTATTATATATATAATATATATATTATAATAATTATATATATTTTAATTAATTATAAATATTAAAAGGGTCCCGGTAGTATAGTTAGATTCGTTCTCAATTCACACTCGAGAATTCCGGGTTCGAATCCCGGGCGAAACAAATTGTTGGGCGCATTTCTTGTCACCTAATGCAACTGTTCACCTAACAGCAAGCAGGTACCCAGGAGTTAGTCAGCTTGTGAGGTTGCATCCTGGGCGAGGCCAGTAATTCGACCTTGAGAGGGAACCTCGATATAAATTTAACGTGTATGAAACACTCTGGCTGCCTGTTCCCCGACACAATGAATTATTTATTATTAAGATGATAGTCTAAATTAGTTAGTATGTTAGTCTAAGTGTTTTTTTCCACACCTCACCTTGCCCGAAACGTATTGTATGTACTACCTCTATCTTTAAATCAAACAGAATGTTTGTACTGTAACTCTGCAACTATGTATGTACTTTTCCTAAATAAATTATTATTATTATTATTATTATTATTATTAAAATTACCAAGAGGTGCACTATCTTAAGATGGGCACGGAATGTTCCAAGTTGGGACGGGGCTGGCAGACATGTAAACAAGGACACGTCAACATTAGACCTTCTTAGTTTTGTTTATTTCTGCTAGGAAACACGCGGAGTGTCCAGAGGGGGGCAACAGCACAGATACAGGAGGCGACGGTGTAAGTGACACACACACATATCTTTCCTCGTCGACCACCTGTGGAGACTTGTCCTCGCTGAGAGTTGTAAGGGCTTTGGCTTACCATATATTGTGGCCTCGACGGGGACAGGAAGACAGTGGCTTGTGAACGCTTTCGTCATAATTCCAGAGCTCGTTTCTGCAGTTGTAGTTAGAATTATAGCACGATCTTTGTATATTTGGCTTCGGTGGGTTTGAGGGGTCCCGGTAGTTCATTTTGGTTCTTTCTCTACTCGTCTGTATAAATAAGTGTATAGGTTCGTTTGTTCAAAATCACTAATCTCCGAAAGTTCTTCACCGATTGCTTTGAAATTTTGACACAACGTTCCATTCGAATATGCGCATGTTTTTATATACCTACTATATAGATGCCACACCTGTGACAGGTAAAAACATTCGTTTTTTGAAAAACGGCGCCATGTGTTGAATGTAAGAGCAACACACGCTCTACTGAATATGGTACGATTCCATTTCAATGTTTCTCGATTTCAATGACATTGAATATTGATAGATTTTGATTTATTTTCATTTTAATTAAATTATTTTGTGACATTTTGTTGGAATTGAGCTGTGTTGTTTACTATACTGTTCATTTTGTGAATATAGTTTACTTTTTTTTTTCATTGTTTCTCATTTCATTTTTTAACTTTTTCTTATATTTCAGTGATGGGAACATCAGATCATTTGATGTTCCCAATTTTCTGATGGAAACATCAGATCATTTGGGAATGCATTGAATGAGGAAGTGGGGGAATGGTGGGAGGACGAGGGATGGGAGTGGTGGATGGTGGAGAGAACGAGGGGACAGGCGAGGGGGTAATGGTGGGGAGGATGAGGGGACGGGGGAGTTGGGGATGGTAGGGACGAGGGGACAGGGTAACGGAGCATGGTGAGGAGGACAAGGGGACGCGAGTGGGGGAGAACGAGGGGATGGGGGAGAGGGAGATGGTGGGGAGGATAAAGGGATGGTGGAGTAGGGAAATGGTTTGGAGGACGAGGGGACAGGGTAGTGGGGAATGGTTGGGAGGACGAGGGTATGGGGGAGTGAGGAATGCTTGGGAGGATGAGTGGACTGCGGAGGGGGAAATAATGGGGAGGACTGGAATCCGGGAAGGTTGCTGTGGCTGGGTACAGTTAGTAATTAATAATAATAATAATTTATTCTCAAGAAGGTACAATAGGTTGGTGAGATTACATATGACTTGTATTTTTACATTCAAGCAAAGCCACCAACACGCATAGCGTTTAGGGCAGGTCCTTGATCTAACAAGTCGGGTAAGGTGAAAAGGTACATTGTAGCAAGATTTTATATCAATAAATAACTACAATATAAGTTGACAGAGGTGATTACACTGGTAAGGATATATGTCTTAGGTACTAATATTGGGGAAGTGGTTAGTACAAGATACAGTGTGAGGTTGAAGCACAAGGTAGAAAACTATGCAGATGAAGTTAGGTGCTTTTTGGTTTTACTTTTGAACAGGAGATGGGTTGGACAATTTTTTAATTCATCAGAGAGTAAGTTCCAAAGACTGGACCCTTTTATTTCTATGGAGTGTTTGCACAGATTTAGTCAGACTCTGGGAATATCAAAGACATATTTATTATTTCTGGTGTGCTATTACACCTATCAAGGAAAAGTTTCAGATCAAGATTAACATTTATGAACAAGGTTTTGTACATGTAGATAGCACATGAGAATGTGTGGAGTGTGTGTGTTTAGCATGTTATGGGACTTAAACAGAGGGGCTGTGTGTTGTCAGAAGACAGTTTGTTATAGATTTTTGCTGGATGACGATGAGCTTGAAGTAATTTGCAGTGGTTGAACCCCATGCACAGATATTGTATGTAAGATAGGGATAGATTAGTGCATAGTATAATGGGAGGAGAGAAAAGTGGGGAACATAATATCTGATTTTAGAAAGTATACTGACCGTTTTTGAGCCTTTTTTTGGGGGGGGGCTATGTGTTGTATGTGGGTGCTGAAGTTCAGTCTCTTGTCTATATATAGGCCAAGGAACGTTCCATCATTTTTATTGGCAATGTTAACATTGTCTGTCTGAAGTTGAATTTGATTTGATGATTTACTACCACATAAAATGTAGTAGGTCTTTTCTATGTTTAGTGAGAGTTTGTTAGTTGACATCCATGAGAGGCCTTTTTTTTTTTAATTCATTGTTGATAATACTATTTAGTGTGTGGAGGTTGGGATCAGAATAAATGAAGGTAGTATTGTCAGCAAATAGTATAAGTTTAAGAATGTTAGAAACAGTTGGCAAATCATTGATGTACTTTATGTAAAAAATGGGAGAGGTCCTAAGATGCAGCCCTGTGGCACTCCTACTGTTAATGGTAGAGTTGGGGAGGTTATGTTATTGATGGCTACATACTGGTTTCTGTCACTGATAGGAATGAATATAGTTCAGAGCAAGGCCTTGGATACCATAGTGATGAAGTTTAAGTAAGAAGTAGTTATGGTTTATAGTATCAAAGGCCTTTCTCAGGTCAATGAAGAGGCCAATTGGGAACCTCTGTTCAACAATGTTGTCTGGATTAACATCCTCCAAATTGTTCAGTATTTCAAAAAGTTTCAATGCCCCCTGTCAACCTAATGTCCCTGTGCACCTAACAGTAAATAGGTACCTGGGAGTGAGTCAGCTTGTTGTTGGATTGTATCCTGGGGAGGGTCAGTAATTTGATCCTGGTGGGAGAGGGATCATTATATAATAATGTCCCGGTAGTACAGTACAGTCAGGTTAGTTCTCGATGCACAATCGAGAATTCTGGATTTGTATCCTGGGCAGGACAGAAATGGTTGCGCAGATTTCCTTTCACCTAATGCCTCTGTTCACCTAGCAGTAAGATTGATGTTTTCAATCCTAGACATTTTGCCATTTTCTTAATATACAAAATCTATAACTGATTGGTTTTGATTGCTATGTCTTTGAACAATTTGGAATTACTAACTACAAATCTGTATACCCCTCTCTCATTGGTAGCGCTGCCAAATGTGCAGCATTAAATTAACTTTTTTCCTGAATGATGAGATTATTGGACACTGGCGTTCATCCTTTGTCTCAACGTTCTGCTATAGCAGTATGTACAGCACTCCTCAATAAAAAGAAAACTTGCTGAGTGGTTTATCCTATAATTTATACCAAGAAACAACTGGGACTTGCTCACCTGTCTCCATTAAAATTATTGCCAAATAAAGGGATTAATATTTACCACCCTTCAAGGTTAATTATTTTGCCTTTTGAAAAGTGATGGGAATCTTTTTAAAAATAGTATTTAAACTTTTTAAATAGTGTTTTCCTTACTCACTGTGGAGTTGATTATATTGCTTATACAGTACGTGTTTCTAATGCGACTTAGGTGGGCACAATCTCTCGAGTAGTTGCAGGCGATGAGTCACAATAACGTGGCTAAAGTAAGTTGACCAGACCACACACTAGAAGGTGAAGGGACGACGACGTTTCTGTCCACCCTGAACCATTCTCAAGTCGATTGTGATGAGGAAGTAGAGACAGGCAATAAATAGGCAAGAGAGAGCTGAGGAGCAAAGTAAGGTGTAGTAGGGGGGATAGTAGTAATAATAAGGACTGCAGAGGGCCTATTGGCCCATACGAGGCAGCTCCTATTATAACCACCAAATGAGAAGGAGATAGTAATAGGAATGAAACGAGGATAGCAAGGGAGCGTAGAAGATGACAATGAACAGAAAAAGGGAGAAGAGAGAAAGAAAAGGAAAGAAAAAGAAAGATAAATGGAAGGGGTAAGCTTATGTTAGGTCTCGAGTAGTTGTACAGGCAGTATACCTCTCGGTTATTGCTTCCATTCTGAATCCCTCTTGGGTATGTACTTGTATTCAAGACAAATTCTTGCTATTACTGATTCTTTCCTTTAGCCACCTTCTTTTTGACCATAGTACAGTAATTGAGGTTGTTGGCTTCAACTGTATTGTCACCCTACAGATTCACTAACTTATTATTCTACCAATTATTCCTGAGTTACCTTGTCACTGCTGTTGCTTGATATCACTAACTTGTAGAAGAGTCTTGGGGATGAAGTGTTCAATATGGTCTCCTTCAGCACCCTCAGTAGCCAGTACAGTATATCTGCTCATTCATTTTCACAAATTCCAACATTAAAAGAAATCCATGGAAACTTGATCTTCCTTCCCTGATTAGTTAGCATTTTTACAGCTCTCTTGATTTCAGAAATGTGCCTTAGTTGCTGATTTTTTTTTTCAATGACAATGTAGTGTAACTTGAGTCAGTGCAGATCACTGCTTCCCTTGTGCTGCTGAGTACTGTATCTTAATGCAGAATGATGGCAATGAGCTCTGCTTGCATTGAGGAGGCATGGGTCTTGCTCTGTTCTTTTTCTTCATTTTCATTTTGAGACAGATTATTCCTTTACCCTACTGTTTATTTAATCTGAAAGAGCATTTTGAGAGTGTGATGTGAACCTTCACTGTCACCGATCAAAGGTATTAGCACCGATAAATTAACTGTAAAATGTAAATACAGTATTTTGGTATTACAGTACATCTTGATATGCCTAAGTTTCTAACTCAACAGCTTGGAAAAACTAACTTAGAACTTCACATTTTTTTTTTAGTACAGTACAGTGAAAATTAAAACTTGCATTTCAAGAATGTAAAAGAAAAGGGTAATTCTGAGGAGTAAGTGCTTTACCAATGTGACTATAGTATAGCATTTGGAAGGGGGAGGGGAGGGGGAATGAGGACAATGTCCAACTACATGGACCATTGGGTATTGAACTCTGACCTTGCAAAGAGAGGCATTCACTCTACCGACCAGTCCAAGTATGTGAACTCGAGAATGTAGTTAAATTCTTTTATTTATTACAAAACGTGTTGCAAGCTTACCTGTGTCTGCATTAGTTTTGGCAAATGAGAGTATGTAAAGTCTATGTAAAGTCATAGAACGATTTGCTTTCACAATAGCCAAGTTAAATGAATGCTTACTAAAAATAGATTATATGATTTCAGGAAGCAATGATTGGAGAAGTTTGGTTTTATTCACTACTCTACTGGTTATTTGCACTAGTAGTGATATTTCCACCAGATGAAGCAGTTGCTGCTGGACTCACTGTTGAAGCTCTTCTTTCATCATGTTTGGGCAGCCAGTTTACAGGTTTTATTCAGTACCAAATAAGGAGAACTGGAGCCACTATTATTGTGCACACATTACTCCTTCCAGGTTAGTTTTGTGTTGTGAAAATAGCACATGCATAAGTATCACTATTGATTTTTGTCTTGAAAGATGCACCACTCATTGATGTATGTTGTTAATTGCAGTCCTCATCAATACCACAATTCCTTGTTTGAATTATACTCTTTCATAACTATTATATATGACTACCAGAGAGCATTGAATTTCAGTTTTGATGTTTAAATTAGGGTAATGAATCTATCATGTTTCTATCTTTTATTTCTGTGGAATGGTCTAGTAGAAAATATGGCACCTGGCATAATACTGAAGTTATGAGATGACACTTTTTGCATCACGTGATGTATGAGGACCAATGTGAGGGAATCTGATTTGATTTTGATTGTTGCCGCTAGAGGTGGTGATTGTTGCCCAGCCTCAGAGTGGAAGTGGAAGCCTCAGGATCCCTAGAGGATTCAGTTGAATCTCAGGTTACATTTGCCTGAAATGCTGTGTGTATTAGTGGCTTTAGGTATAGTATGTACCTAACTCTATCTAGAAATGCAACATTATGTTTGTAACTCATTTTGAATGTGTGTACTTTTACCTGAATAAGCATTAGCATTATCATTGTTTTTAGCATGTCATGGTTAAATGGTCTAAAGTGTATGCTTGGGAGTACTGTACAGTGTGCAGGTTCAAATCCTCCTCAAGAAGCCACTAATAATTTAGGATATGTTGAGAATAGTGATGACTAAGGTTCTTTACATTTCTTGCATTGTATTTTGCCAAATATTCACAAGCAAATTTATCGATTTATAAATATACTTCAGGATCTTTATCATGAATAACAGGATAAAAGCTGCAGTTTATTTTCAAATTAATCAGTCTTGTGTCATAGGGTATTTCATTTTTAAAGCTTTAATATCTTTACAGGTTATATACTGATGCTCATCAAACAAGAAATTTCACTGGTGCATTGGGCAAATACTCAAATTCACCCAGATACTGCAGCAATAACAGTTATAGCTTCATTTGTGCCAGTGCTAATAACAGCGTTGATAGTTGGAAACTGGTGGCGAGACAACTGGCAGCGTCATCCTTTAAGTTGCACGTTGGCTCTGTATAGCCAGGGAAATACAGCATCATCCAATGCATGGGTATCTGTGGCTTCTGATGTCAACATTGAGTTTCGAAGGTTAGATTAATTATGTCTCCCTGTGATATTTGTTGTATTTTAAATTTTTATGGCAAGTTTAACGTTGTTAATCTTTATTTGTAATACAGTTCTTTGTTGATATTTAAATCACTCATTAAGAATAATGTTAAAATTTTACAGGATTGATAAGTTCACCACAAAACCCAACAGTGTATGCCGTGTGATTGCCACTGACAGCTGGTTGATGAAGGTGACAGCCTACAGAGTCTACTTAATACATCATCGTGATGCAGTTTTGTCACTGGAGAGTAGTGAAAATCATCAACTTGCTCAGAACCGTACCTTGGATACACAACTACTTGACATCAAAGTTACATCTATTAGGGAAGGGATACCATCTTTCTATATAAGGTTAGATTATCATATTGTATTAGGTGACCTTCTTAAAAATAAATATAAATTGCTGATGTTAAACTATAGACTCCTGGCTCTGCATTGTGAGATTTAATATTATGTTCTTGTTCATGATAAGAGCTGAAACATTGTTTTGATTTAATAAGATCACTTCTTGTTGCTACTCGGTTCTTCCCTTAGGCAAGGTCTGCCTGCTTCTATGGATAGAACTATGCACAGTTAGGGTAAGTTGACATTAAACCTCTGAGCAGTGGGGGGTTCTTTATAAATATCTTGGACAAAACTAACTGGAGAAGAGTAGACACTGGTGCACTTTTTAGAACACTTTAACAAGTGTTCAAAAAAATAATTATTTCAACTATTTTTCTTTATTTCCAGATTGAGTTCCTTAGAATATAAGGATTTAGAGAGGAAAATTGTCAATCCAGTGATAAATGCACGCCAAGTTGTAGTGCATCAAAGCCTTTCTGACCGGTTTCTTGAAGCTTTCCTTGAAACTGTAAATGTAAACCCTGAAGTCTTCATTGCTGATGTGAGTACAATGTTATAACTGGGATGGCCCTCTCAGTGGCTTCTAGAGTATAGGCATTGGTACACTAGGGCCAAATTCAACACATCAGCCACTCTTGCCCATCTAATGGCTTATTGATAGCAGGTACCAGAATGCTGCTCTCTCAAGGCACAGAAGCTTAGGAAATTGTAATACTCCACACACTGAGGAAACCTTACCAAAATGGCTGTAATGGGGTCACAAAAACTTAAAATGCTTGTAGAGAAATACTTTTAAGTGAATATTAAATTAGATATCAAATTATTCCAAATTACCTAATATACCACTTTAGTACTGCCATCTGGGGGCAGGAGAAAAAGTGGCAGTCAACCAGGGGTAGGGTGAGGCCTCAACCGTCATACAGCCTAGTACCCGTTCTTACACAGTATCTCCTGGAACCTCCGTTTGTTAGCTAAGCTGCCTTTTTTTTTTTTTTTTGGGGGGTCCATTGTTGGATATGATCTCTCTTTAATGCCCCTAGCCTGTGTATTTGCAAGTCGCCTTGCATTTCTCATTTATTTTCCTACCTCAGCACTGTTGTGTGCTAGATAACATGCGAGTTCCTCTCCTTAGCACTTTTGCTGGATGATGCTCTCGAAGTCATCAAAACAATACACGTAGTTTGGAGCATGACATCAGTGCTGTCATCCCTAAATTTTTGCTCATTCTTATTATTAATTATAAACATTGTGAGTGAAAGAGTTTAACATTGGGATGTGTGCTCACCAGCAACGCCTGGCCTACCTTGCGGTATGATGCGGGTGACCCGCCGTCCCGGCTAAAGTGTTAACTGGCTGGGTGGATGTTGACATCCACTTGTTTTCAATTTCCATTCCAAATTTCCATTTCCATTCAAATTGGAAACAATGTTTCCAATTTCAGGTTCCTATGTCATGTGAGGTAGTGTGTGGGTTCCTCATTTAAGGCTCCATGGGCAATAGGTTCTAGGCAGCCCTAAATAACCCCCCTCCCCTTTTCCTGTCCTGATATACCAGCTTACCCATGGGTTCTGACGGGTTAATTCAGGCTCAAATGTGATGGCAATGGACTCGCCAGACCCCTGGTCTTACATTGCCATCTGATGGTGGGAGGGGAAAGCAGGGAGATAGTATTTTGGGCAGTTTGGAGTTTTTGTTTCATATTCATTCATGCCAAATATTTCTGTTTGCACATTTTGAGGTTTTGCAACTCCCTTTTCAGCCATTTTTAATTAAATTTTCCCAATGTGTGGTATATTGTGACTTCCTCAACTTCCCTGCCTCGTTAAGGAGACAGGATTCTGGTACCTGTTTCTTGTAGGCTGTAAGTTGGTTAAAGATGGCTAGTGTGATGAATATGTTCTGGTGTTGTGCCAAGAAGCACCCAGATGGATATTTCACGATACTCATCTCTGTATTTTTTGCAGACTTGTATAATGTACTCTTATATTTCTTATGATCCACTTTAAACTAGCAAGGAATAGTGTATGTTGAACCAAGTCCATTTTGGTTAAGAAATAGACTATTATACAGTACTGTACTCAGTTAATATATTCATTATTTTCTGGTGTATGGTTTTTCTAATGACTATTGCTTAGAATGCTTTCATAGTTTGTTTCAAATTCTGGATAAATATGCAAAATCATCAATAAATAAAAAAAAAAATACCTTAAGAATTAGTTGTATCCACATTTTGTAACTTCTCCTCATTAAGTCTTATGTTATTAGATATTACCAGTAGCGGGATATCCTATGATTTTATTGATTGTAATATAATTATTTAGTTTATTTTTATATATTTTAATTTCTGGCTGAAATAATAAGTGCCTCTTTGGATTGACATGAAACTTACAAAACTGTCATAATCATAAAGTGAAATAAAATAATAAAAAGAAATCATTAAGTTAGTCGAGTTATATAGCAGCCTTCAGGATGTGTAGGTACTGTAACATATGTTTGTGCACATATTTTGGTGATTAGACACAGTTTAGTGTTTTTTTATATTTATTTAGTATAGTCTTAGTTACAGCAGTCGGTGTGTTGGCAATGTAGTGAAGTGTTGTAGTATTATAGACGAAGCCTGGAGCAGGGCTGAGAGCAGAGTGAGGCCTGAGGTAGAGAGCAGCTCGGATGCGGGGTGAGTGTGTAGAGCGTGGCGCTCTGAATGCGGGCGGAGACGAGGAACTGAGTGCGGGACGAGAGTGTGGAACCGTGATGAGGCTGGAGTCTGGCTGTCTGCTCTGTAGCGAGGTTGAAGTGTTTTGTGAGGGTAGGAACTGGACATGTTGCGTGTTACATTGTTGTTGGTGAATGTGGAAGATGTGTGGTATCTCTCAAGTGTCTGTACTGAATCACTATACGAGTTTAGACTGCCTGACCGATGTGCTGTTGAAGGTTATTTTATAGGCCTCACCTGACTATCATCTACCAGGTGTGGAAGAGGTATTAACTGTAAATAATTGTACACTTGGGAATTGTAATTAGTGGACCAAGAATCAGTGTAGGACTTCTAGGAATGTGATAACTTAAAGATAGGTTATTTTGGAATTAAGTCTCGTCTCATTACCTGCACATATACTAATGAAAATATGGAGCAAGTATATTACTTACTGAAGTTCCCCATACTCGCTTATAATTATATATAGGTCACTGAGAAATATCTCGCTTACCATCATTTATATATGGGGGTCTGGTACTTCAGGCTTGTATTGGGTTCCCCCAAGGTTGAACAACTTACCGTCCCTAGAATACAACTCCACAACAATTACCTAACTCCCAGGTACCTATTTACTGCTAGGTGAACAGAGGAATTAGATGAATGGAAGTGTGCCCAACTATTTCTCCTCCATCTTGGATTTAAACCTGTTATCCCCCGATTGCGAGTCAAGAACGAACTCGACTGACACATTTATTTAGTGTACTGAATATAAGTAGATTTTCTTTTCTTCAGGAGCCAACTATGTGCATTGGTTGCATGGAAGTGACAGCCAATGTGACACTGCAGCGTCGATGTGGAAGTGTAAATACTGGATCGGGTAGTGACTGTGTTGCCTGCTATTGTAGGCCTATGTGGTGTGTATCGTGTTTAAGTAAGTGGTAAGTGTCAAATTATTTTTTATATATAATTTGATAAGTTAAACATTACCTTGTTTATTGTTAACTTGCTCTTTCTCTGGTTTCCTATTTTTATTTACTTGGTCATCATTACAACTGGGTTTTGGGTGGTGGGATATGCATACACTTTTCTTTTTCTTGTGTGGGGAACCGGTTGGCCGAGCGGACAGCACGCTGGACTTGTGATCCTGTGGTCCCGGGGTCGATCCCGGGCGCCGGCGAGAAACAATGGGCAAAGTTTCTTTCACCCTATGCCCCTGTTACCTACCAGTAAAATAGGCCCCTGGGTGTTAGTCAGCTGTCACTGGCTGCTTCCTGGGGGTGGAGGCCTGGTCGAGGACCGGGCCGCGGGGTCACTAAAAAAGCCCCGAAATCATCTCAAGATCTCAAGATAACACATTTAAATTTTCCTTGAACAGATCCCCTCAGATTTCCAAATAATCTGCACTAGAAAGTGCACTTACATCATTGTAGTGGGATTAATCACATTTATCTAGATATTGGAGATAACAGAAAAATCTTATAAAATTATAATAAAATGCTTTAATTTTTAAAATTTCAAATACACTACTGTATTTCAACCAAACTTGTACACAAGCATTGACACCAGAGGGCAATGAAACAATAGCTGTAGCTCATCCACACTTTTGTGGAAATAAACATTTCATTCACCTGGGCTCTATGAGACTCGAACCATGGACCCCACGTGTGTGGGGTCATTATAAGTACATTAATTAAGACTACTCAATAACTCGGTCAATAGAGCTTCGGCCTCACACGCATGGGGTCCAGGGTTCGAGTCTCATAGAGTCCAGGTGAATGGAACTGTAGCTCAGTTAAGGAAAGACAGCAGTAATATTAGCTTTTTTGTTCAAAAATAATTTCATGTGATTTTGGTTTAAAAGTACATTGAATGTGTAGTATATAATCTATCATTTGCACTTACTATATCCTTACACAACACACTCCCAAATCTATGTGCAGGTGCATTTAGATGTTTTGTTTATCAATCGTGTTGAAATGGAAACACATTTCATTTGTCGCTGAAAGGGAAACACATTTCATTTGTCGCTGAAAGGGAAACACATTTCATTTGTTGCTGAAAGGGAAATGCATTTCATTTGCCGCTGAAAGAGAAACGCATTTCATTTGCCGCTGAAACGGAGACGCATTTCATTTGGGGCTGAAACGGAGACGCATTTCATTTGCCGCTGAAACATAAATGCATTTCATTTGCCACAGAAACGAAAATGCATTTCATTTGCCCCTGAAACGGAAACGCATTTCATTTGCCACTGAAACGGAAATACATTTCCTTTGCCGCTGAAACGGAAACGCATTTCCTTTGCCGCTGTAACAAAAACGCATTTCATTTGCCGCTGAAACGAAGACGCATTTCATTTGCTGCCGAGACGGAAATGCATTTCATTTGCCGCTGAAACGAAAACGCATTTCATTTGCCGCTGAAATGGAAATGAGTTTCCTGTATCTTGAGTTTAGCTCGGGCAGACTTGCTTCAGTCCCACTGTACTCGCCTAGTTCTCGCCCAGTTGTGCTTGCGGTTGTTGAGCTCTGGCTTTTTGGTCCTGCCTCTCAACTGTCAATCAACTGGTGTACAGATTCCTGAGCCTACTGGGCTCTATTATATCTACATTTGAAACTGTGTATGGAGTCAGCCTCCACCACATCACTTCCTAATGCATTCCATCTGTTAATTACTCTGGCACTGAAAAGGTTTTTTCTAATGTCCCTGTGGCTCATTTAGGTACAGTACTCAGATTCCACCTGAGTCCCCTTGTTCACGTACAACCAGTGTTATCTTTACCAGTTTATCTTTATCTACCCTGTCAATTTCTCTGAAAATTTTGTAGGTAGTGATCGTGTCTCCCCCTACCCTTCTGTCTTCCAGTGTCGTGAGGTGCATTTCACGCAGCTTGTCCTCGTTACTCATGCCTCTTGGTTCTGGGATTAGCCTAGTGGCATATATCTGCATTTTTTTCAAGCTTCGTCTTGTGCTTGACAAGGTATGAGCCATACTGTGGTACTGGGACAGTGTGTTTTGATATGTAAAGGTTATTTTCCTCTTTCTTGTGGCGATACAAGGTCCCAGCTACCTCCTAACTGGGGAGGGAGGGACGAAATTATCAGGGGAAAGCACCAAGCCATTACAACAATATAGTACTTGGAAGGGGTCAGGATTAGGATTTGGGATGGGACAGAAAAGGAATGGTACCCAACAACTTGGACAGTCGGGTAATGAACGCCGACCTGCATGTAGTGAGACCATCGCTGTGACAAACCTTGGCATCCTCTATGATCCAATTCCAAGTTAAAACAGTTAACCCTTCTATTGATAATGTTTCCCATCTTCTAGTCTGCTGTTCTGGGAAGTGATGAGGTACCAGTGACTGGTAACAAACAGCAGAGAGTGAAGTAGTACACTGGTTGACCTTGGGACACCTCTGCTGGAGTGTACTAGCAAGGATGCTAGTGGAGTGCTGGAAGACTTCACTGTTTGAGAGTGCTAGCGAGAGGGTTAGTGTTGCATTGGAAAGCCTCGTCAGAGGGATATAAATAGTTTCCATCACTGTGGAAGCGAGCTAGCATGAGGGCTAATGATGTGCTGGAAGATCTCGTTAGAGGAGTGTATATAGTGGTAGTAGTAATTAATAATATGGGATATTTGTATGCTCCATTTTATTTATCTTGCCTTAAACATTACAGTGCATTTCCACTGAGGTTAGGGATCTCTGGACTTGGGAAGGATCATAGAGTTTAAAAAAACCTGGAAGTCACTCTACCATCCAGATCAAGTGGGAGGCCACTCAGCCACCAGAGAGAGCTGGTGACTGAGCGGACAGAACACTGGACACATGATCCTGTGGTCCCGGGTTCAATCCCAGGTGCCAGCGAGAAACAATGGGCAGAGTTTCTTTCACCCTGATGCCCCTGTTACATAGCAGTAAATAGGTACCTGGGAGTTAGTCAGCTGTCACAGGCTGCTTCCTGGGGGTGGAGGCCTGGTCGAGGACCGGACCGCGGGGACACTACGCCTCGAAGTCATCTCAAGATAACCTCAAGAAGTAGTTGGGCACCATTCCTTTCCTCCTTTCCTAACTGGAAAATTACCCCATATTTTCTTTGGACAAGTTGCACTTTTTGTCATATGTAGGTACTTTTCTAAAGGAAGGTGGATCAGATTTTTCTGGCTCTTCTAGTAGGGCCTTCAGTAACTTACCAGTGAAATGGTAACATACATATAGGGTACTGTATAATGAATTTCTGGAAATATCGCAAGGTGTCACAATATGTATGCCACTAAACTAAATTACTGGGTATATTAAAATTATTGGCATTAAGAAAATCTATTATTTCTTAACCCCTAAATCTTTAGTAACCAAAATATCTGGAAAATATTGATTAGTTATACTATACAATATATTATTATGCAGTCAAGTGTTGTAAATATTATAACATGACAAGATAAAGAAAAGCACTGATATTTTATATTAGGTGTTCATAAAATTGCAGATTATTTTTTTTTTTTATTAATACCACAATACACATTGTATCAGGCTTCAGTTTTAATTTTTATTTTCATATAGGTTTGCTGCCCGACAAGATCAGAACCTCCCAGAATCGTGGTTATCTTCCAAAGCTCCCTGTCCAACCTGCCGCTCAACATTCTGCCTTCTTGATGTCTGCATAATATCTAACCACTGATATAAGTATTTATCACAACATTATGTTAATTTATAAATATATTGACATACATGTATAGTCACTGATCTATTATGTGTCAACAAATTAGTTAATTAGTTGCTCTGCTGATAAAATATCCACAAAAATTATATAATTAGTTTTTTGGCGGGGCTGTTTTTTGTATAGTTTAGAGGTATATTATGATCAAAATTCTGTTAATGATGGTGGGATATCTGAATAGAATTAAGTGTACAGTACAGTATTACAGTAATCATTTCAGTCATTTAGTTTGCACATGAATAATGTCTTTGCCTTAATATATATATTTGAGTGAACGAGCAGCTGACTCCTGGATAACAGATCAGGGAAAGTACATAAAATAAATAAAAGGAAACTTTGTGACTCGTGATAGAAATTTCTTCGTGGTTTGTCTCAATGTATTTGTTGAACATTATTTTAGGAAGAAGCAGCATTACTGACTTTTTGTCACGTGACAATGCTTTGTTTCTTATGTGCTTTCTCCTTTTCAATCTTGCTGTCAGTATTAAAAACTTAACTTGTTAATTGGTATTATAGATCAGACTTTGAGCCTCTTTGATTGTCCCCATATGATCTTCAACAAGCAACTTTATGTATTATGCCTATTTTTATCATTTTTCATTGTTTTTATTTTTGTTTTGCCTTAAAGGTTTCATTCTTGTCAAGTGTTCTGATATCCATTATCCACCACTTTTCTTTTTTTTCCTAAATGCAATACAGTACTATAAAAATGTATAAATGTAATTTTCTCTTGTTAATGCATAATTGTCATCTGTCATGTCAATATATTTTTCTATTGTGTATAATTGTTTACCACTTAATTATAATGTGCAATAGTGTACATCTCTTTTTTTTTTTAAATGTCAAATATCACTCATCAAATTTATTGTAATTTTTATATGCTTTTATGTCTTTTTATTAGAGGAAATAATATAAGGTTTATATGTATTTTATCTCATAAAATACCATACAGTCAATAATATGAATTGCACAAAGCAGTCATTGTTGTGATGTTGTGATGTTGCAGTCATTGGTAGTACAGTATAATAAACATACTGAATAACTGACTTTTTAAAATATTCTTTATTTATTAGTAACAAAATAAAACAAATTTAACATTTCTGTTTTGCTATTTTAGCAAAAAAAAAAAAACTTATTTTGTACAGAGTGCAGCAGAAAGTCACTTCCATTTTAATGACCGCATGGCAGAGTTGCTTATTCATGCATTATGTTATTTTTATTGCCTGTAATTTTAGTGTGAAGCATAGAATTTGGCTGGTACAAGTGGACCATAATTGACATACAACAGTGTATGACATTTAACTGATATGAACATGTTAAATTTATAATAACTTGCATTATAATTTGTTTGACCAGACGCTTTATACTGAGATCAGTGATTTCTTGTAAATAATTAAATATGTTTTTGTGTATATAGTTAATGCTTTCTTTATGGGTATCTAGCTGTCAAAGCATTGTTTTTGACAGCTAAATTATCTTGACACATTCTGAAGTAAATAAATGTTACACTGAGCAAATTTTCATCATGTTACCTGTTTAATTTGTATTTGTTAATTTGGTTATATTTTTATAACACATCATATTTTCAATAAAATACAATATTTTTTCCAATTTCTCTTACTACACCCTTGTTTTGGAATCTGTTGCTTTCCACCTTGTGCAGTGAATCAAGCCAAAAATACTGCAAATAAATTTGTATAACCAATTTTTCATCTTTTGTTAGATGTTTAATGATAAACAGTATGTCATTTTTCTGGGTAGCACTTTCAGAAGCTTTCCTCAGCTTATTTACTTGCTGAAGAAAAGCTCTACCTTCTCCAACCACTCCCATCCCAAATCCTAATCTTTATCCCTTCCTAGTGCTATGTGGCTTAGCACTTCCTCCTGATAGCAAAGAGGGATGGGATCCTTAGAGTCTCTTCAGGCCACAGTCTTTACAATCTCATCAGGCCACATACTTTACAGTCTCTTCAGACCATGGTCATGATGAATGAAGTGTAAGGTATGGCGAAGGATGTCATGACGGACGTCTTCGTCTCTCGCACCTGCCCCGTCAAGGAGAATGGGAACTCTGAGGCAGGGAACCTTCAGCCTACGAATGGCACTCTGTAGTCTGACACGAGCACTATGAAATCGTGGGCACTGAAGAAGGTGTTCCACTGTATCCTTCTGGGTCGGACACCACTGGCAGTATGGGGAATCTGCAAGCCGTAGACGATGGAGATGTGCAGCCAGGCAGGTGTGCCCAATCCGGAGACGAGTGATGGCAGTGTCAAGAAGTCGAGAATGATGACGAGTCCATGGATGCAGGGAGGAGAGCTCACGGAGACCCACCAGAAAGGAGAACCTGAGTGTTGGTGCCATCACTGCCTCCCAACTCACGAGGCAAGCCACACGGAGTTGCGGGAGAATTTCGGAAAGGTCCAGAGGCACATATGTAGAGTCCTGAAGACCATGTCCCATCTCATTGGCCACCTCATTGCCATTAATATCGACATGTGACAGAACCCATTGGAGATAGGCTGACCAACCTGGAGTATGACAACAGTTCTCCATGAATCTGTGACACAGTATGATGATGGACTCGTGCACGCCGAGATGATATTAGATGTAGGGCTGTAACTGAGTCCACGTAGAAAACCACTGCTGAGGGCCCTGAAACATGTTGAAGGAGTCGTAAGGTTAGTAAGATTGCAAACAGTTCCCTAGCCAGGCATGAATGAGCAGGGAAGAACTTCCACGTCTGACAATAGGAGAAAGGTTTGAAGCATGCTTCCCCAGATATGGATGGTGAGTGATCTTTGCAGGACCCATCCATCTTTATATCCCATCCTCTAAGTATCAGGGGTATAAGGTGGCTCATAGGTCTGCAAAAAATTGAGGGGCCAGACCCTCTAAATCCCTCTTCCAACAAGAAGGATTGGAAAGTCCACAAAAACCCAGATGAGCTCCTTTGCCCACTGAGGTACAGGAGAGATGATCGGGCCAGGGGCGAGTACAGAGATGGGAAGGGAAAACTGTGAGTGTGCATCCAAGGCCCAGACGACAAAAGGCAGCTGACGGCGCCTGGAGTGTTCAGCCGACACATTCCACCAGTTAGACTCAAACTGTAGGCGAGTAAGTGGCTGAGTAGCAGGGAGACGCATTATCCGTTGAAGCTGGCGACAGAGGGCGAGAAGATGTTCAAAGTGCATGGGCCATAATCCCAACTCAGCATGGAGAGAGAACTGGCGAGGAGGGCATAGCCCCTAACGCTGAGTACTATTTTGGATGGGATCCAGCCTTGCCAAGACAGATGCTGCTGCTGAGCCATAGACTTCACTCGCATTCATGATCTTGCTACGAATGAAGGCCTTATAGAGGACTAGGAGCGACTCCCGCGAAGTCCCCCCATGCCACCCCAGAGAGCCATTTCATGATGTTCACGCGCCAAAAGCATGAGGCCTGAAGGTAATTAACATGATGCCTTCATGTCAGCTGAGGGCCATCAAGAACCACCCCCCCCCCCAGCCAGCTGTGTTCCGTGGTGACCGGGAGACGATTGCCTCCAACGATCACCACTGGCTGGTCTGGCAAATGGATCCAGGAGTAGCTCATGATGCAACTTTTCACTGGGTTAATAGAGAGCCCCTTCCCCAGCACAACTGCTGAAAACAGTCACTGCGTCTTGCAGGGAGCCTTGTGTGTCCAGGAGAGTAGCACCATCTGCCACGAGGGTTACGTCATCAGTATAGGCTAAAACCTGGGCATCCCAGAATACCGGGAGATCAGACAATAGAATAGAGAATAATAGCGGGCTGAGAGTCGCTTCCTGGGGGGGACCACTCCACCAACCGCCACTTTGAATGAGCAGCCCTGTAGATACCAGTCTCCGTGATGTAGTGGTAAGACACTCACCTGGCGTTCCGCGAGCGCTTTGTCATGGGTTCGTATCCTGGCCGGGGAGGATTTACTGGGCGCAAATCCTGAACTGGAGCCTTTACTCAACAGTAAAATGTGTACTTGGTTGTAACAACGATTCTTCGCGGCGGGGATCGTATTCCAGGAACCTGCTCGAAACGCTACGCGTACTAGTGGCTGTACAAGAATGTAACAACTCTTGTATATATCTCAAAAAAAAATAAAAAATAAAAAAAAATAGTTTTGGAATCACCCCAGCTCTGGACCCAAAAAACCTAGTTATGCCAGGCTCTGAAGGACAGCAGAATGAGATGCAGAGTCAAACGCACTCTTGATCTCGAAGAATGCTGCAAGGAGCACTCTTGATACAGTGCACTCTCAGCACACTCAGTGCACTCTTGGTACATGATACAGCACCTGCTGTGCTGTATCATGGCAAGTGGCAGTGTTCCACAGCAGGCAGCAGCAGTAGAGGTTCAATGAGAAGCCGTGTTGTAGATTGTCTGGGCTGGGTTTGTGCATAATGGGTGACTGGGTATTGTTGAAACTCTCTGGGGTCACCAATGTAATGTACTATTATGTTACGTTGTTGGATAGATTAGATACACAATGTTTAGTGGGTTTTAATATTTATTTAGTATTAGTCTTGGTTGCAGCAGTCAGTTGTTGGCAGTGTCGTAGATGTTGAGACAAAACTGGGAGTAGAGCAGAGAGCTGAGTGAGGCCGGAGTGGCGGAGCTCTATGCGGGAGAGCGTGGCGGCCCGATGCGGAATGGTGAATATCTAAACTCAATGAAATGGCGAGTGTCTAAACTCGATGAGGCCGGGAACGAGGTAGCTCGATGCGGTCATAGTCTGCTGTCTACTCTGTGCCGAGGCTGGAGCATCTTTGGGTCGATTAAAACTGCATATGCCGAGTGCTACATAACTAGCTCATCAAGATCGTAACTTGCTTAGCTAAAGAAATTGTGGGGTTCAGTCCCTGAGCCCATTATGTGCCTCTGTAACCCTTTCCACTACCACCCACAAGCTGGGTATGGGGTGCATAATAAATGAACTAAACTAAAACTTGAGGTTGAAGAGGTGTGGTAACTCCGAAACGTCTGTACTGAAGTTAACTGAATCACTGTTGAAATTATACTGATGGTTACTCGATTGATTGATGAAGATTAAGCCACCCGAGAGGTGGCACGGGCATGAATAGCCCGTAAAAAAAATGGTTACTCACTTCTCGATTGCGTATATGATTGGACTACACCTCATCTCATCATCCTCCAATAGGTTGGAAGGGTGGAAGGAATGTTAACTGTAATTAGGAAAAAGATTTGAGGGATGTCATTAGTGCTAATGAGAAGTTTGCTTCTCTCATTTAGCCAATGAGCTTGGAGTGAGTATATTGTTTATACTCGCTACAAAATTAAGTAATATGTGTGGTATCAATGACAGCCAGTTCAAAGGCTGTTGAGCAATGTCTCTCTCTGCCTGATGGAAGTGGTGATAAGCTCACGAACCCTCTTGATGGTGCCTGCGAAAGGTAGGTGTTTCACTCTGGGCGTCATGTTCCACCGGTGTCATAATCCCATGGAAAAGCACCTGGGGGGGAACGAGAGGATCATCACGGCTATCCACTGGAGCAGGACCTCCCGATCGACGGGTGTGTCGACGACGTCGGTGCTGGCTTCTCTGGGGAGAGGCACGAATGCTGCGATCCGGCCGAGACTGAGCGTCCATGTGTGTATCCGTGGTGGAGTTTTCGTCCATGTCGAGGCGACCAAGGAGGGAAAATCGATTAGCAGCCTGGGCGTATGAGGTGTATGTCCGGGACAGGCAAGAGCCTCTGCTAGGTCCTACTTGTGAAGAGTCCCGAACAGGAAAAACAGGAGCCAGATTCACGAAGCAGTTATGCAAGTACTTACGGACGTGTACATCTTTCCTCAATCTTTGGCGGCTTTGGTTACATTTATTAAACAGTTTACAAGCATGAAACCTTCCAAATCAACTGTTGTTATCGTTATAAACAACCTCCTGGTGCTTCGGAGCTTATTAACTGTTTAATAATTGTAAACAAAGCCGCCAAAGATTGAGAAAATATGTACAGGTTTGTAAGTGCTTGCGTAACTGCATCGTGAATCTGGCTCCAGAGAAGAAACGATGGGCTGATTGAGGGCGCGCAACCTCTGGAACAGCTCTTGTCGAGGGGTCTCCGCTGCTTTATGATCGATGTCGAACTGGAAGGCCTCAAGATATACCGGGCAACGCTTGGACGTAACCTTGTGATGGCCATGGCATAAAAGACAGTGAGGTTCGACAGAGCACCTATCATTATCTCTATCTGTATGACCTGTCTTGCTGCAGTTTGCACAGCGTGCTGTATTACAGCAGATGAGGCGACTGTGGCCCAAAAGATGGCAAGCATAACATCGTAACACAGGAAAGTTGTAAGGCTGGACCTGTTACGAGGTCCTGTGTAGCGCCACCCGGTCAGGGAGGGGACCGTCGAACTCTACACAAACCATGGACTTCGGCCCTACTGCTCCGCGAATCGTGGTAACTTTCCGTAATCCCGCTGATGCAACCCCATAACACCTGCAGAGCGGCCTGGATGTTATCCACTTCAACACTCGGGGTCAGTTGGGCAAATCTTCCCGTACTTGGCTCAAGACTCCTGCGACAATACCTGTCGGCACCTGACAGGCCAGAACCCCAACTTATTAATGTCGGATAGCCGGACGTGCAACAGAGCCTCCTGCCTGATATGTAGCTTCAGTGCTGCACCCCTACCCATGGTATGCACGATCTCAGGCAGACAATGTGACCACAATACCGAAGCTCCAATTGCTGCAATTGCTGTACGAGGATTTGAAAACACACACTGACTTTTGTTGACTGAATTTGGACAACCACAAACGAGGAATGAGGTACCACAGGAGGAAGGTCTTCTGAAGACGAAGACATCCTTTTAGCATCTCGCTCTGAGACAGTGTAGCGAGTAAACCTTATACTCACTCCATTATCTCATCATCTTAATGGTGTAACTAATTAGCACTCACTATACAAGCTATAATCCTATCCTTATTTACAGGTAACAGTTCTTCCATCCTACAATCTTATTGGAGGCAGCTGAGGTGTACGCACCATATATAAGCAAGCGATGTGAGAATAGCAAACGACGGGAGACATCTCCCGTCACGCAGGGTGCAGTTGCACCTCCACAGATTTCCAGTATCAGCTCTTGATACTGATGATGGCTTAAAAGGGCCACCACTTACGAGCTATTCATGCCCGTGCCACTTTTTGGGTGGCTTCATCTTCATCTTAACACATTCACACGGGAGACATCTCCCGTCACGCAGGGTGCAGTCGCGCCTCCACAGATCTCCAGTATCATCTCTTGATACTGGTAATGGCTCAAAAGGGCCACCACTTACGGGCTATTCATGCCCGTGCCACCTATTGGGTGGCTTAATCTTTATCAATCAATCAATCGAATAGCAAACGACGGGAGACATCTCCCGTCACGCAGGGTGCAGTCGCACCTCCACAGATCTCCAGTATCAGCTCTTGATACTTGATATTGGCTCAAAAGGGCCACCACTTACGGGCTATTCATGCCCGTGCCACCTTTTGGGTGGCTTAATCTTCATCAGTCGAATAGCAAAATTTGATACTAAGTCACATTGGCATAGATGATAATGAAAAAGGCAGACTCACTAGCAAAAACTGCCACTGCTCTACCTGTTGTACAGGTTCAAATACCTCCAAGTTTTTCACAGATTAAGGAGCAAATCAAGAAGAAAATACTCCCACCTATCAAAAGTCGCCATAGAGCCAAAGTAGCGGAAGGAAGATCCAGTGCGATATGGTACGAACAAGCTACTGGGTACTACTCCTTCAAACCTGGCAAAAAGATATCCAGAGACATTGCAGTAGCCATACACAGACTCAGAATTGGTTACAAGTGCTGCTGGGATGTAATGAATCCAATAGTTAAAGAGTGTCATATCTGTGAAACAGAAGCAGAGGCGCCACTATTGCACTACTTACTGGAATGTGAAGCTACTGAAGCCCTGTGCATCAAACTCAACATTAATCCAACGACAGCAGCTGCATTAGATGCACATTTCACCGCGACTACAATGATTAGAAAAGCCGTTGAGGAATGGGACTCACTAGTGAACATTCTGCATCTACATCCGCCACCAAGATAATGTCATTAAAACAAGACTAAAACCAGTGCACTAAAACAGAAGTGATAAATAAACAGGGAAAAAGAAGGAATCCCCACCTCCATTTTAAACTTAGACCCAAATATCACAGTAACAAGGTTATCGCGAGTAACCGAACTCAATTACGGGCGCACTATAGCCCGTGCTACATGGACACTTCGTTCCGAGTAGCTAAACCTAAACCAACAACAACAGAATAGCAAACAGAGGTCACGACCTCTCCGTAGGGTGCAGTCGCACCTCCAAAGATCTCTAGTATCAGCTAATGATACTGGTAATGGCTCCAAAGGGCGGCCACTTATGGGCTATTCATGCCCGTGCCACCTTTTGGGCGGCTTAATCTTAGTCAATCATCAATCGAATAGCAAATGGTACAATTTTCAGTCAAGAATGTAGCATTCGGCGTATGCAGTTCTAATCGACCCCAAGACACTACAGCTTCGACACAGAACAGACAGCAGACTAGGACCACATCGAGCTACAACGCTCTCCCACAGAGCTCCGCGACTCCGGCCACACTCAGCTCTCTGCTCTGCCCCAAGCTCCGTCTCAACGTCTACGACACTGTTATATCTAGGACTACTAAATAAATATGAAAATCCCACTATATACTGTGTATCTAATCTACTCAACAGCGTAACATATTCGTACGTTACAGCAGCTTCAGCTGGCTCATTCTTCAACAGACGTTTGCCTCTCTGGGACTTGCTGTCAACGTCCATGGCGTCCCCGCTCAGGGAAGGTTCCATTAAAGAGGTTCCGGCCTCCCCCAGCGCTGGGAGCCTCCATAGGTAACTGCAGTGAACACACACTGGCCCAAAGAAGCAAGCCGATTATAAAGATGAGCTCCAGATGAGGCACTCAATTCGCCCGCCAAGATGGCCGACCTTCCCGCCTTTAGTCTCGTCTAATTTCGTTATAAAATGATACTTTTTCAGAGTAAAAATATGCTTTGTCATGTTCTACATTCAGCACCAATATTATAGTGAGTAAATATATCATATTTATTAATTACTTACGAAACCTGGAGTGGTCCGCTCCAGGCTACGTCTCAACTTATTTGAGACTTTACTACACTGCCAACAAACCGACTGCAGTAACCAAGACTATACTAAATGAATATAATAAACCCACTAAACTCTGTGTGTCTAATCAACGAAATAAATACGCATTACAGTATGTGTGTAAATCACGAAAAATAAACACGTGATTAAAAATGTGACAGTGTCAGACCACGGAGGAAAATTGAAACAGGAATTTCCTTAAGTACTTTCGTATATTAATACTATCCGTGGTCTGACACTGTCACGTTACAGTATGTTACAGGTAGATTTGGGTAGCTTTGGGTAATTAGACGGACCCCATTTACTGGTTTCTGTCGTTCACGCTATTTACCCTCATAATGAACCGCTTTGCATCACAATGTGTACCTAAGCTTGTTAATAAAAAAGGGGCAAGGTTTCGCTCACATTTTACTACACAATTAATCTATTGAATGTAATGTTTTAACTAGATCAATAATGCAAACGATTAAAAGTCTCCGGTGACACCGGTGCCATCGCAGGGGTATGAAGGTATGAAGTGACTCCGACTGTACAAACACCCTTGTGGAAATCAGATTCCAGGGTAACCTTATGGTGGGGTACTGCTCGAGTATCACTAGTGACACCCTCGACCAGTACCACCTCTCCAGTGTCGAGAGTGTTGGCACCTTGCAACGCACTCTCTAAAATTAAAGTCTGGATGGCACCGGTGTCTCGGTTTCGGTGTCAAAACGGTTTTGCAGTCTCCGTGGTGTAGTGGTAAGACACTCGTCTGGCGTTCCGCGAGCGCTATGTCATGGGTTCGTATCCTGGCCGGGGAGGATTTACTGGGCGCAATTCCTTAACTGTAGCCTCTGTTTAACGCAACAGTAAAATGTGTACTTGGATGAAAAAACGATTCTTCGCGGCGGGGATCGTATTCCAGGGACCTGCCCGAAACGCTACGCGTACTAGTGGCTGTACAAGAATGTAACAACTCTTGTATATATCTCAAAAAAAAAAAAAAGTATCACGTGTGATACAAACAAAATATACTATAAATATATATATAATATAAATATGACTAAAAACATATATATATATATATATATATATATATATATATATATATATATATATATATATATATATATATATATATATATATATATATATATATATTATTACACATAAAAAAAAAGCTATGTAAAGGGAAAATGAGTAGACATGAGCTAAGGTGCAGCGTGAGTGGAAGCGATGGACACAAGCCGCCCGCCACCTTCAACGGGCCGTTGTCGCCCTCACGAAGACCTCTTGCACTTTCACTGCAATTTTAAATATTTTTATGTATATTTTAGTATATTTTACCTCTAGTTATAAACGCACGTGGTTCTGATATTCATCTATAACAAGTAAGGATATACTAAAAAATCATTCAAATGACTGGAATGCTGAAGCATGAGAAAATTTTACTCCAAATTCAACATTGCCAAGCAGAGCCAAAAATTATACCGTTTGTTATTATATTATTTCTCTCCAGGTGTTCAAAATATTTTGTTTTTATTTTCTAATGTTTTGACTACAATGCTTGTCAATAATACAGGTCTGTAATTAAGACGGTCTTTCCTGCTATCATTATTGTAGATTGGAACTATGTTTGCCTGTTTCCATATATCTTCCAAGACTCCTGTACGCAAAGAAGACTGAAAAATCAATTGAAGTGGTGTGCTAAGTTCAGATGTGCATTCTCTTAAAACTCAGGGTGAAAATCCATCCGGGTCAACTGCTTTGTTCCTACTTAGCTTGTTACGCTTTTTTCCATTTGGTAGGGCTGGTTAGATCTTGTGTTAATATTGTCAGTTCTTTATTATTATTGCTGTTGTTGCAATGTTGGTTTTCAATGGTAGTCAGGGTTAATTTAATTGTATTTGTGCTTGAAATAAAGCAGCTGTTTGACTGCTGTCTTTTGAAGTTTGTCATGATCTTCATGCATCACTGTAGCTCTCCATTGTTTTCAAATTCATTAGTTTTTGTACAATCTGCAAGCATTGCCTTGGCTAACACATATTAGCTCACTCATTCACGTAAGTTATTCACATAAGTGATATATGGATTCATAACTAAGTAATATTATTTGAGAAGTAATGAATGGAGACCATAATATCTAGCAATCCTAGCATGCATTATTCATTTCAGTATTTAAGAATATCCCTGATGTATTTCAGATATCTTTATAGGATTATCTGCATCATCACACAATGTTTGAAATGGAGTTGTTACTGTGATGAGGCCTGGTCAATGGATCCTCAAAAGGAGAGAGGTGAGTGAAAGTCAATATATTTTATATAACTTAGAATTAAAGTAATAATATACAAGACTAGCATATATAGTATTTTGTACTCTCATTTATCTGACCAAATTGAGACGGGGCCCTTGGTCAGTTAATCATGACATTTGTATAATCTGGAGATTTGGCCTGTATATCTCCTGGTTAGAGATGTTTATGTCCTCATGTGTCCTCAATGACCTCATTTTTCACTGTGATATTTCACTTAGCCTATCTGACAGGCAGCCCCACACCATCAGTACACTGAGTCTCACATTGCTAATACAGCCAGACCCATACCACCCATGTAGCCAGCCCCACAGTGACAAGATGCCTCGTACTGTCACCACAAAAAAACCACAAATGAAATATCAACAGGGCCTCCACCTGAGCCCCAAAACAGGTAAGGGTAAATAGATCCTAAAACCTCAATATGGGAAGATCAGCAGAAAGACAATGTGGCAGAAATGCAGGAAATCGGAGCTGAACTGGCTACAATGGAGCCAGACGAAGGACTTGGCATGCAAATGTCTTGAACCTGGCTAACATGGGAGGAGTAGGAACTGGGACCAGGCTGGTGGGATGAATCCCACTGACCTCTTGACATAGGATTCTAAGTGAATGCCAAGAATGCACATGGAACTGAACTACAGGGCATGATGATGGAACTGGGTGTGCTTGACCAATTGGTGAACTAGAATTGTCTACCCCAGCCAGGTACTTAAGAAGTAAGGATCTAATACCACCAGTGTAACATATCGGAATAATTGAAGACAGACGGATGAAAACTCAGTGAGGAGGAAGGGAGGCGTGAGTGGGAGGAGGTGGAGGAAGGGTAGAAGAAAGAGCTAAGGGGAAGGAAGATGGGGAAAAGGAAAAGAAAGAAGGGGCTTTAGAGTAGGAAAGGGCTGATGTAAAGAGGTACAGGAAAGAAGGAAAGAGGTAGAAAGTGCTACCATCATCCATTCAAGAGTTATTTATAAGACAAGGAATAGAACTTGTCTGTACCACAATATTAACTGATGTTATCACGAAGCAACTGTATAAATGTAAATTGTATAGTCAAGAATCTTAAAGTCATAATCTTTAGCCAGTTAATTTTAGAGTGCTCTCCATTCTAGCTTTCACTATATCATAGAAAATCCAAGATCTGGGGATCAGAAGTAAAGACAATTAAAAAGTAAGTTAATCAATTGAATATTTACTATTATATACTCACTCATATGGGTATCATAATTCAACCACTTCACTTGATGTTCAAATATCAACAGTAATTCAGACTTTGAGTTTCCACACAAGAATTTGGGAGCAACTGTGACTGACTGCCCACAATCACACAACACTTAAATTGGAAAACACCAAATATACATCAACCTTACATTCTCACTCGTCAAAGTTTCTTATTATAAGATGGTTAGTAAGGAGGGGTGATATGGCTGACCAACAGTGTTCCCACCAGCCTGGGACAGTCCTGTGTAGTGGGAGGTTCCTCTCTTTCTCTCTTTTCTGTCTCTCAAATGTACAATTCCTCCAGTATATAAGGGGGAAACCTGGAGCTAAACTCTGCCTACCAGGAGATAACCTCTGGCTATCTTCCTACCACACCTAGACAAGAGCTTAGTTTGATGGAAAGAACACAGCCATCTGTTTGCAATTATCAGCTTAGAAGAGAGTAAGGTCACCTGACCTCTGCAATGTATGACAATTAACACTCGAAAGGTGTGACTTAGAAATGCTAAGGGCCAACAGCCTGGCATTGCCAATATCCTGTGTAACTGACTTTCTGTTTTATGAAATATTAAATAAAACCATTTAAGGTGTTACAAGGATGCCAGACAAATGTGAATATAAAACAAGATCCAGAAACTGCACCTAAAACACTAAATGCCCCCATTGCTGCCACTGTCAAAACCCACAAAACTTTCTCTTATAAGAAAAAGAGAAGAGAGGAGGGTGTTACCGATTCCTGGAGAGAATCCAAAACAGCCAGCCTGCAGGCATAGTGAGACTCGTGAAAGTTCATCATTGTATCCTGCAGGGGTGGAGCAAACTGTGTGTAGACAGCATTACATGATTGTGGCAGCAGACCACAATGCACAAGATGAGGGGGAGGTCTGTTGCCAAGGAGCCAGGATTGACTCTCAACTGCCATAAGAAGGTCTACATTGCAGGAGTGGAAAACCTCAACTAAATGGATGTGTGCCTTATGACCAACCACCAGCGAAGCTGAAGGAAACTTGAGCATCTGGACCTGAGCAAGAATAAGGCATAGTTGACCACTTTGAAAGAGGAACCTCAGAGAAAACCCAAAAAACAGCAGGCCACCTTCCAACCAAGTGCCCACATTGGACAAAAAGTCTACCACTTGTCCAAGGAAAACAAGGGGTTGTCCTTGAGCCAGGAGGATGCCAGGAACTCGTACTGCAGCCAGAAAGCAGATGATGACCCATAAACCGAGGAGTTCAAGTTCATCGTAGATGTAAGGTCTTATCCCTGTAGCACGAACTGAAGTAAGTTTGCCCGAGCCAAAGCCAGGGGTAAAATGAGATGGCAGAACCCCACATAAAAAGGGCATATCCAGGTTGCTAACCATGAACAGATAATGTCCCCTGTTGTTGAGCAGAGGAAGAACTCAACTTTGTAATGAGATACAGGTACAGAAAATATGGCTAAACAGAACAACAAACCCTCTGGGCCCAGGCACCATACTCCAAAGAAACTTAATGGGGGCAACTCCAAATTCCCAGGACCAGTGTCCCTCTAATAACCAGTCCTCAGGATGAAACCATCATCGTTCTGATGCTTGTGAGTGCCATGGTAAAGACAAAACATAAGCATGGGAAGCTGCTGAACCCAGGAATGCCAAATCCATGGGCACATCCCAAAGAAATAAAGGGGACGATTAAGGGATAAAAGTCCAGTTTCCAAACAGCTGAAGCAAACGGCAAACATAGCCTAAGAAGTTGCATAAAATTTGACATAAGCATCCAGGACAAGATGCTCAACATTATCTCCCATAGAATAAATTGAAGATCAGCTGTCGTACCACTCATTTTGGCAGGAGATGCAGAAGCCACAATCACAAAGTGTGATCCTGCAACCTGATGAACCACTGCTTGAGAAGATGGCTCAACCAGCATAGAAGCTACAAGTGTAGAGATGAAGGCAACAGAAGTGATCAATGGAATCTAAGAATACTGGATGACTGGCACTTTGAAAAGTTGTACACATCAGTGTCAGGCACAGAGGCATAGCGTAACAGGTATAACAGCTCCTGACCTAAACACCCGGTAAGGAAATGCATTTATAGTGACAAACAAGAACAATCATTTATTCAACCCACGCACACATTTCATTAAAGTGTAGAGCCTAACCACACAGAATTGCTTTTAAACAGAATTGCTTTTAAATACATGGATGGCGATATACTAAAGAAATTGTTCACGACTTTTGTTAGGCCAAAGCTAGAATATGCAGCGGTTGTGTGGTGCCCATATCTTAAGAAGCACATCAACAAACTGGAAAAGGTGCAAAGACATGTTACTAAGTGGCTCCCAGAACTGAAGGGCAAGAGCTACGAGGAGAGGTTAGAGGTATTAAATATGCCAAAACTAGAAGACAAGAAAAAGAGGTGATATGATCACTACCTTGAGGCTACCTTGAGGTGCTTCCGGGGCTTAGTGTCCCCGCGGCCCGGTCGTCGACCAGGCCTCCTGGTTGCTGGACTGATCAACCAGGCTGTTAGACGCGGCTGCTCGCAGCCTGACGTATGAGTCACAGCCTGGTTGATCTACATACAAAATAATAACAGGAATTGATAAAATCGATAGGGAAGATTTCCTGAGACCTGGAACTTTACGAACAAGAGGTCATAGATATAAACTAGCTAAACACAGATGCTGAAGAAATATAAGAAAATTCACTTTCGCAAACAGAGTGGTAGACGGTTGGAACAAGTTAGGGGAGAATGTGGTGGGGGCCAAGACCGTCAGTAGTTTTAAAGCGTTATATGACAAAGAGTGCTGGGAAGACGGGACACCACGAGCGTAGCTCTCATCCTGTAACTACACTTAGGTAATTACACAAGGGGCAGAGCCAAGTGGGATATCTATTCAAGCACACAGCTAACTGCTATTACATCCCATCAACAGGCTTTTCAGTGGGGGAGTAATATCCCAAACTTCCTGAAAGCAAGATGATTCAAGAAGAGGAAATCCAAACCCCTCAGAAATGATAACTCTAGTGGGGCAAGGGAAATGAACTGGCAACCAGGGCAGATAATAATGTGTGAAACCATGACTTGGTTTCAGTGAAAGCCTCTGGATTTCTAGAAGATTCAATTGACTCCCAGGTTGCATTGCATTTAGCATGTCGTGGTATAGGGTGTGTGAGTGTGAGTACCCAGTGTGTGCAGGTTTCAATTCTCCTCCTACTGATTTTCTCATTGATACATCATGTTAATGTGATTTCTTTGTGCATATTCCGCAATTCCATGAGCCATTAAGTTACTTTACTGCACCTTACGGAAATAGCCAGTGGTAGCACGCGTCTGCTGCTACATTGTCCCCACAATTGGCCATCCAAGAAGATTGATCATATTCGCCTTACTCTCAGGCCTCAAATTATCCATATTATGCAACTCCTGGTATATATTTTGTAACAATTTTGTAACATCTGTTACCACTTATTGCAGCATTTATTGAGTTTAGATGCCAGTTTTGAAGGCCAAAGTATTGTACATAATTTGGAAGCATTTTTCTAGGTACTTGGGATAGTCAGTTATCAAAGGACTGTTCTTTCTGCTAATGGAATCTACTTTTTCTATAAAGTGTTTGAACTGACGCTGTCCATAAAATAGTTTATAACCTAAAAGCAGTAGCATCAAGAAAAGTTTAAATTTTATGAAACTTAATATTCTCGAGAAGTTACAAAAGTAGTGTTCTTAATGCTGTTTTGTATATTGTTTACAAGTCTGTATACATTTAGGTTTAAAATATTAGAACCGAGCATATTATGATCAATTTAAGAATAATCACTGCGTTCTACAACAGCTTGTACTCATTACACTGATGTGCATTTATTGTTGCAACTAATGCTCATTACATTCTGAGAAGTTGAGCATCCTGTGTTCTCATTGTAAACCACCCTCTATTGTGAGACATGCCATGACCAAGGGATACTGCACTTTATCTCCAAAATGCAATTGAACCATAGAGAGTTTTAAGAATGTGTTAGAGGTTAATAATTTCTGCTGAAATTAATTTTATTTGCTTTCTTTTAGGTTATGGATCACGACGAAAATTCCTAGGAAGATTTGCCGTTCGTGTTCGGTCACGTGATGCTATTAAGGAAGATCACTCTTCCCCCATCCGACCTGCATGCAGTGAGACTGTGCAGGTGGGTTACAATGCACGTTAGTAGCAGAGAAACCTTTTAGGGATGAAGTGTTGTCATTTTTTTCCTATAACATAACACAAAGGAATGCTTGCTAAAAGCAGCCCTCTGTTCTTCAGTTATGTGGGCTCTTCCCAATTGTTTTATCACTGGAAATTTGCTAATGTTGCTAGTCCATCTTGTGTCTAAATTGCTTTTATATACGGTGAACAACAGAGGTACTGCACCAGGACAGAGACCTGTAACATTACTTGTAAGGGTTTTCCACTCGAATTTGACTACAGTATTTAGGCTTATGTTCTGTTTTCTTTCACATCAGCTTGGAATTGGCTGCTCCCTCTCTATATGGGCATGTTTACGAATCAGAAGGCTGTTGCATATGATACGTTTCATCTGGCCTATAGTTGGTGACTTCATTTACTTCTTGCACCTGGTTAGGTACTTTTTCCAGTACTGTCCAAGTTGGAAAGTTTTGTGGGCCATCTGCATCAGTTATTAGCTACCAAGTTTACCAGATCAGCCCTGGTTCTCGGTTGTACTCTTGCATTGCCTCTTTCGGAAGATTGGTGATAGAATCTACATGAATGGTTTGCGGCTCTTTGCCAGTCTTCATGTATGGAGTTTTTGACTCATGCACTGTCACTCTGTATGGAGGGCAGGTGGTAGACATTTTGATATCACACCTTTAGGTGTATTGTAGGCAGCAGTATGAGGTGGAGTGGCAGGCTTTTTGTTAGTTCATGTACCCGTATTAGGTTTCTTTACCGTTGGTTCCGATTTTGAAGGCCTTTTTTAAGTGTTTTCTATGCTTCATAATCCAAATTGTATAGGGACCTACCTCCAATTTGAGTTAGCTGAATTTCTTACAAGGAATGTCCAAAAATGAACAGATTTGCAATTTTGTGTACCACAACCCAATTACTCCCGTCACTTACGTACCTACATACGTCCGCTGTTTGCCCTTGCATTTTCATCCTTAACCTTCTCACGCCTTCTGTTTACCCATGCATTCCCATGGCTCTCTTAATCCTGCTATTTACTTGAAAGTGATGAACAGGAATTCATCCTAGTCCAATGATTCATGTTAACAGAATTTGGATTACTGAGTTCTTACAGTGGTTGTTTCAGGAAAACCGCGTATGCTGAATTTTGTCGCCACGTTTATGTTGGTTTTGTTTGCGCATCATTTGGATTCTGGTTTGGATTTGTATTTTCCTTCTCTCAAGCTGGTGAGTGCAATTCTCCGATTTCATCCTGCTCCTGCCTCTTTGGTTCATAGATAAAGTGTTACTCTTTATTTTTTCTGCAGTTGAAGGGCATTATCTTGCTCAAGAATTGCATGCTTATGACGGCCTTTCTGTTGGCCTTAGATTTTGGGCATTTAGGTAGTGAGCTCCATGCTCTTCATTTGTTTTTTTGTCTTGGAGAGTTTTACTAAAGTTCAAATGCCTCCATTATTCTTTGTCAAAAAGGAATCGTTTGCCTTTCATCAATAGCTTCTTCTCATTGAGGCATGGTTCGTCAGACCCTGAGGCCATCACACACACCATCCAGTGGCAGCTTTGTATAGCCATTTGTGGATTGTGAGAGGTTCTTTCTTGTGTCCATTTCTTGAATCCTTGCTCCATTATCCCATGTACTAAGTCTTGGTACTTTCAGCGATTCCGAGGGATTACCAAGCTAAATCAACCACATATCTAACTTTAGCCTCATGACTTGTAGAAATTTGCTGCATGTCACTGGCAAATGTTTGGGGCTTCTGGAGATCCAACTGGGTACGCGCTGCCTGGTTACGTACCTGATAGCTTCCATCTTTGTCAACACTTTGACTCTTATAGCTGCGCTTAGCTTGATACCTGCTTGATGGGGTTCTGGGAGTTCTTCTACTCCCCAAGCCCGGCCCGAGGCCAGGCTCGACTTGTGAGAGTTTGGTCCACCAGGCTGTTGCTTGGAGTGGCCCGCAGGCCCACATACCCACCACAGCCCGGCTGATTCTGAACTTCTCTTAGAAAACAGTCCAGTTTTTTCTTGAAGATGTCCACGGTTGTTCCGGCAATATTTCTTATAGTCGCTGGGAGGACGTTGAACAACCGCGGACCTCTTATGTTTATACAGTGCTCTCTGATTGTGCCTATGGCACCTCTGCTCTTCACTGGTTCAATCTTGTATTTTCTTTTCTTTCTTAGCTGAGGGGAGTTACCAAGTATATATCATGCCCCTTTCTTGGGTGCATTTTGGTGCCTCCTGGTTCCTGCCTAGTTTTCCAGACACACTATGTCTGAGGTGTGCTGGGGTTTGAGTGTAGAAGGGCTTTCTACAATAGAGCATTTATTACACTTGAGACATTTTAGGTATGAGGGAGGTGTTTTTGTTTCTGCTCTTTGTTATTGGAGGGAGTAATTTGGTGGTGAATTAGATTTTATCTTCCCTTTCTGCATTTCCTCAGTGTAAGTGTCAAGCATATTTGTAGAGAAACTTTTCACCATGGGGGTGCCGGTTGATACTGTGTGGCAGGATTGTTGTGTCCTAGGAATGCGTGGTCTTGGCTTGGGAGTGATTGAGGGGGGGCCTTGCTCGAAAAAACATATTGAATATGTGTAAATACTGTATAATTAAGCAAATTTATAATTTATGCCTGTTTTCATGTAACTTTTTATATTACCCTATTTATAAATATTACAGGATGATACGTTTGGGGATTCTTTCTGCAATCTTGGTGTCTTGGATGATGTTTGTGAGATCGAGGCTCGGTACACAGTCACACGATCTTCAAGAACATCACACGAGGAAGTACCTTGTCCTAAAAAGACATTTGAAAGTTTACAACCAAAATCAGATGAGATGTCAGAAAATGTACTTCCTAGTAACAAGAGTTCTTCAAATAATGATACAGAGATTTTTTCAAATAATAAGCATCACGGAACTTTCAATGAAACTAAATCTAAAGATCTTAGGCGATCACCGAGATTAAAGAGCTCAAGTTCTGGCAATATAAAAAATGAAAATTGTGGAGCAGCATCAAAAGATTTTGATGAACGTAATAAGAGTGAAAAGCAGAAGAAAACTGATGAGCTCGAACCAGTTGAAACAAATCCTCTTGAAGACATTGATGCTATGGATCTGAGTGATAGCGACTTTCCAGATGAGATTACTTCTCCAGGAGATGAAATGCAGAAAGAAGCAGGGCTGGGTTATTCGTTCTTGCGTAACTCTCGAATAAATAATTATATTAATGCCTCCAAGCGAGTGTTCAGTAACTCTTCGAATGAGACTGTCAGAAGGTCACAAAGACTGCGGGTTAAAAAGGATGCATGCAGTACGGATAGTGTTTATTTATCAAATAGGAGCAAGAAAAATGTTAACAAGGTTAATGCAGGCGATAAAACTAAACACAAACTAATCTATTCAAATTGCGGAAATAGTACAGAAGGAAACAGTTGTGTACGACGCAGAGATGATCTTCCATCAAATATTGATTTTCACAAAGGTGAAGTACTGAAGGAAATAAACACAAATTCTTCATTAATTATCTCGACTTCTGTAGATAAATATTCTTTAACCAAATATAATTCTAATGTAAAAAATGTGTCCGTAAATAAAGAAAATTGTGTAAATGAAAGGGGACAACATTCAGTTGCAGACATACAAGAATCACACCTTGCAATTGATGGCTGTTCAGAAGGTTGTTTCCTAGAAAAAGAAGGCCAGATAAAACAAACACTAAACAATGGAAAAGTTTATTATAGAGAAGCACAACAAACCTTTCCTGATGCCTCTGAAATTTCTGAAGCCAAGGAAAATGTTGTTCTTGGTCATCAAGAGACAGTCAGTAAAGCTGAAATCTTGAAAAGTGCATCATATTTTACTAAGCCTGGAACATCGGTAGAGTTTAATGCACCTGTTATGAGCCACCTTGCACCATCTGTTATGAGCAACCTTGCACCACCTGTTAAGTTTTTGAGCACTGATAAATGTTTATCACCTGTTACTTCTGATGTGCTTATGGAAGGCCAAGTACCTGTGAATTCTAATGAATTTAATAACACTCGAGTACAAATGAACTCTATTGAGATTATGGGGATCCAAGAACCAGCTAATTCTCTCTTATCAAAAGAAAGCAAAACTCTTCTTAAAAATGAAAGTGTGTGTAGTGTTGCTCAGATAATTGTTGAGTCTGATCTATCCAATAAGGGTTTTAATGATAGCACAACAAAGCGCACTGAAATACCTATTAATCCTCCTGCATCAGCTAAATTTAAAACTCCAGTTCACCAGCAAGCAACAGGCTCTTCCATGATCCAGAAGCCTGAAACTTGTTTAAGGTCTCCATTCAGCGAGAATAATGAGAGTTACAGTTTTCTTTCAACTCAAGAGAAAATGGAGTTGTCGTCTTGGGGACTGCCTGATGCTGTATTGCAGGTTAGTTCAGTATTTTTTTACCAAAACAAATTATTGGTAGACACCATATTATGTATCCGTTCATTAGGAGTTCTATACAGTATTGCTGTTCAGAGTAGTTTAATATAATTCCCATGTCATCACGGATATTTACTTCATGCACAAGTTTCTTTTACCATGTGCTCATTTATTTTTTAAACAAAGAACAAATTCATACAATGTTTTTATGAATTCCGTAAAATTCTTGGCAAATGGTATTTTGTTTATTGTATTGTGTTTAAAAGTTTATTTTTTTATTGTATAAATATAACATGCAGATGAGAAATAGAGTAAAGTTGCCTAAATCCAGATTGTTGCCAGTAATCATACACTAGCATTGAAGAACTCTGTGATGCTTGCTCGAATATATAGAATGAATCCACAAAAGTGCCAGAAACATTTTGATTATGCTCCAGTAACATAATAAGTTATGTTAGTTACAGTTACAGTACAGTTAACAGTTACAGTCTCCGTGGTGTAGTGGTAAGACACTCGCCTGGCGTTCCGCGAGCACTATGTCATGGGTTCGTATCCTGGCCGGGGAGGATTTACTGGGTGCAATTCCTTAACTGTAGCCTCTGTTTAACGCAACAGTAAAATGTGTACTTGGATGAAAAAACGATTCTTCTCGGCAGGGGATCGTATTCCAGGGACCTGCCCGAAACGCTACGCGTACTAGTGGCTGTACAAGAATGTAACAACTCTTGTATATATCACAAAAAAAAAATAAAAAAAAAAAAAATAAAACATAACTGATCTCTAATGCAAAAAAAATGAATAAACATGTATTATGATTTACGATTTTGCTTGATTTTGAGAACAGTAGTTTTTTTAGGAAAATCATAAACATTTATTTTTCATCTAGTTTAAAGGGCCATATTTAATTTGATTTATACTATACTATTTTGTTTTCAGTTTGATTAACAGTCTTTAAACTGTAGGATATTGGCCACCAAAACTAGTTGCGTTATCTCAAAATCATTTTAAAACGCTAAAATAATGCATATGCTAAACACTGTCTTAGGTTTCATATTACAGTACTGTGAAACCTCGAGTGACGAGCTGCTTCAGTTACGAGCATTTCAAGTAACGAGCAACCCACTTGCAGAAAATATGTCTCGTCTGATGAGCTTTCGCTCTATTAACGAGCGTTCCTGCTGGTTCTCGGACACCTCTGACGACAGTTTTGTTGTTATCTCGCAAGACGAGTTTTCCACATGACGAGCTCGGTGCCGAAACGGATTAAATTCGTTAATCGAGGCGCCATTGTACTATAATATTAGATCTTAATGGTCACTGGTTTCCAAGGAATGAGCTATTGAACATGGAATGTTTTATGGAATGTTAGGCTGCTGGGATGAATAATTTATCTTCATCCAAACAGTATGAAAATATTATACCACTAAATAGTACTGACACATTGAAACTATGTGTAGTAACATCAGATCTTGGTGGTTTCCAAGAATTGAGCCACTAAACATTGGGGTATCTGTTAGCAGTACAAAACATCACTGTATTATGGTGTCCAGACAACCTAGGGGCCGATCGTCTGGAAAGTAGGGATCTTTTTCTATGAGTGTTGCTTAAAAGTATTGAAATGAAGAGAGGTACAATAGACTAAGTTTGAACAAATCCACAATGGCCGTGACGAGGATTCGAACCTGCGTCCGAGAGCATCCCAGACGCTGCCTTAATCTGCAGCATCTGATTACTGATTGACGCCGATTCATCACGCTGACGCTGCCTGATGCTGATTCATCACGCTATTGTGATTTCTGTGTGTAATGAAGTAGACCTAATTTGTATGTTATAATGGGAAAATTTCCTTACAAATTGGTGGTTTGTATTGTCTTTTCCACCACCAAGGCATTGGGACAATTGGTGTGTGGTGTAAATTTCAAGCACCATCCAATTTTCTCAATATCAATAAGGATATTACTTGTAGTGATCATTCTGGTGTAACTTGCAGTATTGGATATCATTTTCTATCCATACCATAAGTACAGTACAGTACAGTACTGTATTCCAATAAATTTAATGTACAATATGTATACTCTTGAGCTGTACAGTGGCTTCCTGAAGCTAGCTTGCTGAAGTACCTTTACACAGATGAGTCTCATCAGCCTTAGGAATCCTGAATGGCCTGCCAGGGACCATCTTCTTTTTGAGATGGTTATCTTGAGATGATTTCGGGGCTTAGCGTCCCTGCGGCCCGGTCCTCAACCAGGCCTCTTTTTTTTTGTTACACATCCGCAGGAAGCAGCCCATAGCAGCTGTCTAACTCCCAGGTATCTATTTACTGCTAGGTAAGCAGTGGCATCAGGGTGTAAGAAACTCTGCCCATTTGTTTCTGCCTCTGCCGGGGATCGAACTCGGAACCTTATGACTACGAATCCCGAGCGCTGTCCACTCAATCGGCAGGCCCCCATGACCATAACCTGGCTCCCCTCACCAAGGAAATACTCAGAAAGTACGTGAAGCAATACAGATAATTGAAAGGTTCACCGAGAGATAAAATGAAGCAGAAAAGTAACTCTACAAATGATTCACTTTATAGCTAGATCGAACTGCTATAGTTAAGGCTGGCAACCATCAATTAATAACACCACTGGAAGCTCCTTGCTTCTATGTCATTAGACCCTCAATATTACCCTGATGTCCTTGAGTGCTGACTTCCTTGTGTCGCCAGCATTAGCAAGTCCCAGTTGCAAGGCAAGCAAGAGTAGAAACACACCCGTGAAGCAAATGCCAAATATGGGAATGATACACATACAAATGATCCTCACAGGATAGTCTAAAAGACAACCTACACTTATCTTGGAAAAAACCAGAACTCACTAAACTTGGCAACTCAAGGAGGTCCTTATTTGGGGACTATAAGGGTGTTACAACACACTTATTGTATTGTATTGAACAGTATTGTGTGTGTAATGACATGGAAACCAGGAGCTTCCAGTGGTGTTGCCAACTATTGATGGCCAGTTGTAACCAAGGCAGTTCGATCTAGCTTCTGAGTGAATCATTTGTGGAATTGTTTGCTGCTTCAGTTCTTTTATTTCTTTGAACTTTGCCATTGTTTGTATTGCTTTTCTTGCTTTTTGGATGTTTCCTTGATGAGGGTATTCTAACAATCCCCTGCTAGGGGATTGCATTCTATGATAAAAGCATTCTATGTTGTTTTTTCTGTGGCTTTGTAAGGAGGCCAGGTTCTGGCCATGGGTCCCTGGTAGGCCACACAGGACTGGTAAGGCTGATGAGACTCATCTGTATGGAGCTACCTGCTGAGGGTGATAGAGCCTCCCGGAGCAACTATCCTTAGCTTCTGGGAGCAACTGTGGCACAACCAGAAAAAGGTATTTAACACAATGTTGTTTTCTTTCGTCCACCTTGAAGGCAATAACTTAGTATCTGGTAACAGCCAACTTTACTCTACTACAATGATCATTTGAATAATACATGTAACATGCAATAATTTTTAAATTGATTGACATATTAAAGAAATTATAGCAAAGGAAAGAATTGTTGGGTTAAAAAATAATTTTATGAGTGGTATGAACAATAATGATATTACTGGTACTTTTAATTTGCTGGTCAAAAGTATTTGTGATAATAGAAGGGAAAATTGTAAAGGAAGATTTAAACTACTTTGGATGGATGGAGAACTGTATATCTTAAGATATTAACAGTTGTGTGATTTAAAACACACTCAACTAAGTTGTATGAAAAAAATGCCTTGTGTAGCTACGGATACCTTCATTAACATCCCCTGGAATTTGCTCTCGGGTCATCATCCCAGTATGTTGCCCTGGCTGTTAAGTCAGAAATATATGAAAAATGCAAATATATTGGAATGAGCCTGGAAGAGTGGAACACTATATGATAGAAAGGGTGGGTGCTGGGGGGGGGGGCAGGAGTATTTGAACGAGTGAAAGGTTTGTGGGGGTGATAGAGCCTCCCGGAGCAACTTTTGCTCTGGTCTCCTCCTTATGGGGAGCTTCCGGGAGGGAGTAAGGCATTGAGGCTGAAGGTAGATAAATGTATTAGTACCTTGGATTTGCCCAAGATTTTTATTCTATGCTTGTGTCGATGAAAGTGGGAAATGTGGTATTGTTGATGATTACTAATACTGTATCAATGAAATATGACATTAAATCTTAGTAACCTGTCTTCATTAACTTGTACTGTACTTAAGAAAATCAAGATGAGGTTACTCTGTTTGTTTCCACAATGAGGCACAAGACATACTCCTCAGTTAGGAATAGCTTTAACAGTTTTATTCGGAGCTATTTGCAGTGTCATGAGTGGCAAAAAACTTTGAATGAAGATGATGTATGTTTGAATAAATAAGAAAAATATACACAATTTGTGATGGGAGCAAAACAATCCATGATTAAATAAACTGGTCAAATTGCCCATTTAAATTAAAATGGGATAACAACTATCTGTATAGCTATATTAAATTTTGTATTCCTGTACAGTATTCATAGGTGTAATTTAAAGGCACAAAATTAAAGCTGTTAGAAAAGGTTTTGTGTTTTTCAGTTAACAATGATGGTGTGGTAGTATTGAGGGAAGCATTGAGAAAAATGTGTATAGTATATTTAGGAAATTATATAAAGATATTGAAACAAGGAATAAATAATTTAATTTATAATTCATTGTGTGAGGAGGGGGGGGGGGACAGGCAGCCAGAGTGTATACTGATATACATGTTAGGGTTATATCGCTGTTCTCCCCCAAGGTCAAATTACCAACCCTTCCCAGGATACAACCCCACAACAAGCTGACTAACTCCTGGGTACCTATTTACTGCTAGGTGAATAGCCTATAAGGTAATATGACATGCGCCCAACAATTTCTGTCTCGCCTAGGAGTCGAACCAGGAATTATCGACTATGAGACGAGAACAAACCTGACTATACAGTACTACTGGGATTGGTAAAGATGCATAATAGCACAGTGGAAGGTAGGAGTGCTGGTGTGTGGGAGTGCTTATCTCTAACATGGTGTAGCCCATGTTAGAGATAAGCCAAGTTATTAAAGGAGTTTTCTTAAAGTAGCAGAATGTTATTGGAATATGCTTTAGATAGGGCAGGACTGTTTGAGGGAACATTATATTTATGAAAATGTTAGAGCCTATATTGCTTTGATGCCACTGTCACTAGTGAATAAGTTTTATGGTATGAACACAAGTTACTAAACACTAGATCAAGTGGAAGCTTTGTTAATATCCATTTGTCTAATTTGAATTCAAGGTACAGTGATTTAGCTTTTGAGATAAGTGAATCAGTTCTTCTTTATTTAATTGAGAATAGAATACATTTTACTCCTCATAAAATCATCCCTTTTTGTTTCAGTGTTATCTGAAAAATGGAATCAAGACAATGTTTCCTTGGCAAGCAGAGTGTTTGAGCCTGCCAAATGTTCTTGATGGAAGAAATCTTGTTTATTCTGCACCTACATCTGCTGGTACGATAAGCTGATCAAACAGCAGTAATGTCATTTATTGTATGTTTATCATTAGCTTGCATATTTAATTTTAGTGGATGTGTGTAGACTTCATTTATACAAGATACAGTATATTGCATGGAAGGAGTTATATAAAATCAGTAGAGATTCATAGGTCTAGTGTTTATTAAAGAAAAAATGCTGCACACATGTTAAATTGTCCATGAAATCACTTGAACCAGGACCATTTACCACACATGTGAAATGTCTTTGTTATGTTGATGATGTTTTAATCATGGCAATGCCTTGTTGACCTGGATAATTTAAGCCTGCCAAACAAATGACAAAACTACAATGCTGCTACAACATTCGAACAAGTTTGAACACCACCTGACACATTGTAACAACCAATATAGCAAGTTGTAACAATGTTCTAATACGTCATAAAAACGTTATACCAAGATACAGTATATCAACTTTATTACCAGTTGTAACAAGCGGAAAATAGGGACAGTTACGTTTTGTGTTTGCAGAGAGGAAGTTGAATCTACTAGACAGTTTATATTTGAGATACACTGTAGAGAGATTACTCCTTTTCCTAACCCTTAAAATGTGGTCATTGTCATATGTTGATTGTGTAGCAAAATGCAGTTTTCAACATTTGAAATTCACATTTTGTGTCAATGTTTGAATGCTGATGTTGTCCAAATAGTTCCAATAGCTCAGGGGTGTTTCCTAGCAGTCATGGGAGACCACAAAACAATTTGGAGTTAGACATAGTTCAATTTCTGGCCAGGTCAGAGATGGTTTGGCACATTTCCTTTCCAACCTGTCCTTTTACAAAGAACGTCGCATTTCGATCATAAGGCAAAAAGTTGTACTAGAAAATGGAAGTGGCTCGCAAAAGTGATGTACTGTTTTGTTTTCGTTTTGGATACCCTGGTAGGTAAGGAGAGGACACTTTAAATTTAGCGTTTTCTTGACATTGGGAAACTTTAGGAGGACGGGCTGTCTCTTTCACCTGATATGTCTGTTTGTCTAGCACTAAATACTAAATATACAGCTGGGAGTTAGACAATTGTGGGTTGCATCCTGGAAATGGTCAGCCATATGGCAAGAGAACACCTGGATAATTCTTAAGTGCAGGTTTTCTGAGGGGAGCCCCTTCAGCTCCCTGGAGCTATCAGGCTGATGTGTGTTATATTAGTTTGGGACATCAGTCAACTGGAGTTCAACCTCACCCAGAAAGATAGGCATGACAAAACAGACCCAACAAAGTAAAAAAAATTGCAACCAAAGACCGAACAGAGAGACAGAACTCTCCCTCACTTAAAGAAACAAGTAAACAAGCAAATGCAACAATCCACTGCCTTGGCACTTGTCCATGTAGCTCCCCCCCCCCCCACTGGAGGGGGGGGGGAGGGAGTAGTTGACGTGGTCCGAGACGGACGTTGACTCTGGCCTTAGATTCTTTGGCAGTTGTGTACCTTAGTGATGTGCTCTGCTGTATGTGTGGCATGGTGGCCAGGAGAACTTTGAGAGTACTGGGGCACTTAGGGTCCTCTTCCCTGGGCCCCCTGTAAGTACTACTGGCGGGTTCCTTTCCATAGAACGTTCAGGAACCGTTTCCGTTGGGGGTCTTTGCCACTCGGCTCTTACCCCCGCCCTGAGGGCGGGGTTTTTTCATAGCCTTTGTTTGGTGGTGGTTCGCCCATCAAAGCTGTGTAAAGGATCTGCATCTCCAAATCAATTAAGTGTCACTGAAGCATGCCAACACACCATGCTACCTTTCAAATTGCATTTATGTCAGATCTTGATGCTTGGTGGTTCCATAGGAGCAAACCACCAAACATGGAGATGGCTGATACCAGTTTCCATTCATTACTTAAGAAGCACTGAGGGGCTTGAATAAAATTTGCAATACTCAGCTGCCAAGATGAAACTTTTGCTTGCAGGAATCCTTGTATCACATGTAATTTGTGGTTGGAACAATACAACTGCAGGCAGTTACTTTTTGATATTCTGATTGTTATACAGTACATAATTATATTTTGGAAGTGGTATATGATGATGCAATTTAACTGTTTCAGTAGTGTAGGAAAAGTCACTAATTTAATTGTCATTATTTTTCTAATTTACCGACTGTTTCTTTGCCACACACTCAAGGCAAGACCCTCGTAGCTGAGCTGTTGCTTCTCAAAAGAGTGGCAGAAAGTGGCCGCAAAGGAGTCTTCATCCTTCCTTTTGTATCGGTAGCACGGGAGAAGATGTACTACCTACAAGTCAGTACCAATGTGTCTTTCTTTAATAGTCATTATATGTATGGTTTGGAACTTGATGTTTTGTATTGTTTATTTCTTTGATAAACAAATAGGTAGATTAATATATATTTAACATATTGACTCGGTTCTGGCACTAAATAATTAGGTATAACTGGTAGGGATACTTTATGGTTTTGTCATGTATATCTTTGTTTCTACAATATTTTTGACAGGTTTCTGTTAAGTATCTAAAGAAAACCTTGCTATATTAACTTTAAACTTAAAATGGTGTACAGCATATTGATTTTTCACAATGTGTTGAGAAAGACTTTCATAATGACTTGTAATCTACAACACTTGTACATATATGATGATAAAACTTGTTTTTCTTGGGCAGTGTCATCTATTAGTAACTCTTGTTTTTATAATAGTCTTTTAGTTTAGTTTACCTCTTAGTGTGTAAGAGGTACAATGTAAGAGATACAGTGTTTGTAGAGATACAGTGTAAGAGGTACAGTTTATATAGATACTGTACAGTAATTACCTAAGTGTAGTTACAGGATGAGAGCTACGCTCGTGGTGTCCCGTCTACCCAGCACTCTTTGTCATATAACGCTTTGAAACTACTGACGGTCTTGGCCTCCACCACCTTCTCACTTAACTTGTTCCAACCGACTACCACTCTGTTTGCGAAAGTGAATTTTCTTACATTTCTTCGTTATCTTTGTTTAGTTAGTTTAAATCTATGACCACTTGTTCTTGAAGTTCCAAATCTCGGCATATCTTCCCTGTCGATTTTATCAATTCCTGTTACTATTTTGTATGTAGTGATCATATCACCTCTTTTTCTTCTGTCTTCTAGTTTTGGCATACAGTATTTAATGCCTCTAACATCTCCTCGTAACTCTTGCCCTTCAGTTCTGGGAGCCACTTAGTAGCATGTCTTTGCACCTTTTCCAGTTTGTTGATGTGCTTCTTAAGATATGGGCTCCACACAACCGGTGCATATTCTAGCTTTGGCCTAACGAAAGTCGTGAACAATTTCTTTAGTATTTCGCCATCCATGTATTTAAAAGCAATTCTGAAGTTAGAAAGCGTGACATAGGCTCCTTGCACAACATTCTTTATGTGGTCCTCAGGTGATGGTTTTCTATCTAGAACCACCCCTAGGTCTCTTTCTTTATCAGAATTCTTTAAAGATTTCTCACATAATTTATAGGTTGTGTGGGGGTCTATGTTCTCCTATTTCACATTCCATAACATGGCATTTATTAACATTAAATTCCATTTGCCAAGTGGTGCTCCATATACTTATTTTGTCCAGGTCTTTTTGAAAGACATGACAATCATCTAAGTTTTTTATCCTTCCTTTTATTTTAGCATCATCAGCAAACATGTTCATATAATTCTGTATTCCATCTGGTAGATCATTTATGTAGACAGTGAACATCACTGGTGCAAGAACTGAACCCTGTGGTACTCCACTTGTGACATTTCTCCAGTCCGATACATTGCCTCTGATTACTGCCCTCATTTTTCTATCAGAAAATTTTTCATCTATGTTAGAAGCTTACCTGTCACTCCTCCAATATTTTCCAGTTTCCAGAACAACCTCTTATGTGGAACTCTGTTAAAAGCCTTTTTTAGGTTCAGATAGATGCAGTCAACCCAACCATCTCTTTCCTATAAAATCTCTGTGGCTCGATCATAGAGTAAATTCGATACACAGGATCTTCCTGTGTATATTATCCTTTACCTGCAATTTGTTGTTTATGAATTTGCAGAATAGGCCTGGTTCTGTTTTACATTTATCCGCTATCCCTTTTTCAAAATTTCTTTTGCCTCTCTCCTTCCTGCCGTATAGTTGTTTCTCGCATCTTTGTATCGTTGGTATGTTTGGGGGTTTGGCCTCTTCTTATATTGATTCCATTTTTGTGTCTTTTGGCCTCTGGCCCTCTCGCAATTTCTGTTGAAGCAATCCTGTTTTCTGGCTCTGCGTCTCTGTTTTGGTATGAATGTTTGTGTGCCTTCATCGTATATTTTGCAAAATTTGGCATACATTTTATTTACTTCCCAGCCTAACAACAAGTCTGTCCAATTACACTCATTAAAAAATTCAGTGTAAGAGGTACAGTGTTTGAAGAGATACAATGTAAGAGGTACAGTGTTTGTAATGATACAGTGTAAATCTATGTGTAATCTATATTACAGTAATCTATATTACGATACAGTGTAATCTATCTCATCTTTGATACTAAGGGAATGTGCATCTGAGATTAGTGCCCCATTTCAAATTATCTTTCAAACATCCTTAGAAGGGATCCTTGCTGATGTTGCAAGATATACGAGGAAGGCACCTAAATATTTATGCCAAACTAGAGAAGCAAATATAGAAAACAGGACTGGTTTAATAGAAATTGTGAGAGGGAAAGCGAACAAAATACAAAAAATAGAATCAATATAGGCAGTGGGTAACTCAGACATATCAGAATTACCAATAAGCACAAAACAATTACACAGCATTGAAAAGTCATACAGAAACTTTAAGAAAAGAATAGTAGACAAATGTAAAACAGAACCTGACCCTATTCTATAAATTCATGAAAAGTAAATTGCAAGTATAAGACAAAATCAAAAGATTACAAATGAGAAACAGACTCGGAGAGACTGAAAAGAAAATGTGTGAAACACTAAATGAACAGTTCTACAGTGAGTTCATGGTGTGGCTAAGACTCGGCGAACTAACCTCAATATCAACTTTTGAACATAACTTGGAGTATATAGAAGTGTCTAGAAACAAGGTAGTAGAACTGCTGTGGGAGCAAGACAGAAACAAAGCAGTTGGGCCAGATGAAGTCTCATCTTTGATACTAAGGGAATGTGCATCTGAGATTAGTGCCCCATTTCAAATTATCTTTCAAACATCCTTAGAAGGGATCCTTGCTGATATACAGAAAAAGGCAAACATAGTTCTAATATATAAGAATGTAAACAGGGAAGACGCTAGACTAGACCTGTATCACTGACAAACATGATAGGGAAAACACTAGAAAAATAATTAGGATAAAGTGAACAGAGTACCTGGAAAGTAACAATATAATAACAGACAGACAGTTTGGATTTGAACAGGAAGGTCTTTCGTAGCAAATCTACTTAGTTTTTACAATAGTGCTTAAATATTGCAAGAAAGGAAAGGTTTGGCTAATTCTATACTTGGACTTAAATTTTTTTTTTAATAGACAAATTAGAGCAGTGACCAGAGGCAATGGATCTGACTGGGGAAATGTCACTAGCAGAGCACCTTCAGGTCCAGCTCTCACACCATTAATGTTTATTATGTATATAAATGATCTACCAGAGGGAATTCAAAGTTACCTGAATGTTTGCAGATGATGGCAAACTGCTGAGAAGAGTCAGAAACTTGCATAACTGCAAGTCCAAAGATGGAATTCAATGTAAATGTCATATAATAGAGTGTGGAATAGAATAGAACAGGTCACACCTAACCTACAAATTATGTGAAAATATATTGAAAACCCTCTGTTAAGGCAAGAGGTCTAGGAGTGGTTCTGGATAGTAACCTGTCTCCAAAATGCCACATAAAGGGCATTGTGAGAGGAATCTACACTATGCTAACAAATTTCAGAACTGTGGTTAAATATACGGATGCAGAAATGTTAGAGAAGGTGCTTACACATTTTGTGAGAACAAAATTGTAATAGACACTGCACCACTACTGCATATCTCTCAAGGACATTAATAAATTAGAAAGGGTGCAAAGACATGGTATTAAATGCTTCCTGGAACTTAAGAATATGAGCCATGAGGAGAGACTGAAGGCATTAAACATGCCAAGGCTGGAAGATAGAAGGAAAAGAGGTGATATGATCACTACATATAAAACTGTAACAGGAATTGTCAAAATAGACAAGGTGGAATTGTTAACACTTGCAACTCAAAGATCAAGAGGTCATAAATTCAAGCCAAGGAAACAAAGGTGCCCCCCCAAAAATATGGAAGTTCTCTTTTTGCAAACAGAATTGTAGAAGGTTGGAATAAGTTAAGTAAGAAAGTGTTGGAGTCCAAACCTGTCAGTAGTTTCAAAAACTTATTTGACAGAAACTACTGGGAAAATGGGACACCATGACCATAGCTGTCATCCTGTTATCATGTAACTACACTAAGTGAACAAATGTATAGTATATACTGTATACGCACAGTACTGTATATACTGTACCTATATACCTGTAATCTATAAATGAAAATGTATTTAGACCAGCACTTAATAATTGTCTCTTATTTTCCTATAACAGAAAATGTTTGGCGTTGCTGGGATTCGTGTTGAAGGCTTTATGGGTTCCCATAGTCCACCAGGAGGAATGAAAGCTACAGACATTGCTGTTTGTACTATTGAAAAGGCTAATAATCTAGTGAACAGGTATGAGTGAAAGCTGTTTAAAGAAATTTTGTGCATTACTATTATTGTCTAAATAAAAATTCATCATCTAGTTTAATTTTTAAATGATATTGTATTGATGTGTATAGGTATAGATATTTTTCCTGGGGAAGCCCCTTTGGAGCTTCCTGAAGCTGTATTGCTAAGATGACTTCCCATACTCAGTCACGTCAGTCTTTGGAGTTCTGTTGTTGTACCAGAGACCAGAGACAAAACGTGGCATCACTCACAGAGGCATAGAGAGCAAGGGATTGTTACCATCACCCTCACCAAGAAAGAATCCAGCAAGTAGACGAGACAGAACATATGCAGGCGATGAGTCACAATAACGTGGCTGAAGTATGTTGACCAGACCACACACTAGAAAGTGAAGGGACGACGACGTTTCGATCCGTCCTTTCACCTTCTGGTGTGTGGTCTGCTCAACGAAACAGAACATACAACACATGGTTTATGAAAATGAGCAGCCAACAGACTCTGCAAAAGAATTGCTAAAAATGAAATGATTCATTCAAACCTGGATATGAAACGCCCCTAGTGCACATGTGCAGTACCGCCAGCTAGTTGCAGCCTGGTCCCAAGCCAACTCAATTCTGTCACTGATGTGGCCTTGGCTGCTATTCTCTATCACTGTAGCATGTCCCACTTCTTTCTGAAAATAAGTGACAGCCATCCTTTGGACTTTGTACTGTGGGAACTATTTGCTTGTGCATCATTCCTAACATTTCATTTTTGCTCACAGACATGTGTTTACAACCCTTATTTGTTATGTGGACTTAGCTTTATCATTGCTACAAGCTGCCTGTGTTGAGGGTGACCTTTCCCTAAGCATTTATTTAGCATTGCCCCCTGCACTGACAGTTAATTCTTGGGTGTATTTGGGAGTTTGCCCACGAGAGGCCAAACCACTGGGGTGGAGAGCCTTGCCCTGGGTAAGGTAGAGTTGTGACTCCTCTGCAAGACCTTATGGTTGAGGCATTCTGTTTAAGATGTGGAGTGTGCGTATGTTTGTTTATATGGCACTCTGCTGATGCCCTTTGCAACCATGTATATGCTATGTTTGATGTCAGTTTGCCAGAGAACGTCCCTAGTGCCTGGATGTCCTTTTTTGGTTAGTTGTTTTTAGGTGCCGCAGGGTCTGTGATGGAGCTTGTGATAGAGGGATCCCTGGAGTCCGCACTCTCTACATGCCAGTTTGAGGGTTGTCTATTGGCATTGTTACTTATCCCCAGTCATTTTTCTGCCTTCTGTTGGTTAGGCATTATCCTCTGCCCTGAAATCTGTTACTCTTGCATTCAATATACAGTATTTTAGCTTCAGCCTCCGACTTCTGTCTTCTTTGTTTTTATAGTGACGAGGCTCAACAGGTGGCATGCTGCCACTTCAGATTCATTTTCCCGTTTGGTTTTGCAGCTTGGTGGTGTTAAAGTGGTTGCCCTGGAGTTGGCTTTTGTTTTTTTTTGGCTTTGCTCCTAGAGTGGCGAGTGTTAATTTCCCCGCTCTCTTTCCTTCTCATTGTTACATTCACCAGACCCCTCCCCACCTCCTTGCTTGCTCTGGGCTCCATGATGTTTCTGGGCTTTAGAACCTGGGCTATTTTTAGTATGGAGTGTAAAGCCTTCTCCTGGGATCACCCTCCATTTCGACATTGGTGGCAGTCATGCCAATACTTCCTGTCAAGATCCGTTGCCTTCTGTTTCTTGGGGGATTTTTGGCTCTAATCCCTTTAGAGTGGAAGGCACCACCACTCTGCCTTGGTGGTGGTGCCTTCCACTCTGCCTTGGTGGTGGTGCCTTCCACTCTGCCTTGGTGGTGGTGCCTTCCACTCTGCCTTGGTGGTGGTGCCTTCCACTCTGCCTTGGTGGTGGTGCCTTCCACTCTGCCTTGGTGGTGGTGCCTTCCACTCTGCCTTGGTGGTGGTGCCTTCCACTCTGCCTTGGCATCAAGTGCAGCACCTTACTCTGCTCTGGGACCTTCATGTTGGGCTTCCAGGGCTGGGGAAGAGACCTAGGTGGATCCCTGGTTGCCCTTCAGCCTTCCTGGTCTCTGCTTTCCACTATGGGGGGTGTTTTATCCTGGTTTGGGAGGTTCGCTTTTTCTCCCGCTATTTCATATGGGGGTTCCTCAACTGCTGCTTTCCAGGTTCACTGCTGGGTCTCATTCAATGTCCTTGGTTATGTCATGTTATGAAGGTTCCTGCTTCCCACCTTCCATTTGGCTTGGTCAGTTTTGTGGTTCCTCCTGTGGTTCCTGGTTTTCGCTGCCTTTTGCACCCACTCTATTTTGGGTTCTGGTCATCAGAACCAGAGCAGAGCAGAGCCTTGTGGTAGTATTCCATTTTACCCTGGCTTGTGGATGTTACTTTGTTTCTTTTTGTGTGTTTTCTTGTGCCCTCTCCTGCACTTGGACACTTGTGAGAGTTTCCATTCCATGTGAGTATCTGTCTTGGCTCTGGCTTCAGTCATGTTGCAGTTTCAGTGCCTGCTTGGTGTGTTTTGCTTGTTCAGGCTTGTTATGCTTGGCCCTTCTGTTTCCCGGTGGCAGGGAGCCACACCTGTGTTTCTGGAATGGGCCTCTGGTGGGATTTTGATTCTCTGGCTTTAGCCCTTCTTCCTCCTCTCATTGAGCAATGTGCTCACATCCCTAAGACTCTTCTCTCTCCTGAAGGGGAAGTCTTAGGGATGCCAGCTCTTGAAGAATTAGGACAGGGTGGGTAGAAAGCCTTTCCTTGCCAGACTGTTAGGCATTTGATTAAGTTGGTAAAATCATACCAGTTTTCCTCCTGTGCACATCTCCTCTTCCATTTGTCAGTCACATTGGGAGTATGGGAAACCACCTCATGCCTTTTTTGTTAAATCTGTCAGCGTCACCTTGTCCATAGTTGCTTCTCCTAAGCAAAGCAGGACATAGATGGAGCGCAAGCAAGATTATCTCTGTACTATAGCAATACACTCCTTACTCAATTTGAGTCTTCTCTCTGCCATCTGAATTTGGCATAGTATCTGGGCTCCTGTGGCCTCAGTTTCAGTTCATCTTCTACTGTGTAGTCCCTGTTCTCCAGCTGTTCTGCTTGTATATGTGCCCAGTCTTTTCTTCTTTTGTTGCCTTGCATTCTGTAGGAATTTGGTTATGGAAACCTCCAAGAAACCTTGGAAATATAAAGTCGAGTGTAGTTCCCACTTTTGCCCTTTTCCCCCTGAGTGTGTTTGGGCGGGGGTGGGGTGGGCTGGATTTGTATTCACTATTGATTATGCCATTTAGTACTATAATGAAAACAAATTTTAATAGGTCAATGGTGATTTTATTATATGGTAAATGCTCCAGTTTAAGTATAGTATTTGTTGTTAAGTATTTTACTACATTCTATCCACACAGTACTTGGTACAGTATTGCAGAAAATGGGTACATATACTGTATATCTCATCATTAGAACTTGTATAATGACATGTTTTAATATACATTTGTTGTTTTTGTAAATATATAGAACCAAAATTATTACATAAACAAGCAATAATATTTACTAGGCTTACAAAATAATATTAATCTTTTTCAGATTAATGGAAGGTAAACGCATGAATGAACTTGGTATAATTGTGGTTGATGAGTTACATATGTTGGGCGACTCTCATCGAGGATATCTTCTAGAATTGCTCCTCACCAAGGTCATGTTTGTGTCCAGTCTCTCCAGAAGCAGTAAAATGGTAAAATTTTACACAGTTGGAATTCCTAGCCACTCTAGTGTTTTACCTGCCTTTATCTGCAAGAATGACTCACGACTCTGAGAACAGAATTTGTTTATCCATATTTACTTGCTTCCTTCGCAAGTATTCCCTTGCCTGCCATCATGTCTTTTTGAGTTGCTCCCTAAGGAATAACCCTACTCGTCTGGATACAGTTCCTGCAGAGAGGCGAAGGGAGCAATGGCCTATGAAACTCTCATGTATGAAAGTATTTCATGTCTGCCATCGACTGGGGTTGAACACCCAGAAAGGTATGTGCTTCAAAACAGACCCCTCCTGGTAGAAAAATTGCAACCTGTGACAGAACAGAGGCTAGAAACTCCCCCAAACAAAACCAAGCTAACAAGCAACACATCATCACACCGCGCACTGCTCGTTTGTGCCGACACCCCCTCCCCTCCTGGAGGGAAGAGGGGGGTCCAGGCCCACTAAGTCAGCAGCCAGACCATCAGTTTGTCGGCTGAAGCTATATGGGGTGGACGTCTGCTCTGGTCTCAATTGTCTGATTGGTTTCACCCTGCTGGTATCCCTGCTCTACGTTGGCGGTGGCCAGAAGTTCGTACCAAAAGCTGCATGCGCTTAGGGCTCCCTTCCTTAAGCGCCCTATGAGTACACCTCTTGGGATTCAGAGTTATCTTCTCTGGGCCCTTTGGGTCCCCCATTCCCATAGAAGTAGCAGCTTCTTGGCTTTCTTCCTTACCCTTGGGGTCAGCCTAGATCTCGGTACTTTCGTTTGGATCTGGGTAGGGAGTGGTTGTTGCTGGTTGGGGCACACTGTGCTGCCCACCTTGCATAATCGCGGCAGCCGTGACTTTTTCTGAGTGCCTGCTTCTCTTCCCGTGACTCTTTCTTGGTTGTGGTGCTTCCTTGGGGGTTCTCTTTCCTTCTTTTGGTTTTCTTTTGCCCGTTGGGAGGCTGCTGGGGTGCCTATTAACACTTTGGTGCACCCCGCTCGCCACCCCTCAACTGTGCGATATGGGACCCAGGGTGTCACGGGAGTGCGCGTAAATTCTGAAAAGTGTATACTCTCTTCAACTTTGTCACCTTAATTCTCGTCCTACGAGATTAAATTTGGTATCATTGTGTTCACAATAGAATTCTCTACAGCACTAAATGCATATAAACTCCAAAAGCCCGGCTAATTACCCGCAGCAAACAGAGAAAGTGCGAACGAGTTACCCAGGAGCGCGCAAACGCGATAAAATGTTTTCACTATTTTCACTCTGGTCCCCTCAATTTTTATCCTAAGTCTTTCATTTTGGTCTCAATGGGTTCGCAATAGAATTCTCTAGATGAACATTAGCATATAAAATAAAAAACCTGGTCACGCTCCAACCGCCGACGAGTTGAAGACGGGCCACGCGTTAGCCGCGAGTGAGCGCTCAGACGCCTTCCAGCTACACTCCCAATTCTCGCCCTTTTCAAGCCTTTCTTTCGCAATTTTCTTCCTGGAAGGGCCTTGTTCATGATCACTATCAATTGTGGAGTAAGCGTAGATAGTTTCTAAAGCCGCAGTAAGAAATATAGCCACGGAAAATAGCCAAAATGTTCACACGTTTGAGATGCGAGGGGAGGCGACATTGGTCACAACAGTGGAGCGAAAACAATGGGCCCACGGCATGTGCCAAGCTGCCTGAGGGCCACGAGGCTCAACAAAGAAAATGGGAAGACATCGGCGCGCATTTTAAAACCAGTCCCCAAAAAATCGGATAAAAACCTGATTTTTGGCGATTATTTAAAGTGGATGACGCAATGCTGCGTCATCCCCGGAATTACCGCCAGTAAACGGATGACGCAATGCTGCGTCATGCCCGGGCGAAAGTGTTAAGTGATATCAAAATTCAGTAGGGCAGTTCTCTTCTGGGCCTGCGAGATTGCTCACCTCAGGGGCCAGTTTGCCCAGATAATACACGGGGTTACAACCAGCTTTGGCAGCACCAGTGCCTGGGCTTTCTGTAGGAATACATCCCTCTACTGACACTGGAAACCTGCATTGGTGCTTAGTTGACCAATGGACATATCCTCTGAGTTCCATCTCGCCTTGTGCGAGTTTGAGGGTTGTTTGTTGCCCCTGTCTCAGAGAGACGATCACCTGTTTTGCCTCTGTCACGCTGCTTGTTAGATCAGCGACACCTTTGACCCCAGAGTCTTGCGAGACCTGTTCTCCACTCGGATTCCAATTTGCCCATTTTGATGCAGTTGAGGTTAGGGGTCAAGTAGCTCACACGTTGCATGCTAGGTTTAGGTTGCTTCAACACGCTTGGCTGGTTGCCCACTCGAATGTCCCGGGGCTGCCCAGTTTTGGTTTTAGGGACCCGGACTTTGGGGCGTTGGTTGGTTCGACCTTAGTTCAGTCCGCGCTTACTCGTCCTTCCCTTGTTGGTGTGGTTCACCATTCTCCTCTGTCCCGGTTTCTGGCTCCCAAACGTCTGAGTGTTCAAGGCATTTGAGCCAATTCCTCCCGCTGAGGCTTCTGGGTCCTTCCAACCAGTCCCTCTCTTGGATGCCTTTCCCCTTGGACTCTGTTTTTGTATCCCCCTTCCTTGTACAAATTTGATATGGGGTCGGCTTCCCCCCCTCCCCCTCCCCTCCCCCCCCCTTCCCTTCCCCCCCCTCCCCCCTCCACCCCCTCCCCCCTCCACCCCCTCCCACCTCCCCCCCTCCCTCCCCCTCCCTCAGGTTCGTTTCCTGGTTTCCTTGAAATTTGCGGCTGCGTCCTTCCGGAGGCTTCCTACCTCTCTCATTTCCCCTGCGGAGGTTCGGGAGGCCGTTGCTGCATACCTCCCGTGAGACCTGGATTTTGCCTTGGTGCTTGACCCGGTCTCCATTGAGTTTGGGTCCCCATTTTGGATATGCTACAAGGTACCGGCGTCTTCCTGGTTTGCAGACTGCCCTTTCTTTTCGTAGGGGGAATGGCATACGTTCTGTAGTTCCCGCACGCTTGAGTGGCAGAAGCTCACTACAATGTTGCAAGTGTACTTAGGGGGTGCATTTGAGCATCTTAATGCATGCTTATACGCCTCTGTGCTTCCTCGTGAGGTTGGTGTGCTCTAGTTGCATGTCCAGGTCCCTTCCTTTCAGCTGCTTTGGCTGCGGAGGATATTCGCACTCGTAGGCATTTGACGTCGGTCCTTCGCTTCTTTTCCTTTCATGAGCTGTCCTTGGATTAGTTTGCAAAGGATGTGGAGGCATTGCCTGCCAGGTCGTCGTCTGCCATGCTGACTTCATCGGCCAGGACATTGGCGGCGTTGTTTAAGCTGTTTGCGCCTATCCTCCGGGAGGCTGTGTCCTTGTTTTATGCCTCTCGCCTCGCATATCAGCAGGCTGTCTTTGCTCTCTGGATTCTGCTTGGGCCCTGGCTTTTAGATTTTCGTCTCTGTTTTGCCCGCAATTGTTTGCGGACTCGGTTGTGTCTCAGTTTCTCCACGCAGCTTCAGCTAGTTGCTGCTCTCTTTCGGATATGTTGGTTGTCCGGAGTGCTCGTTCTCGTGCTTCCATTGCTCCCTTTGCCTCTCTGAGGGATCATATTCTGGCTAGTGGTCCCTGGGAGGCATAACAACTCCATATGACTGAAGCCCAGTACTAATATTAGCTAATATCTGTTCAATAGCTCCAGGGAGCCTCCGGGGCTCTACCCAGAAAATGGCATTTCATTACATCCAACGCTGGTTTTTTATTAGATTTCTATTACATTTATGTTCATAATGCATTATTTATATATTATTAGCAAGATTCTTGATTGTCCAGAAACCTTGATTTGTCACAACTGGACCATTGTTTATTAGTTTGGACTTTTGAGTTTCCACTGAATTATGTTTCTCATTAATATTATACCATTGTACCTGGTATTTCTTGTGATGAGTGAATCAGTCAAGGCTTTGTAATTATGTAGCAGTGGACAGACTGTTCAGTTATATAATGAGGTAATTTAAGTGAACATGCAAATTATAATTACGTAGATAACACAGAAGCATATATATTCTAGGATGAAAATGGTATTCAAATTGTTGGAATGTCTGCCACACTGCCGAACCTGCAACTGCTGGCGAGTTGGCTAGACTCGGCATTGTACAACACAGACTTCAGGCCAGTACCACTCTCAGAGAGAGTTAAGATTGGCAGAGCTGTGTATGACTCCTCAATGACTAAAGTGAGGGAATTAGATCCTCTGTTGACTGTTAAGGTGAGCAATATTTCAACATCTTGAAATACAGTATTTATTTATATTTAATGAGTAATAGTACTAAATTAACCTATAAAAACTGCAAACATAGTATGAAATACAGTACATGAAATTTGTAGTAAAATAAAGTAAGCTGTGTTAATTGTTTAGCCCACAAGACGTGCAACATTTTGGACAAGTCTAAAGCTTGTACAATACTGTACAGTAATTACAAATATAAGTTATTTGATTTGGATGACAGTACAAGGGGACCCTTTTATATTACAGTATGGTAATTACATACCAGAAAAATTGGCATGTTATATAAAAATGTGCTATGTAAATTGAATAACATGTATGAAAATAGAGCTATTTTCCCAGACAGGACATAGTTTAACCTTGTATAGTTTCCCAGATATAAAACACTATAATTAGCAAAGTGTAGTTACAGGATGAAAGCTATTCACATGGTGTCTCGTCTTTCAAGCACTGTCATATAACACTTTGAAACTACTAATGGTTTTGGCCTCCACCATCACCTCACCCTACTTGTTCCAACTGACTACCACCGTATTTACAAAAGTGAATTTTCTTATATTTCTTCGGCAGCTTTGGTTAGTTAGTTTAAATCTATGACCTCTTGTTCTTGAAGTTCCAGGTCTCAGGAATTCTTCCCCTATCAATTTTATAAATTCCCATTACTAATTTGTACATTGTGATCATATTGCCTCTTTTCTTCTATCTTTGGCATATTTTCTAGTTTTGACATATTTAATGCCTCTAACCTCTCCTCGTAGATCTTGTCCTTCAGTTCTGGGAGCCACTTAGTAGCATGTCTTTGCACCTTCTCCAGTTTGTCGATGTGCTTCTTAAGATATGGGCACCACACAACTACTGCATATTCCAGCTTTGGGTCTAACAAAGTTCGTGAACAATTTCTTTAGTATTTCACCATTCATGTATTTTAAAGCAATTCTAAACTAGGAAAAGGTAACATGGGCACTTCACATAAAGTTCTTTAGTGGTCCTCAGGTGATAATTTTCTATCCAGAACTACCCATAGATCTCTTTCTTTATCAGAATTTTTGTAAAGTTATTCACATATAAACTTTCAGCCACACTATCGTGGAAATAAATATTTAATTCACTTTGGATTGAAATGTAGCCGTCTGCATGGCCTAGAGGTAGAGCTTTTGCCTCACACTCGTGGGTCGAAAGTTCGAGTCTTCCCAGGGCCCAAGTAAATGAAAAAATGTTCACATAATTTGTAGGTTGTGTGTGTGGCCTATTTTCTCCTTTTTCCATATTCCATTACATGGCATTTACTATGTGTATGGGTGGAAGTGAATGAATGAGTGTTCAGTAATTATCTAAGTGTAATTACCTATCTACTTTCATTGGATGAGAGCTAACCTTGCTTTGTCCCATCTTCCTTATAGTCTTTGTCATGTAGAGTTTTGAAGCTTTCAGTGGTGTTGGTACACACTCCCCTCTCATGTAATTTATGCCAGCTGTCTGCTACTGTTTGCAAAAGAGAATTTCTGTACCTTAATTAAGCTCTTTACTTTTACAGTTTCTACCTCTGTCATCCTGTTCTCCATCTTGACGGTTTCAAAAATTACTTGTCACCAATTTCAGCTATATCCCTAATAATTTTGTACATAGTGATCATAGCTTCCTTTTTTTTGTCTTCAAGTTTTGGCATAGTTAGCTCTTTGGCATAATTATTCCTCCTCCCCACAGTGTCTTAAAACACTACATGATCCATATGTAAAAGAGATTGGAAATTTAGCTGAGGAAATGTCAACTCTTAGAGGCAGGGTTCGGGGCAAAAAGGAAGGGAGACATCAAGCCATAATAAAGCCCTAGGGCACAGCACCAATGACAAGGATGAGTATATTAGGGAGGTACCTGGTAGCCATTGTTCTGTGTTACTGACCATCCAAACGTTTTTATCGATATATTTATTTAAGCATCCTGCATATTCTTTACCACCAAAATTTTGGAACTTTCTTGCACTGTGTCAGGTACAATAGTAGGTATTATGTCAGTGATGGTTTCAATACAAAAAAAATCCATGCATAAGCATTCTGTGATTTCTTTTGAGCAATAAAAGCTTATAAGGAAGGCTGAGAGGCTTCCCAAGAAGTGTTGTGTGTGCTGAATACCAAATGATCAAGACGACACTTTCAGACATTAAGGCTAAAGCTACTAGCTTATATTTTTTCCTTGAAGTGAATGTGATGAGGCAATACTTAATAGAAAGGCAGTGAAGGAAGCTAAGATGCAGAGTGTAGATAATGTAGTCTAGAAGTGTTACAGGCAGAGCCATGAGAAGATGAAATATCCAGTGGCAGACTGGCCGCTCATAGGAAAAGTCTCAGTTTCTACTTCAGTCACTTCAATACCATCAATATTCACCACACATTCCATATAAACAACTGACAACAATAGTTATCAACTGCTTAAAAAGACTAGAAATTATTTCTCAATTTGGTCGACTCCTGTTTGTGTGGGCGAGGTAGTTAGTATGCCTTCTATAATGAATAAGGGGCAGGGTATAAAGGGCTAGATCTTACTCCTTTGTAGTCATTGATAGATTGGAAAGTAGGTATGGATAGGTAAACTATAGATAAACCAGATAAAGCATGTCCTATTCATGTAAAAGCAGATATAGCATGTCATGTTTATATAAATTGTCATCCACACTTCCGTGGAAATAAACATTCCATTCACTTTGGCTCTAGAAGACATGAACTGCGGACCACACGCGTGTGAGGTCGAAGCTCTATCGACCGAGCTATTGAGCAGTCTTAATAAGGAAAATTTCCAGAAGCAGCATCCTGCTGCCAAACTGGAATTTTTTACTTTTCCTGAACATAGTCATGATAAAAAATATATCTCATTAGGGTGACAGTGATCATCTGATTCAGCTGTGTCTTGAGACTGTATTAGAGGGCTTTTCTGTTCTCGTCTTCTGTCCAACTAAAGCGTGGTGTGAGAAATTGGCAGAGTCTGTTGCAAGGGAATTCTTCAATATTGGTAAGTGGAAACAAATTATATTTGTCCAATTGCAGTTCATGACTGAAACACTTACAATTTTTACCTTTCTATTGCATTTTGAACTGAGTGTATATAAAATGAAATAGATATGCCTTTTTGCATATGGAAATTCATTGTAAAATCTAATGTAAATGCTACGTAGAACAGAGAAGTTTCACTATCTGAAGCTGAATTATCCAGAAGTGTGGATTAACTGAAGAAGTTGTGATTTGGCTAGTAGTTAAAAGTACAGTATCTGAAATCCATTTAGGATATTCAGGAAATGTTTGACTAATCAAGCTTTTGGATATTATGAGAATTGTTTCTAATACATGTACTTACTCTCTCATTTCTATTGCTAAGTAAAATAACAATCAAGCTGTGAATGTAATGAAACTTCCTTTTCTGGTGAACTTTGAGTAGCTTCCAGAGCTAAGTGCTGGTACTGTAATACCACGCCTTAGGCAGGTACACAAGCCAGGATGACGGGAACCGTGTACAAAATCTGTCTGTCTCTATGAGGTGAGAGACATTAAGAAACACCCCACTAGAAATGCAACAAGACAAGCAATTGTTTTAAGAAAATTCTGGACTCTGCGGTAACAAGTTAAACAATAACTGATGTGGGGTAGATATTCTTATTGTGATGCACTCGGGCCACTTCAAATCCAGGGACCCCACAGCAATGCTAACGCAATTTAAATCACAGATGCTGTCCCGTCTTGAGTACTGCTTGGTACTCAGTTTCCTATTCAGATCAGGAGGGATGTCTGAATTAGTGGGAAAACAGAGAACATGTACGGCACTCATAGAAACGATAAAACATCTGAATTATTGAGACCTTCTCAATGCTCTCAAAATGTACTCTCTGGAAAGGAGACAAGAAAGGTATCAAATTATATATATATATATGGAAGATACTGGAGGGCTAGGTCCCAAATTTGCACAGTAGAATAACATACTGGAGCAAAAGATACAGAAGGAAATGCAGAATAGAACTATTGAGGAGTAGAGGTGCCATAGGCACAGAGAACACTGTCATCAGGGGTCCATGACACCCTCCCAGCCAGCATTAGAAATATTGCTGCAATGAAGGTGGAGGTATTCTAGAGGCACTTGAACAGGTTTTTGCAAGTTGTGTCGGGCCAACCAGGCTGTAGTGGTTATGTGGGCCTGCGGGCCGCTCCAAGCAATAGCCTGTTGGATCAGGTTATCACAAGTCGAGCCAGGCCTGAGGCTGGGTTCGGGCAGAAGAAGAACTCCCAAAAAACACTCCATGTATTCTCCAGGTAGGAGAATACTCCAGTCAGCCTGCTCAATACCCCCTCGCTCAAGATCTGCTTGAACGGAATCCATCAACCCCGCATGAAAGAAGGGAAACAGGACAGGGTTAAGGAGCTACTGACAGCTCATCAAAAAGGAGTATTTCATTACATTCAACACATGATTTCTGGGAGAGCCCCGGGTAGTAGCTCCTCGAGCTAACTAACAAGAATGCCTCGGCCGAGGAGATCAGCAATTTAGACAAAAATAGTATTCAAACAGAAAAGGCTGTCAAGGCAGAGAACGGGCTGCCAGGACATTCATCTTCAAAACCACCTCGAGGCAATATGGAGAGAAATCATAGATAGGTGTACTGGTGAGATTCCAGATGCACTTAAATCAGCATATATAGCCTAACTCCAGAAGGGAGGTAACAAAGCAAAGGTAAAAAAGCAGATTGGTTGCACTAACATTGCACTTTTGTGCGATTGTGTATCACACAATATCCACTGGGATATCCACTAAATTACTGGGATCATCTAAAAGAAAAAACACTCAAATATATTTTTAGTATGGGAGATGAGAAAAGTATCACATAATATATATATAGAGGATACTTGAAGGAAAGATCCCATTTATGCATCTGTTGTATACCTGCTTGATGGGGATCTGGGAGTTCTTCTATTCCCCAGTCCCGACCTGAGGCCAGGCTTGACTTGTGAGAGCCTGGTTCAACAGGCCGTTGCTTGGAGCAGCCCGCAGGCCCACACATCCACCACAGCCCGGTTGGTCTGGCACTTCTTGAAGAAGCCGTAAAATAACACCTTACATAAACAATGGTAGAAAATCTAGAACAAACCCAGTGAAGAGTTGAGATGTCATGGCCACCTCAAGGACAGAGGAAGACAAAACTTCACAGGGATTCTCCACAGACAGCTGTTGACAGCCTGGGAACAGCCAGGCTGTTAGGCAGATGGAATACAACCTGGGAACAGCTAGGCTTACACCAACTGTACAGGTAGGAAGCACCAGGCTTGCAGCCCAAAATCCAGGGTAAGAACTTGGAACAGCACAAGGCTTAAGTGCAAGTTATGAAAGAAATAGTACATTTATATGCAGGCAGGATCTATGAAATATTTACAGGATCCAAGTAATAGTAAATCATGTTAGAATAGCAAATATATTTCAGAACTTCATCAGTTCATTGATACATTCAATGACCTTACCATAGGGAGCACCCGTGTCTTTCATATTCATTGAAACCTGATTTATTGTAATTTCACTTTAAATGTAATTCATACTTTTATATTCTTTTATATTAACATAACCCAAAACAACAGTTATTCTTACTCACAGGAAAGGCAAACAGCCCATATCCACCTGAGCTCAGCGGGAAATTAAGAGATTGCTTGGACTCAACCGGCATAGGGAGGGTAATGGAAGCTCTCCGTAAATGCCCTGTTGGATTGGATGACATTTTAGCTCGATCTATTTCTTTTGGAGCAGCTTTTCATCATGCAGGTGAGTTTACATACTGTATGTACCTTCAGAGAATTTATAATTCATAATTTACGAATTATTTTTTTTTTTATATAAACTGCTTGAAAATTATTGTTGGTGGCCATGACTTGATGGGTTTTCATTTCAAACCAACCGTTAGTTGCTACGTAGCATATAACTTGAATTTTTTTCAGAAACTAATGTAGTCAGTCCAATATAAACCTAAGTAGCATAGAAATAAGACTTTACAGGCTGTCATTCAGCAGTGATTTCTGAGCTTTGTCCCCATGGATTTTTGCTGAATATATATATAGGTCTTTGTGGTCCATCTAAACTCATGTTACATGAAAAACTCTTGTTGCCTTTGTCCTCACAGTAACGAGCAGTTTTTAAAAATTGGTCATGCAATTTAACTATTGAAGAGAGAGACAATGGTGACTGAACTTCCTGAAGACAGTTGTCAGCATAAATGGCTCATTGCTTTTAGGCTTTGCTTAATGGCATGATCACTCATCATTTGTGTGACACTGAATAATGTTATTGGCTTCAGCTGTGTTTCAAGGTTTTCTCCAAGATGGTTTGTTGATGGTGTCTTGAGACTTTGTCCTAGGTCAAGATCTTGATGGTAGGTTTCCTGGAGTTCCAAATAGGGAAGGACCAAAGCAAACCCCCTGCAATTCAGAAAATAAACCACTGGAGATCAATCAAACTGGAGCCAGAGAACAAAACCCAAAGGAAGATGAACCCTCCACGTGGCTTGCCACAATGCAGCACACTTGTGCACTATACTGTATGACTGATGGAGATGACCTGCCCAATAACCCTGGAAGGTCTGGTGAGCACTTATCACCAAACACCAACCCAGGGTCTAGGCATCTTTGAAACGTTGAGCAACAGGAAAGTAAGATGCCACAGAACCAGACCCCAGCAAGCCCTAAGAGGAAACCAATGAAGCAAAAGCTGATGGGCAGTAAGCAGAACCCAAATGGTCCCAATGGAGGCAAACTGGGTGGAACCGGAAAAACCACAACAATGGTCTGAGCCAAACTCTGCACAAGGGAAAAACCAGGCTGGCAAATTTCAGGCTTGCACTAATTACAACTTCCAAACATAGCCCTCCTGTCTGTCACCAAGTCCTGATGGAAGAAGGAATGTCTTGAATGGTGATCCCCAAAGGAGGACACAGAAAACATGAGAAGGTAACCTCAGAAACCTCAGACACACCATAAACCATCATTGGGTGGTTTATGGTTTTTGCCTTTGGTGCTAGGGAAGGTGGCCCTATAATAAAGCTTAGGCAGGTCACAGGACTATTAAGAGCTCGGTATAGCTCGTGCTGCATGGAAATTTTGTTCCGAGTAGCTGAATCTAAAACAACAACAAACAACACAGGACTAAACCCAAAACGATTTGATGTGTAACTGAAAACAGTAAAAGTGGTCCCAAGCAGAAGTGGATAGTCCAGCTCGGTGCCGACAAAATAATGAAGTGAATAACTGACTGATGGCTTGAGGCGCCATGCGTGCACCTGGAGGCTGGTAGGAAAGTTGCAAAAGTTGTTGGATCACTTGCTTGTAGGGCTTGTAGATCACTTGTTTATCAATCATTTCTTGGAGGAGTTTTTGTGATGTTTTGTGACTTAGGGGTAGTGAGTAGATCTTTGATCCCCCTCTTGCTCCCAGTCTTATAGAGAGGGGAAAGTTGGTGGGAAATGGTGCTTTGTTCTGCTAGGCACAGATTATCACAGAAGCCTGGCATGTCTAAGATTATCCTACAGTGCCAGTGCTGTAAACAAGGGAAGCTGCTACCAAGACGCCTCCCAGGAAAAGGCATTTCATTATTCTCAACTCGTAATTTTTGTTTACAATTTTGCTGCTGTACTACTACCTTGTTTTTCACACCTTTCTATGAATAATTTTTCCATACTTGATTATGTTTTTATATGCTTAAAATAGTAAATAAATAATCATGAATAAGAATGTAAAACACTATGTGGAAATTTTCAGGTTTAACCTTTGATGAACGTGACATTATTGAAGGAGGATTTCGTACGGGGTCAATACGCGTTCTCATCGCCACCTCAACTCTGTCTTCTGGAGTCAACTTACCTGCAAGACGGGTTATCATCAGGTCACCTGTCTTTGGTGGGGTCATTCTTGACAGTCTCACCTACAAGCAGATGATTGGTCGAGCTGGCCGAAAAGGCGTTGACACTGAAGGCGAGTGTATTCGTGTTTACACAGTACTGTATGAGTTTTTATTTTGTAAGCAGAGTTCCTCAGAGCTCGATCCTGAGCATATTGCTTTTCCAAATCTTTGTTAAAACTTCCAGAATGGTTGAGTTCTTACATGTTAATGTTTGCAAGTAATGCAAAACTAATGATAAGGATGAAAGCTGAGAAAGGCTGTAAAATACTCTAGAAAGACCTTCATATGCTGCATGAGTGGGTACACAAATGACTGTTAGTTTAACCATAGTAAATACAAATGAAAATTTGGAAGAGGAGGGCAGACACAGCCTCCATCTTAGGTAGGCAGCTACAGGTATCATGATGAGAAAAAGGCTTGGAAGTAGATGTAACTGAAGCACTTACACCACCAGCAGTACATGTAAATGGAATACCATCAACAGTATATGGAAAATTGGCAAGGCAAATATTGGAATGCCATTCAGTAACCTAAACAGTGATTCTTGCAAGAAAGTTTGTACAGCCTACATCCGACCAATCCTTGGATATGTAACACTAACTTGGGTCTCATGAGTAATTCTTTCTTTTCCAGCAGTTTTATATGCTTTCCTTCGCTAAGTGAATCAGGTGTGAGTGTCATTGCGACACTTTCCTTGTGCCTGGCAAGAGTGCCTGTTTACACAGATGGTCTGGGTTGCTATTACCCACTGTCTACAGGTCTGTATATCTCAGGGCTGGCCATTGCTGCTACGAGTTTCACATGTTGAGATTTGTCAGTTTTTAGTTCCTGTTACTGCCATCATTCTCCCTGTCAAATGTAGGGGCTGCATTCTTAATGCCATTGTGGAAGCCACTGTAGACCTATGCCCATGTGATAGACCCATGCCTTTTTGGCAGTAGACCTATACCCATGTGGCAGCGGCTGTTGGTCTCTACCTATATGGCGGCATTTGTGAGCCTCTGTCTTTATCATGGTTATGTAGCTCAAGTGAGTCTCAGAGTCCTGGTGCAATTCCCTAAGGCATTGATTCCCACCTGTAGGTCCATGGAAGAATTTAAAGGGATCCATAGGTCTAGTATTATATTGCACTCTAGTAAAATATGAACCACTTCTGAGTGTGTTGCACTAAATGTCTCCAGTTACCATTTACTGTCCAAGTATTTTTAACAGAAAATAGCAAAACAAGGCTTTTCACATTTTTAATATACAGTATATATATTTGTTGCAGCAATGGCTACTGTCAGTTTTGATAGCTTGATCTATTTTGTTGTAGGTCCACATGTAAGAATGTGGTTGTCAGGGTCCACAGGTGAGGTAATTGCATTACCTCATAGAACTCAGGAGTACTTATTCTATTGCATTTATTTTGGACAAGATATAGTTCATAATCTCCCATTCATTTTATTTACAGGTGAAAGCATCTTAATTTGCAGAGAAGGAGAAACTCATAAAGCCAAGCTTCTCCTGAGTTCTACACTTCAACCCATTACCTCTTGTCTTCAATGTGATGCATATCTCACCACTAGCATGAAGAGAGCAATATTAGAGGTATTTAGTGAATGCATCTTAAACCAGATTCGTTTAAAAGAAAATGTAGACTTGGATTTGAATGAATAATGTATAATTTCTGAGCGTGGGAGTCTCTGTTGCTCCCCAAATGATAAACGTATGGTTACTCGGCACACAATATGATACACACTCATGGCTCTTGTTGACCTATACCCTACCATGACAAGAATATTAGCAGGTGTTGTCAGCACATAGGTGGGGCAGATAGGCAGGGCTTAATCTGCCACCGAGTGACTATTTGCAATTATACAAAAATAGATCAGTACAGTCCACTTGAATACCCCCCCCCCTACAAACGATCATTTGAATAATGAGGAAAATTAACTAATAGCTAGTAAATTAACTGCGCTGACCACCATTAGAATATATGTGGTGGTCATGTGCTTTACATATATATATATGTAGTGCATATGGGTCATTATAAGAGAGTTAGGGTAGCAGGGAGATTTAACTGGGGGTTTCGTCCATAGACATGGGATACATTCCAGTACCTTCAACTAATCCCCTTTTATGCTGAGGGTGCATATTGCTTCTTCCCTAGGTTTGTTGGGGGCCTTGTAGTGGACACTCCTGGGGCTTAGATTGTCTTAAGTGGAGTGTAAACATACCATTATCCTCACAGGTTTCTGGGGCTTACATTGTAGGATTACAACTTGTAGGATTAGCAGGATGTATAGTACTCACCAAATTGTACTGATGGGATTTGAGCTTCATCTCTGGTCCTGTGTGTAAACCTTTAAGACTTCTTTATGTATTCCAATTTATTTATTACTTTACTCTGACATATCTGATTCTATCTGTGGTTTATTTGGGTGCCTAGTTTCCACCTAGGTCCCCTTTTTCATGTACCACCCATGCTAACCAGTATCTTTGTCTGCACTGTCAATTCCTCTAAAAAATTTGTGTGATTATTATGTCTTCTCTGTTTTTTCCCTCTTCAGGTGTTGCAGGGTTTAGGACAGGATGTGTGGTCTGGTTCCCTTTTCTTTCTGAGGTGGGTTTTCTAGCATTACTTATGTGCAGTTTCTGGTCTCTGCCTGCTCTTCAAAGCACTAGCCCATGAAAACCAACACAGGTTTTTACACACACAACACAGGTTATCTTGAGGTTATCTTGAGATGATTTCGGGGCTTTAGTGTCCCCGCGGCTCGGTCCTCGACCAGGCCTCCACCCCCAGGAAGCAGCCCGTGACAGCTGACTAACACCCAGGTACCTATTTTACTGCTAGGTAACAGGGGGCATAGGGTGAAAGAAACTCTGCCCATTGTTTCTCGCCGGCGCCCGGGATCGAACCCGGGACCACAGGATCACAATCCAGTGTGCTGTCCGCTCGGCCGACCGGCTCCCTGTGCAAAAAGCAAACACACACACATACATAAAAACATGAGCTATCAAAAATCAATCATTGGATGTAATGAAACTACTTGGTTGGCCTCAGTAGTTCTCTGGTGCATTAGCACTAGTACCACAGAGATGTCCACAAAGCTACCAGGTCTTGACTTACACAGGCCTACCAAATACCAGGACCAGAATCTGGTGTGCTCATAAAGACAAGATGATCTGAAACTCTTCCAAAACAGTAAAACTGCTGAGAAATACAGGTGAAGTAAAACCAACTACATATTTTTATTAAAGAGAGAGAAGTTGGAAACAAGAAAGATGTAATTTGCACAATGTCTGTAAACCATGAGCTAGCACTGAAGTAAACCACCAGATGGCAGCTTGGGTCACCTGGAGCCATGTCTGCCTGCCTGCCACCTGACGTGTATACATGACACTCAACGCATCACTACTCCTCTGCAAGGATGAATGTTTCTGTTAGCTTAGTGTGGTTGGTGTTTTTCTGGACTTTGTTGTTCCAAAGTGGGGGGTTATGCTTAGTAGTTCTTTTTCTGCAAGCAAAGTCAAAGCACAAGAGACTCCTTAAAAACGGTAAAATATATACATTATACATTACCTTACCTTGTGCTGGTTCTGGGAATCAATGTCCCCATGGCCTTGTCTCTTACCAGGCTTCCTGGTTGGTGGTCTGATCAACCAATCTTAATGTCATGTGCAAAAATCAAGTGCATGCATAAACAATTATAGATAAGCAGGTCTCCCCAAGTTATTTGTTCCATGATGAACACAAGGAAGGGCCCATGCCTTAACAACACGAGAAGAAATCTCACTCACTGCATATGCCAGCTCTAGGTGCATGATACCAAAGTAACTCAAGATACTGCAGTTCATAAATGCTACCTGAACATAAACACTGGTTCCACATCCAAATGAGTGGATGCCAAATGCTGTACTAAACTACTACTAATTATGTCACTTCCTTATACAGATTTCACTTGGGTACCAATTCTCAAGGCATCACCTTAGATAATGTTAGATTGGACGAGCCATCTCAAGGAGGAATCACCTGCATCAGAAAAGATAACAGTTTGTATGGAACCTTTGACGAACAGCATATCATCAGTGAAGATAAACCTGAAACCACAGCTGAACTAGACCTAAAAACCATAATACATGCAAATTGACTAGGAAATACACTCGCAAAAATCATAATAAGACATGTAACACACACTAAACTAAAAATCAACAGAAACACCAGTCACTAGGCAAATAAACATTGCCTTAGGGAGCTGCCTGATAGACAACAGGGCATCAGTCAAAAGAATGATTGGCTGGATGACACCTGACCCCTTGATGGAGTATTGCTGTCATCTAGTGGTTCAAAGAATAAGTAAGAGGGTTAAATTTTTGCATTTGAATTGTTTTGAGTTTTGTTCGGTATTTGTATCAAACATTTATCTGAGTGCTTTGAATTTTGTGTTCCTCTTTCAGCCTTTTGGCTGGGCTTTTCCCCCCTAGTGTGTGATGTCTGTGACTCTCATCTTTGTTGCTTCAATGATGGAACAGTATTCTGGTCCTTGTTCCTGGTAGGCCAATGATAGAATCAAGTCTTTATTTTTTCATTACACTTCACAATTGTGTGTGATTTGCATCTGAATTGCCGTGTCCTTAGTAGATTACTTCCTGCTGCTATATAGTCATATATATATAGTCTGGTCAACTAGTTCCTGCTGACTTTGCTTCAGGGGGTTACCTTCCCTGGCATCCGCTAGCATTTTCCTATTTCCTCACCAGAGTTAGCTTCTCTGAGGGTTAGGGTGTCCCCCTTTCTGGGGCTTCTCTTCTCGAGTTGATCTAGTGGCTGGGTTGCCATGCGATTTAGTTTTCATGCCAGACCTGTTGACAAGAGTTGATTAAGTTCACTGTAATTTCTATACAAAGTTATGTGCAGGAGTTGGCTTCACTTCACTTGTATCTGATGCATAGGGTCACTTATTTACAGATCAAATGGCCAGACTCCCATTGACTCAAGGTGGCCTTTTTGGCTTTTTTATTTTGTTGGTTATTTTGTGATGCCTTCTTTCTCGATCACAGATGCTTATGCTTGCCACTTTCAGTAATGCATGTCATTGTTTCAGACTCTGACAGACATTCCTGTGGCCATTGTCATTTTATCTACTAGGTTCAGGTTTTTTCATCCACTGATATGTGATATTTGTTGTTACTGTACATCTGTGCTGGCTAAGCTGCCCTCCTGGGCTGCAGCATTTTAGGCTGCTTCTGCACCCCTGAACATATGCCTCGTGGTACCAGCTTTTGCACTCTACAGTTGTGGATGGTAGTGCAGGAGGTGAGCCTCCTCTCTCTTACAAAGTGGATTTCTAGGCTTTTGTGATGCAGACTTATGCTCAATTCAGACCTTTCTCTGTTGTTTTCCTTGCTTTGGTTCATCCAGCATTTACTTGTGCTACTCCCCTTGTCTCTATTTCTGACAAGGGCTCCTAAATGGAAAAACCATTTGCAAAGTTCCTTGTCACAATAGGAAGAAAAACATCTAGAGCCAGGTTGGTGAGCGAGTTGAAACTTGGGTCAGACCATTTGTCTTCTGGCTTGGAGAACAGCCAAAATACATTTCATTTCACTTGACCATTAAAAAGAAAAGATAACTGTATTGACAGTACAGTAATTTAAATGTTATACTAAATGTGAAGAATGAATAATTAACAGCACTGTACTCATCTAGTAGATACAATACTCACCTAGTAAAATACTGTGTATTATATTGATTGTATTGAATAACAAGATATAATTGTTATCACTGTAGATATATGATATAATATATAATAATAAAACTTTCATAAATTTAAATGGTAATTTTTCACATGACAATTCAATTGCTGCCAGACAGTATGCTAATGAATCACTTGAATGGTAGGATAAAGTGCAGTACTCTATAACACAACTAGTAATATTAATACATTGTAATCTGAGGAAGCACAGTATATTAATCTTTTCATAATTACATTTCTAGCATGTTCCTATCGCTGTTATCAGTTAAAATGGCATTCAGTTGTTGACTGGAAATTTGTTATATCAGGTATACGGTATATAATGTTTCCTTAAATCGCAGGTAATTGTCAGTGGTGTAGCAAGCACTTCACATGAGGTTGACAGCTACTGCAAGTGTACACTCCTGGCTGCTTCACTTCACACCGCTGCTGAAGGCTCCCAACCAAATTCGCAGAATTCCATTGTCAGCTGCATTGCCTTTTTGGAGGAGAACGAGTTTGTCAGGTTTGTTGTTTTGATAAATTGCCTGATCCTCACTGCTGGTACTGAAGGATATACCAGTTTTTTCTGAGCATTACCACTTGGTTGTTCCTTCAGACAATGTCCTACCCTTCCCAAGGAAAGACCCAGACTCTCAAGAAGTTTTATTCACCAACTGCATAAATGTGGAGATGGCAAGCTTGCCACAGGTGCTGCTTGAGGTCACTCATGACAATGTACACTCATGACTGTAGTCCCTTGTTTTACATAATTTCTGCAACAGTATGTCTGATTGTCCATCTGTATATCTGTGTAGATCTGTTAGTATCTAACCCTCTCTCAGATTGTTGGCATGATTCCTGCTTAAAATACAATGATATTTTTGGTATTTAAAGTATCTAAAGAATTAATAAACAAATTAGATTGATGGTAAGTGTGTGTGTGTGGGCGTACTTACACAAGGTGTCTAGTGTGGGGCATCTGATAAGTATGTGAACAGGATCAGGTCACGTTCAAATGGACATATCATACAGTCAGTATTGTGTGTCGATTCAACTTTTGAACCCGTATACGTGAACCTAAAACCTTTAGATGTAATGATTACTCGAAACATATACCAGGTAGGCGCCTTGCTTGAACCCTGATGGTATTGTATATAGACAGGCAGAGGCATCACCAGGGGTTTTCCCCCCCTCGTTTCCTATTTGAAAATTGTTGTATCTGTTCCATTGAGGAAAAACTGATAGGTGATCTGAACCTTAATCCTGACATCTGTTATATGTATGTTGATGATACATTGTTGCAGGTACCTGACATGGAATGCTTGCTACTGCTTAAGTAAGCTTTCAAGCAAAATACAGCACTCAATTTTACTTACGAGATGGAGAATGAAGGCAAACTGTCTTCTTTAGAACATGGTAAAATTAACATAGGAATGTGTCTTAATGCAAGTACAGTAGTGCAACCTGTCCTCTTGAATAGTACATTGGATTTAGATATATATAACCCCAGTGTCACATTATGATGTACTGTAAATCAAAGCGACTAGCAAAATTGAAAGGGGTGTCTTGTTTTCTGTTTGTGGGTCCTAGGTTAGGTTTGTTTCAGGCAGTTTACTTCTGTCTACCACTCACTTGTCAGGACTATAATGAAACAACCCCCCACACTGGATAAGCCAGATATCTGGATAAGCAGAATATTTACTGGGGAAGTCTAAAAATTTAAATTCTTAACAAATGAGCATGTAGGAATTTGAGTTAGATATGGCCCGCCACTCCCGGGTTTGTTCCTGAGTGCCCTTAGGTTCCTCAGATTCGTCCTTCCAGGGGTTTCCTTCCTCTCGGATGTCCTTTCGTGCTTTTTTTCACCTCCGGTCTGCTCATCCGCCGCCTGAGCTTTCTTGGTCTTTGGACCAAGAGCTTTCTTTTCTTTCTTCTCCTCCTCACTTTGTTTTGGACCCTTCTGTTAGAGATTGCTTTTGGAAGGCCTTGTTTTTGCTGGCCTTGGCCTCTGGGGGTCGGTTTGGGGAGCTTCGTGTTCTCCAATGTCGGGAGTTCTGTTCATCTGGTCCAGGTGGTCGTTTTGTTCGTTTGCAGCCTTCTATTCTGGCGAAGAATGAAACTGATGGCTTCTGGAGGGGTCCGTTGGTTGTGTATGCTTTATGGTTAGGCCAGGGGTGCATCACATGTTCTGTGATGCACACAACACGCCGCTTTACGCTGCTACTTGCAGTCCACTGGTTCTGTGACGGTGGACACTTTCTGGGTTGATCTGGTTTCCCTGGTTCCCTGTTCCAGGGCTTGTGTGTCTCAGGTTGTCCGCAGTAACATCAAGTCTAGCCTGCGGTCAAGCCGTGTGCCCATGATGTTAGGAAGTATGCTGCTCTCGCAGCGGTTTTTGGTAACATCAACAGCAAGGGAGCCGGTCGGCCGAGCGGACAGCATGCTGGACTTGTGATCCTGTGGTCCTGGGTTCGATCCCAGGCGCCGGCGAGAAACAATGGGCAGAGTTTCTTTCACCCTATGCCCCTGTTACCTAGCAGTAAAATAGGTACCGGGGTGTTAGTCAGCTGTGACGGGCTGCTTCCTGGGGGTGGAGGCCTGGTCGAGGACTGGGCTGCGGGGACACTAAAAAGCCCCGAAATCATCTCAAGATAACATGTCTTGTGTCGACATTTGGGCGTGGGGTATTGGAGGTCGAGCAGGGTTCAGGTATCTCGTGAATGTTCCTGTTCCTTCCTGGCCGTGTGTGGCTTTGGGGCACCTTTCGCGGCTGTGTGTGGGTTTGAGGCACCTGTCGCGGCCGTCTGTCTCTTCCTCATCTTGACACCTGCAGTACTGTACTGTCGCCTCCGGGGTAAGTCCCTGCTTTTACTTATCTTTGGGTAATTAGCTTCAGGAACCGACGGGGCTCCCCACATAAAATCAGCATTGAATATAATGAAATTTCCTTTTCTGGGTGAGCCCCGTAGGCTCCCTGACACCCTCCCTCCCTCCTTCTGGTCTGCAGTTTTCATCAATCAAAAACTGGAGTGGTGGGCTGACAGCTCCCTCTCCCCCCCCCATATTGCTAACGAGCTGGAGTGCTAGTTGCATGAAGTGTTGCTTGTTTGGTTTCTCTGTAGGGGAGATATTTTGATCTTTTAGGATGTAGATTGCCCAGGTTAACCAGAGAGTGTCCTGTTTTGATTCGCCTACCTTTCTGGGGTCCTTTCCAGGTCAATAGCAATTATGACATACTTTAAAGATAAAGTGCTCATTGGCCATTGCTCCCTGCACCTCTGAAGAGGCCAGGTTCTGGCTTATGGTCCCCAGTAGGCATAAGAACTCCTGTGACTGATGACCCCAAAGTAATATAGCACATATCTGTCTGGATAGCTTCAGGGAGCCTCCAGGGCTCGCCCAGAAAATGACATTTCATATTATTCAAAGCTGGTTTTTGGTTACCTGGGCTGTCTGCTATGTACAGTAGTGGGTTATTCTTTAACTCCAAGGTGCTCATGTGAGTGGGTCAACATATTGGATCCTGCTTTTGAGTATGCTGAGAAAGTCTGAGAAGTTCAACATTTAAAGGTTGCCCTGAAGTACCTGTTCATGAAGCTTCAAGTAGATAATGAGGTGCCAAAAAGACAAAGGAATTTCTTTAGATTCAATTCTTTTAACTTTATTCATCAATTAATACTATCTTTAGCTCAACTTTTGTAGGTTACAAGAGGTTGAAGGCACCGTACGATACATTGGGACACAGCTGGGATGTGCAGTACTTGCCTCAGGCCTCTCCCCTGATGAAGGCCTGCATGTATTTAGTGAACTTCATCGTGCCAGACAGTGCTTTGTATTGGAAAATGAACTTCATATTATTTATCAGGTCAGTTCTTTATAAGCTTTACAGTACAATGCATTTAATGAATATGGCTGGATTTGTTAGCTTGTCTTGGATTCCAGGTGTTTGATGCAGGATTTACTACTATAGGATATTTATTATTTGGTATGGAGTACACATTTAACTTAGTTGGTTATTTAGTAATATATCACTCTTTTGATATATTGAGGGGCTCCTCCCTCCCCCTCCACTAAATAGTTGTAATCTAACAGAGACAAATGTACCCCATTATTATGGCATGTGTAAAAAATATTTTCCTAAACAGTACCCTTAAGTTCCTACTGATCCCCACCTTTCCATCCTTGTCTGTCCTGAGCTTGATGGTGTTCCTCTCTTAGCCTAGGATTTAAGTGGAATGTGGTTAGGTTGTCTTGTAATTACCTAAGTGTAATTACCTAAGTGTAGTTACAGGATGAGAGCTACGCTCGTGGTGTCCCGTCTTCCCAGCACTCTTTGTCATATAATGCTTTGAAACTACTGACGGTCTTGGCCTCCACCACCTTCTCACTTCTCACTCACTTCTCACACCTTCTTGTGCGTTTCTTGTTGTGTCAGTGCGGGCAATTGGTTGCGGTCAGAAGTAATAACCTATTGGGGGTTGTTAAATATCCATTGTACAGTTTGGCAGTCTCTGTGTTGTAAAGTTGTGCCTGGAAAGCAATTCAATTTCTGCAAATTACTTCTCCCTCTATATTTTGGTTTGGATTAAATTTTCCTGCAGTTTGGTCACCCTGCCCTGAATGTGGCACAACCTAAGCAGAAGTCAGTAGGCTCTCGTTTTAGGAAACGGCTGTTTAAATTTCTCCGAAGAGTACTTTCCTTATTCACTCAAACTTAGCTCTTGTTTTATTTTTATTTATTTTTTGTAACTTTATCACAAGTTAGCATTACTCTGAGACAAATTATTGTGTTGTTCTTCTCAATACATAAATTTTAGATAAGAAAGATGATGTTTTGTATTTTTAGAACTGTATTTTGTACTCTGTCTTTGAATATTCAACTCCATAGGTAACACCTGTGTATGTCAGTTCAGCATGGCCAAATCTGGACTGGTTATCATTTCTCAGTATTTGGGAAAGCCTGAGTGAAGACATGAAGAGGGTGGCTCAGCTGGTGGGTGTGGAGGAGAGCTTCATCGTGAGGGCCATGAAGGGCACTGTCAACAAGAAGGTCAGTATAAAAAGGTCTGGTGGCTCACCGAAATTTCCAATGTGAAAATAATTTTGGGATTTAAACTACAAAACTTGAATGGTAGTTGGTAAATTTAGTGATACAGTTCAGGTGTTTAACATTTGGATGTTTTGTTAACATTCATAAATATAATGGATTAATTATCACATGGAATTTTCCCCATGGAATTTGTATTTTGGTCTGGATTCACATGAAAGTTCCCTGTGAAATCCAGATTGACTCTGTACTATATAGTAGCTTCCTGTTGACCTATTCTATTTATGCTCTTCATCTTTTAATTTTTAATATTACTCTTAAAGCATTTTCCTAGTGGCTCCCTTAGGGACCCCAGAGCTAATGCACAGGTTTCCCAGGGCCAGATTCAACACACCAGGCATCAGTGACAATCTCGGTGCCTTCTGGAAGCAGGTGCCAGAATCATTCTCCTTCAGTGAGGTGGGGAAACTCATGGAGTCATAATACTCGACACACACACTGGTGAAGCCCAGTTAAAATGGGTAAATAGAGGTCACAGAAACTCAAAGTTCACACAGAAAATTCTTTGGTATGAACAAATACTGAAAACCTAAAACTATGCCAAGTATCCCAAACACCATCTTGCCACATTCCTCTTTAATGACGGCACTAGTTCACCAGGATTTTGGTGAAGCCCCCACCATCACACTCCTCCGGTGCCACTACTAACACACAACGCCTTCTATGAACTGTTAAATATAGGAGAGCCCCTCTCAGTACCTACCCAGGGAAATTTCCCAAGTTAAGCAAGTCTTTCTTGGATACCAGTGTTATATATATGACGTTCAGTTATGTATGGATTCTGTCTATATAGAGCACTGGTCATGAAGGTAGCTGTTTAGCTGATAATTATTCCTGTACAGTATGCAATATTAGTTTTATAGTGTCATATAATTTAATGTTCTGTACAACTATCTATAATTTTTTCTTTATAGTTTACAGTTTTCTCTTAATATAAATTCTGCTGTAGTTGTTAACAACATATGAAAACCTGTTCTTTATGTGTGTCTCATATAGTTGCAGCGTCAAGCCAAGCAGTTGGCTGTGCATCAGAGATTTTATACAGCTCTTGCCCTTCATGAGCTTGTTCATGAGGTGCCGCTCAACACTGTGGCCAGGAAGTACGGTGCCGCCCGAGGGATGCTTCAGTCTCTCCAGCAAACAGCTTCAACATTTGCTGGTACAGTATGTTTAATAATTAGACAAAAACTTTTTGATATGCGATTTAAAATGTTTAAAGCCTAACTGTCATATTAATTTTATCCAAGATGATTTATAGGCACATCATATTAATTTGTGAAAGTTTGTACTCCTATGAATGACTTTTTAACATACACCAAAAATGTTACACAATATTATAACTATTATAGTAAATCTTATGTAGTTGTACAAAGCTGCTAATATCGAAATTCAGAATTGGTGTGCTAAAATTCCACCCTTAATAAATGCTTCAACTCAATTCTGTGGATGGCAGGCAGGTCCAACACTCTTCTCAATGTTATTAATACATATTAAGAGTGAAATCAATAGAAAAGGCACTAGCCATCATTCCATGGTAGTTTTATTTCTTTGGCACCTTTTACATGGATGTGTTTGCATCTGTTACGGTCACTATGGGCCAGTAACCGGGTTCTTGATGTTATAACCTCTTTTTCTATATCCGACCTCAAGTTGGTAGTAAGCTTTAAAGAAACTGGCTGTATCAAGCAGTAGTGCAATGCATAAAAAAGGGGGGGGGATATGCAAGACACTATTTCTTCACCAATATATTTACCTTCACCACTATTTATATATTATAAGAGATTGTTACTACACGTATGTACAAAATTGCCTCTTTCACTCAGGGCACAACACAACTACAGTGTTCGTCATACCCAGTGAACCCACATTCCAGGTGTACGTTGTCCACTGGCAAACACTGGCGAGTTCACCTTCTACATGGGCCAGTCCACCCACACAGTATCACGATGTGTCTACACCCCTTCTTCCCTCTCCAGATACTCACTGGCAGAGGGCTTAAGCAACAAGCTGACAGGGGTCTAAAACAATCATACATAGGGGTAGCAAACACCTTGGTAGAAGCCTCTAGCAGCCTGCTAGCAGCCTGCTAGCAGCACTTCACAAATAGACACATCACTATCTTCCTTAACTCTTGGAAGCCAATTCCGGGTATGTCGATCTTCAACAACACCGTATATCAGCAGCTAACACACTGTTCGGATCGACGGCGGCTTATTTAGTCTTCTCGCAGGACCAAGCTAAGAGTTCGTGGACTGCCCAAGATAAACTGCCCTCCTCAGCTCAATCACCCCCATATGTCACCTCTGTGGACATAAAAACGTCATTAGCCTGATGGACAGTACACTGGGTAACCCTGGGGATAACACTCGTACACCAGGGACTTGACATTGTGACTTGTAGCCACAACCTAGATGGCGCTGATCTTTATACGCCACCCACCAGAGGTCATCCACATCGACCTCCTCTTCTGACTGGGGCAGGAAATGGGAACTTTCCACCAATACCACGCCACCACCAACATATGGCATTGTCTACATAGTGCCCAATACTAGGGGAGTTGGAGTGCAGACCCATAAATGGCGCTGAAATCACCACTCCACACTCAGACGATGATGTTGATACCATAACATCCAGAACTTTGGATATTTGGAATTTAAAGCTGCCTGTTTGTTCGTCTTTCCTGTTTCAGGATTCCTTTGCATTTGATTCATTTTGTCTTAACTGGAACCAGTGGGACAGAATTGTTTGTTTCCCGGCTTATACACAGTCTAGTTAATTTAAACTGAGCAGGAGGGGTGTAACCCAGAGTCCATGACAAATGCTAAAACCCATGCTTTGGTATGGGCAGATTTGGAGGACAGACTACTCCTTTACTAAGTTCTTTCTTTCCCACTTTCCACATTTTCATTGTTAGTGTGTGTAACATTGAGACATCTCTCTTTCTTGTTGCTAGTTTCCTCATAAGTTGGAAGTCAGGTTCTGGATGTTTACCCCCCATTGGGGCTGTGCTTTCCTTGTCACCTCCAATGCCTTTCTGGCACTCTTGTGGCACATGTAATCCTTTTCTCTGTTGCTGTTTCTTTTGGGTGGCTGTGGAGACTTAGCTAAGGGGGGGTGACTGAGTGGCCTAAAAATAAGGTGTTTAGTGTCGATGAAACATTTTTCCTGATCTGCTTACTCCGTGTTCTGATGGCCTTCTTTTGTCATGCCTCAATTGTGCCTTTTCCTATTGTGGTGAGTACGATGAAAATGAGTCAAGTTAAACTAGCAGACTCTGTTTTACACTAACAGTGCTGTCACCTGATAACAGGTGGCTGCAATGGACAGGTGAGCCAATAAATATTGCTTGTTAGCAGTTTATTTCAATTCACGAGTATTAAGTGCATGAGATAGAAAGTCATGCTGGTCCAAGCATGAGTTCACAACTTACCATATAGAGCATGATATTGCCTATTGGAGTAACTTAATGACCAATTTAGTGAGAATTATTTCATCTACCCTTAACTCCAACATTTTTTCTGGGGGGAGCTACCGGGCTAATTTGCAATTCATTAGACCAGGGCATTGGTCAAAGGAGTTCAGCCTACAGGGGACCACGAGCCAGAACCTGGCCCTCTCAGAGAGGCACAGGGAGCAATGGCCCTTTCTTATCTGCCATCGACCGGGGTTATGCACCCAGAAAGATAGGCATAACAAAACAAACCCCACATGGTAAGAAAATTGCAATCGAAAACCGAACAGAGAAGCAGAACACCCTCCAATCCCAAGGAAATGAGCAAACAAGCAACCATCCTACAAACTACCGGACTGTTCTCCGGTGGTTCATTGCCTGAACCGCGGAGGTTCCCTTCAGTCCTTGCCTCTTTGGGGCTGGTCACTTTGAGGGGCTCGTCTGCTGGTTTCTCGGAGTTTGGCTCTGCGTGTAGTTTATATCCGGGAAGTGTCCAACGGCCTGTCTCGGTTCATTTCCCCTGTCCACGGAATGTACGGTCGGCACCGACTCCTTCAGTTTGCTCTGTCAGTCGTATGGGCTCGCAGAGGTGGACCTCTTCATGTCAGTGTGGTCATGCCATCTCCCAATATATGCCTTTCCCTGACTCCGGAGCCTTTGCGATGGACGCCTTTCAGCTGGACTGATCGAGGCAGGGGTTACCTGTACTTCTCCATGTACCTAGTCCTACCAAGGGAGAGTTGTCCTAGTAGCCCATTGGTGTCCCTGGACCCAGCCTTGGTTTCAGGCGCTGCTTACTTGGTGTCCGAACCCGTGGTGTATTTCACGACTCTGCCTCTTCCAACAGATCGAAACGGTACGGTACACGGCTGGTTCGGTTTTCTCCTCCATTCTTCGCATCTGGTCTTTTTGATGCGGGTTTATCACCATCTCTATGGTGATCAGGTGGCTTCGTTGACGGTGTCCCACCTGAGAGCTTCGTTTAGGCCACAGTATGAAGTGTCTTGGCGTTCTTTTCATCTTTTTCTCTCTCTTCGTAGGTTGTCTACTATTTCTGATCAGGTTGTTTTATCCTTTCTTGACTTTTTCAGTACTGTCATTTGATGCCGAATACTGTCGCCTCATATCGTGCGGCACGGCACTGGGGAAGCCACTTCAGCTTGCATTTCGGGTGGATGTCACTTCTGCCCTGTTTTGTAAGCTTTCTTGTGCTTTGTTACAGGGAGCCGGTCGGCCGAGCGGACAGCACGCTGAACTTGTGATCCTGTGGTCCTGGGTTCGATCCCAGGCGCCGGCGAGAAACATTGGGCAGAGTTTCTTTCACCCTATGCCCCTGTTACCTAGCAGTAAAATAGGTACCTGGGTGTTAGTCAGCTGTCACGGGCTGCTTCCTGGGGGTGGAGGCCTGGTCGAGGACCGGGCCGCGGGGACACTAAAAAAAAAAAAGCCCCGAAATCATCTCAAGATAACCTCAAGATTGTTTCACCGGGTTTATCCGGTTTCTCTCGTTCCCTGTTCCAGGCCTCGGGTCTCCCAGGTCATTCGTATGGTTATTTAAGTCTAGCCAGCCTGTGTTCTATGCTCGTGCCCATGACGTTCGGAAGTTTGATGCTTTGGCTACTGTCTTCGGCAACATGTCATGGGCTGAAATTTGGGTTCTGGGACTTTGGAGGTAGAACAGGGTCCTGGCCGCCCATTATTTAGTCAACATTCCTGGTCCTGGGCATTCCTGTGTGGATTTGGGTCGCAGGTTGCAGCCAGTTGTCTCGCCTTTGAGTTGAGGAGAGAGTGGCGGCTGTCTCCTGCGTAAGTCCCTCGTTTCCTTATCTTTGGTTATGTTGCTCCAGGGAGCCGAAGGGGGGACTCCCCACAGAAAACCAGTGTTGAATGTAATGAAACACCATTTTCTGGGTTAGTCCCAGAGGCTCCCTGGCACCCTCCCTCCCTCCAGTCTGCGGTATTCGCGTTGTTTTGATACGCAGCCTCCGAAATGGAATGGCTGGGTCACCGACATGGGTGGGGCTGTGCGGACAAGCGGCTCAGCAGTGTGGTGCAACGTGTGCTTGTTTCCTTGGGATTGGTAGGAGTGCTGCCTCTGTGTTTGGTTGCAATTTTCTTACCATGTTGGGTCTGTTTTGTTATGCCTATCTTTCTGGGTGCCTAACCCCTGGTCGATGGCAGATAAGAAAACCCCCAACCACAGGGGGTTGGGGGTTCCAGGGCCAATGATCCCTGTGCCTCTTTGAGGGGGTTGGGTTCTGGCTCGTGATCCCCAGTAGGCTGAATTCCTTTGACTATTGGCCTCGTCTAATGAATTGCATATTAGCTCGATAGCTCCAGGGAGCCTCTGGGGCTCACCCAGAAAATGGCATTTCATTACATTCAACGCTGGTTTTTTATTACATGGAAGTATTAGCATTTTCACATATGTGTGTGTGCTATAATTTTAATGTTAAAACATAACAACAGGATAAAGGCAAGCAGTTTGTATGCTGTAGAACTATTCTTGCTTCACTGTGTACATATAATGAATCATAGATAGTTATGTACTGTATATACTGTAAATTTTCATATTTTAATCATGAAACAAATTCTTATATAATTATACCAAATGCATATTAGTTTCATTAATTAGTCAGGAAGCATCCATGCAGACTTGAGTACGGTAGATTTAAGTAGCTCCCAAAAGTTATGTGCTGGTTTGGCTGAGCCTTAAGGTTGTACCGATTCTCTGAGCATTTCATTACATCTCTTAATTTTTTCAGGCATGGTCACTGTGTTTTGTAATCGCCTTGGGTGGTATAATCTAGAGCTACTTGTTGCTCAGTTTCAAGATCGTCTGCACTTTGGAATTCAACGGGAACTTTGCGACTTAGTCCGCTTGTCACACGTCAATGGCCAATGCGCTCGAGACCTGTATAATGCAGGTCTGGAGACGGTCAACTTGGTAGCTCATGCTAGTCTTCATGATGTAGAGAATATATTACGTTCTGCATCTCCATTCCACAGGTAATACCAGATTGGAGTGTCTTACTTAGAATAAACTTTCATATTTCCTAGATTAGTATCTTTGATGCTCTGTTTCCTTTCAGAACCTTAAAGTTCATATAGCCTTGCTCAAGTTTTAAAAATTCTGAAGGAGCACATAAAATATTTACTTACAAAATCAACATGCAATGGGATCTTTTCTTTGATACATCAACCCCCTGACTTCCTTCTGTAGAGTATGCTTATAACTATTATGTTGTATATACAAGGTTTTATTTGTGGGCATTATAATAAATTAATCCATATGAATAAATCAACTTTTTAATACAGAAAAAAAGTGTTGAATGTAATGAAATTTTCTTTTCATTACATCTGTTGGAGCTATCGGACTGATATTAACTATATTAGTCTGGAGCTTCAGTCTTATGGAGTTGGAGTCTACCTGGGACCACGAGTCAGAACCTGGTCTCCTCAGAGAGGCGCAGGGACTAATGGCCTATGAAACTCCCTTGTATGAGAGTATTCACGTCTGCCATCGACTGGGGATAGACACCCAGAAAGGTAGGCGCCCCAAAACAGACCCCTCCTGGTAGAAAAATTGCAACCCGAGACTGAACAGAGGCTGGAAACTCCCCCGAGGAAAACAAGATAAGAAGCAACACGTCATCACACTGCGTGCCGCTCGTTCACACTGACCCTCCCCCTTCTGGGGAAGGGGGTCCTGCCCTACCAAGCCAGCCTCCGGATTGCTAGTTCGTTGATTGAAGCCGGCTGGGTCTGTTGTCTACTCTGGTCGCGATTATCTGTCAGGCTTTTCACCCGTGCAGTGGTACTTTGTGTGTTGGAGCGGTGGCCAAGAGTTACATACCCAGGGCTGCATGTGCTTAGGCCTTTCATCCTTAAGCATCCTGTAAGTACACCCCCTGGGCCTCAGGGTTATCTTCCCTGGGACTTTCGGGTTTCCCACTCAAGTAGAAGTAGTGGTCACTAAGCTTCTACCTCGCCCTAGGGGTCAGCTTTAGGTTTCTGTGCTTTCATTTGGCCCTGGGTAAAGATTGGTTGTTGTTGGTTAGAGTGCACTGGGCTGCCCAGCTTACATAATAGCAGCAGCTGTGCCTCTTTCTGGCCTCCTGTAGTTCCGGAACCTCCTCTGGGTTCTTTTCATACTTTTAGTTTTCTTTCCTGCCTGGTGGAGGGTTGCCTGGCTTCCTATTAGGTATGCCTAAGTTCTTTTGGCAGTCCTCATCTCAGCCCCTGAGGCTGTTCTCCTCTCTGGGGCCAGTTAGCCTGTTCAGACATACAGGGTTACAACTGGCTTTGGCAGTACCAGTGTCTGGGCTTCCAGTGCGGACACATTCTCCTGCAGGCCTGGTAACCCCCATCGGGGCTTGGTTGACCAATGGACGTGTCCTCCGAGTCCCATCTCGCCTTGTGCTAGTTTGAAGGTTGTTCGTTGCCCTTATCTCAAGGTGACGATCACTTGTTTTGCCTCCGTCATGCTGCTTGTTGGGTCAACGTCATTTTCAACCCAGAGACTTGCGAGGCTTGTTCTCTGCTCGTGCTCCAATTTACCCATTCTGCAGTAGCTGAAAGCACACCATTTGCAGTGTGCATGTTGCATGCTAGGTTTAGGTTACTGCAGTGCACTTGGTTGCCCGCTCGAATGCCCTGGAGTTGCCCCGTTTTGGTTTTAGGGACCTGGACTTGGAGGCATTAGTCACTTTAACCTTGGTTCGAAGCGAGTCCTTGGAGTCGATGTGGGGTTTAGCTGGGAATAAGAGTGAGGTGGCTCCGTGGGTGACCCCATTCAATGCGGGGATGGAGGCATTTGAACCTGTTCTTTCTGCTGAGGCTTATTAGTCCTTCCAGCAGGCCTCTTTCTTTGATGCCTTTCCCTTGGACTCTGCCTTTTCTTCAAGGGTGGAGGATATTGAGGACAGCTCTGCCCCAGAGCCTGGTTAGGAGGATTCCGGGCACCTTGGAGGGGAGGGGAGAGTCCGCCTGGGGTGCTTGGGCCCCTTCCGATCCTGCCTGGACTTTGGTGCCTTCGGAGTGGGGTCTGCTGTTACAAGAGTTGGGGTTTTCGTATCCCCTTTCCTTGTACGAATTTGATATGGGTTTGGCTTCACCCCCAGGATCGTTTCCGGGATCCCATGGGTTTCACGGCTTCATCTTCCGGAAGTTTTCTACTTCTCGTAGTTCCCCTGCGGAGGTTTGGGAGGCCCTCGGTGCTCCCCTCCTGTGAGACCCGGATTTTGCCTCGGTGATGGACTCGAGTCTCTTTTGAGTTCGGGTCTTCTTTCCTGTATTGGATGTGTTATAATGTTCCAGCATCTTCCTGGCTTATAGACTGCCCTTTCTTTTCATTGGGGGCATGGCACACATTCTGTCGTACCCGCACGCTTGAGTGGTGAAAGCTCACTAGTGTTGTAGTGAGTCTACTGTAGTCTACTTATGGGGCACATTTGAAGACCTTAATGCATGCTTGTAGGCCCCTGTGCTTCTGCGGGAGGTTGGCTTGTTACAGTTGTACGTCCAGGTCCCTTCCCTTTCGGCTGCTTTAGTTGTGGAGGATCATCATGCTCATGAGCATTTGGCCTCGGTCGTCCCCTTTTCCTTTCTCGAGTTGTCTTCGGACTGGCTTGTGGAGGATGTGAAGGCGTTGAGTGACAGGTCGTGTCTTTGTTTTATGCCTCTCGGCTCGCGTCTGGACAGCATGTCCTCAAGGACAGCAGGCCGTCCTTGCTCTCTCTGTGGCTTCCCCTTGGGCCTTGGCTCTTAGGTCTTTATCTCTGTTTTGTCTGCAGTTGTTTGGGGACTCTGTGTTGGCTCAGTTTTTGCAGGTGGCTTCTGCTAGTTGCCATCCACTTTCAGATTTGTTAGCTATCCGGGGTGCTCTCTCTCTTGGGCTTCCCGGTAGTCGTGCCATGGCTCGTGTATCTGCTGTTTGAGGTGGGCCTTTGGTGCCAGTTTCTGAGCCGGCGCCTGCTCTGGAACCGTCTTCATCTGGTCAGCGAGGTGCTCGCTCTGTTCACAAATTGGTTTCGCGGGTTGCCCCATTGACAGGGTGCTGGGGGGGGGGGGGGGGAGAAGCTGACTTTATTTGCCTACGCTTGGTCCTACGATTCGTGGGTGTTTTAGATCATGTCTTCTAGCCTTCGGTGGCATTGGACAGCTCCACCTCCTCATGCCCCAAAGCTGGACCCACAAGCCCCGAACCCCCAGTTCTTTTCAGAAGGCTTCTTCCCCTTTGGTTCGTCAGGTCATGTTAGAGTGGGTGCGCTTGGGCGGGATTGAAACATCGAAACAACCTCGTTTCTCAAATGAGTTTCCTGCTTGTTTCCAGTGCCGAAACTGGACTGTGCAGATCTGCGTTTTTTTCTCGACTTATCCCGTTTGAACCCCTAGATTCCTTTCAGATTACCATTCTGTCCCAGGTCCGGCTTCTCTTGGAGCCGGGTTCTTGGATGGTCTCTGGACCTCCGGGATGCGTATTGGCACATTCCCATGCATCTGGGAATCGGGGACTGGTTAGGTTTTGTCATGCGGCGGCAGGCTTACCACTTTTGTTGCCTTCCTTTTGGCTTAAATCTGGTACCTCGTGTATTCATGCGTCTTTCCCGGGTCGTGGTGGCCTGTTTGCATCTGCTAAGTGTTCGGGTTTTAGCCTACCTCGACAACTGGTTGGTGTGGGGCTCCCACCCTGTATGCTTGTTTGCTCGCCGGAGATTTGGTTCTTTCCCATCTCGTCAGGTTCGGGTTCCTGGTGAATTGGAGGAAGTCCCATCTGGTTCTGTCTCAGGTTTGGACTTGGCTAGGCCTTGTCTGGGATTCCTGGACAGCATCCTTGTCTTCCTCGGGCAGCATTGCTCCGGCTGCAGTCCCACCGTCGGCTGTTTCTGAGGGGGTCCTGGATCACTTGGTGGTTACTCGAGCAGCTGTGCGAGAGTTTGAAGTTTGCCATGATCATTTACCCACTGGGTCGGGTTTGGCTGTGGTGCCTGTTCTGATTTCTTCAGGGCCATCCCTTCCTCCGCTCTTGTGATCGCTGGTTCATCCCCCAGGGGCCTTGTGTTAGTTGCTGCGTCTCCGGCTTCCTCCTTGTGGTTCGGTGCCTTGGCGCTTTCCAGAGACCTGCCTCGATGTGTTCACGGACGCCTCCTCTGTTGGCTGTGGCTTTGTGACCAGTGCTCACCAGGCCGGCCAGGGACTGTAGGCTCCGTTCTTCTGTCAGGCTCGCAGCATGATGCGGGAGTTCGCGAGGGTGTGGCTTTTACTGCGTCAGATTCGGCTCCCTTGAGGCTCTACAATCCGGCTCCATTTGGACTGCGCTCCGGTGGTTCATTGCCTGAACTGTGGAGGGTCTCTGAGGTCCTTGGCTCTTTGGGGCTGGTCGCTTCAAGTGGCTCTTCTGCTGAGTTCTCGGGGTTTAGCTCCATGCGGTTCATATCAGGGTTGTGTCCAATGTCCTGGCGGAAGGCCTGTGCAGTTCATTTCCCTGTCCACAGAATGGATGGTCGACGCCGACTCGTTCAGTTAGCTCTGCCGGACATTCAGGCCCCTGGAGGTGGACCTCTTCGTGTTGATGTGGTTGATGTCTCCATGTCTGTGGCGTCCTTCGCCGACTGCGAAGCCGTCGCAGTAGATACTTTTCAGCAGGACTGGTAAGGTGGGGTTACTTATACCCCCTTCATGATGTTCTGTAAAGGTAAGGTCTTCTGAAATGATTACTCCTAGATCCTTTACATTGCTTTTACTTTCTATAGTGTGATTTGATTCTGATTGACTGAGGCAGTCCAGCTGAGCCATATGTTTTTTGAAGGATCCACCTTTCTTAGGAGCAGATAAAGTGTTACAGACATAGAATTTAAGGATGAGTAGAAAGCATTGTGTATGGAAGATTTACTCTTTCATGTACTGAGGCAATCTAGGAAAGGGTGTTTCTTTTTATTTAATGCTAGATTTTTTACTTGATGATTTTGTATAAACTGAAAGGCAGCAACATGTATATTTTACACAATATTATTGTATCACTCGGAATTTGAACAGCAACAAGATGGGAGATAACGAGACTCGTTCAGAAGGCACCATCTGGTTATCGTCTGGTCGTCCCCTTACTGAAGCTGAGGCGGCTGCCCTCATTGTTGCTGAAGCTCGGCAGTTAGTACAAGTAAGATAAACAGTGCAGTACTCTGTTTTCTCATTGGTCTTAAGTTTCTTGAAAAATTCACAAATGCCTTCTCGCAGCCTTGAAAAGAACAGTAACAGCTGAGCCAAATGTTTTTGAAGGATCTAGCTTTCTTAGGAGCAGATAAAGTGTTACATATATAGAATTTAGAGGTGAGTAGAAAGCATTGTGTGTGGAAAAAACTGAGTAGCAGGATGAGGGGCTGTCTTTGTGTGGTTACTGTAATGGTCAGGAATGTCAGCACACAATTTGAATTCCAATTTGCACAAGGTTTGTTGATTTTACCAATGTAATGTGTGATGTTGAAGCACAGTAAAGTATTTGAAACATTTCTATTTCACAAGAGGTGCACTTTGTACTTTTTTGTATTTTTTTTTTTAATTTGATACAGCTGTGTGACCCAGCCATGTGATGATGCATCATGTTTCGTGAAGAAATCATGCCTTTAACCTAACAGCAATGCAAGATACTTTTTCAAACAAGGTTTCCAAATTTTGTGACAGCAAATTTGCAGTTGCTGTTTCCTTTCCATAATCCAACGATTCAAACTGATCCTGCCAACAAAATTTAGTCTGTGAGGGCTTGTGTACTACATTTTGAGACACAATAGTATTTTCACACTGTCGACTTATTTACAATGCTGCGACATGTATTAGTTTCAATTTCTTAATTTGCATCATCTATTGTAACCTTTACATTCACAACAACTCTGCTCATTATAAAATACTCACAACATTCAAGCTGTTTAGTTTGACATATTCAGTTAAGGGTTTGATGGTTCTGTAAATACTGTATGTAGTACTGGTATTTTTTTAATGTGTATAAGATTATATTAATTATCTATTCAGATTTTAATGGTATATATCCAGTATATAATAAAACTGACAAATAAGTATGCTTTGCTTATATTTTGTTTATATTTCAGAAAGAGCTTGGTATAACTTCAGTAGACTGGACACAGAAGGCTCAAGGAGTTACTACTCCAGGAAGAAAGCCTCCAACACATTCTCTTGGCTCAAACTCTGCAAATCGTAAAGTTCTTATTGCAAAGAAAAGGAGCTCAACCTCGCCTAATCTCATATTGCATTCTACTGCAGCAAGAGGAAGACACAAGGTTTCTTCATTGGTTGTGGACTGTGAAACCAATTCAATTTCAAAACTAGTAGGTGAAGTAATACCAGGTAAACGACCATCTCCACAATTATCCACCCTAAGGAGAAAGTCAAAATCACCAAAAATTTATATTCACTCGGGAATGGCGACTGGAAAAATGTCGCCCAAAAGCTGTAAACAAGACAAAGTAAATTTTGGAAATTGTGTTCCACTGCAGCTTCCTGATGAACAAGTAAATAATGTGGCCAAGAACTCTCCTAGTCTAAATATGGTGGAAGATTTACTTTCTCATGTTAAAGCTTCAGAAATTGAATCCGGAAAACAAAATAGAGTTGAATCAGTAAATGAAATTGCAGAAACTTTGGAAAATAATAAGAAAGCTGAAGAAAATGATAGTGACAATATTTTAAGAAATGGGGGCCAATCAGAGGAGGAATCAAGTGATGATAAGAACCAAGCAACAGCCTGCTGTAAACAAGGGAGAGAGATAATAGATATCAAAAGTAGGTTAAGAAGTAGAACAAAAGGTATTGAAGGTGAGGATGCTGGCCAAAGTGGTAATACACAAATGGAGGTGATAAAGAATGCAAACATAAATGAAGGTAAAAATATTGATAGAAAGAAGCTATTTAACAGAAGTTCAATAAATAATGACAAGAGCTGCATGAAAAAGAACTCTGCTATTGCTGGGCTATTATTTAGAAGACCTAAAGCACAGAACAGAAATATAGAGATGGAAAGCAGAAGCAATGATGGCAGATCATTTTGTATCCCTGAATCACAGGAAGATAAATCTGACAATATATTCTCCCCAAAACGACATCAAAATCTAAAAAGTAAATCTGGACATGTGAAAGAAGGAGCACAGGACACAACTAACATACAACATGATAAAAGTGAGGTCAAGAGTACTCGGTCAAAGAATATTTCTGGATCTTGTAGAGAGATTACGTCTGGGAGCAAGTTAAGGGCAGCACGTGAGGACATCGGTAACATGGAAATGGATCATGTCGGTAATATAAACACGAGTACACCCATTGTTGAGGGACACAAGATGTTTACACCTGTTTCTGCCACAACACCCATTACCAACTCAGATTCTAAGCTTGTGACAGCATCAATACTTCATCACATGGCTGGAGACATGACAAATGATGCTATTACCAACTTGAGCTTGAATGATTTGCAATGCCTTGGTGTAACTTGTGAGGAAGAAGTTCAAGTGGCAAATGAGGTCATTAAAAATAAAGACGATAGTGATATGTTTAGTGAAAGTAATGATGTAGACAACTCTAAAAAACTTTCTAGAGATTCGTCCAGTGTATCTGAAAATGCTGCTGAAACAGAAATTAATAAAGCTATATCAGAGTCTAGGGATTTTCCAACAAATATTACTCGTCATGTAACAAAAATATGCCACAATGTTGAAAATTTTGGTTTTCTTTCCGAATCACAAAAGGTTGACTTTTTAAAAACAATGGATTTATCAGATTTTAATTCAGGCTCAGAGAATGTGTCATTTGAAAATAATCAAGACAAAAAATTAAAAACAGAGACAAAAGTTATTGACATGTGGAAGAGAGAACAAAATTGGGATTGTGCAAGAGAGGAACGAGTTTCAAGTAAAGATAGTCCAAATGGTGCCTTCACAAGTTACTCTGATGTACCGGAAGAAAATAGCATCCTAGATCACACTTTGGATTTAAAAAGAAAATTGCTGGAGGCACCTGAAGTTTTAATAAAAAGCAAAAAGAGATCCCCACATAACAAAAGTTCTTGTCAACTGGATTCCAGTTCAGATAATTTTGTAACTCATAGCAGATTGAAAGATCCAGTTGAGGTTTTAAAAGAGAGAAATGAAAAATCAGTTTATGAAGCTTGTTCAGAGGAGTTTAATTTCACATGTGATATAAGTTTAAGCCAAGAGAGAATATTAGAGGACACTGAAATTAATAGTCTTAGAAGGGCACAAGATGATAATAATTTAGATGGCTCATATTTGCAGTCAGTTTGCCAGCAAAGAAGCTTGTTAGAAAATTCTAACAAAACTTCAATAGAGAGATCAAAGTTGAATAATAGCAGCCATTCATCAGAATGTGATGATAAAGAATCTACAAGTCAGAATCACTCTGATGGAGATTTGAATCAAAATATTTGTGAGATTATGGAACTGGATGAGAACAGTGACAGGAAAAACACTGACACACTTTCAGACTCGTTTCTTGACAGAGCCTTTGAGAGTTACCTTCATCTGTCTACATCAAGTGAGGAAACTGGTAATGATGAGCAAAATAAATCTCTTGAGCAAGATAAGATAGAGAAAAATAGTGAGCAAGTGGAAGAAAATCGAATAACTTATAAATCTCTAGAGCAGAATGAAAATGTTTTCAATGATTTGCAAGATACTAAGAATGCATATGAAGGTAATGCTAATGCCTTAAAATTAAATTGCTTAAGTGCAACGTTCAGTCAACTAGATATTACACTTGGCACAGAAGCTTTGATAGATGGAAAACCAAAAGAATATCCTGATATACTCGTACAAGATGATTTGCAGCTTAAAGATAACCAAGTTTGTCGTACTCAATGCAGCAAAGACAGACTGTCCGATGATTTGTTTGCAACGCCTACGTTGCCGAACACAAAGCAGTCTCAGAGGAAGCTAAATAAGGCAAATCGGGAAAAAAGCAACAAGAATAAAGCGTGTAGTAAAGCATCATTAGGAAAATTGAATTCCCAAAGATCCTCATCACCACATGGAAGCTCTCATTCTTCTGATAATAGAGATGACACAGTTGTTCCAGAGAGGAATGGAAATGTTATGGATGCAAATGTACCAAGTAATATTTCATCAGTGAAAAGCTCATTCTGCATCATCGATGTTGTAAATGATTCTAAATTATTTAAAAGTTTCATAAAAGAGTGGGATGAACAAAAGATTTCTGCAATTAGTTTAGCATGTGAAAAAGCTCCAGCCCAACGCAGTAAAGGAAGCATTGGTAAGAATCATGCATTATGCATCAAAATTAGTGAAAGGAATATTTACAGATTTTAAACCACATTATCAGTGAAGTTTTAAACAGCCATAAATGTAATCATGTGACAGTTGCTTCATTACTACTTGGTAGCCTGCTGCATTTTCTTCTTACTCAAATTATAATCTCAGTGTTGTCTTTTCAATCAGATTTTTTGGTTTTTATAAGTTCACCTTTTAACATTTTCTGTTTCTTTATCTGGTTTTTCTGTTTTCCCAGTACTGTACATTATTGCCGAATTAGACTTCATATTCATCACAGGTTATTTTTTCTCACTGTGATGTCAAGCCAGCAATTGAAATTTTGTACCAAATATTCCAAGTGCTGTTTTACATATCTCCAGTACTTGGAGAATATTGTCATTCTTCAAAAATAAAGATTGTTGTTTTGAATCAACAGGCTGGCGAATAGCTGGACATGGTCGCACTCCACGACGCAGTCAGCGTCCCCAAGAAGTTGCAGGATTGGTGGTTGAAAACTCAGATTTGCTTATTGTGGGCATTGCAGTTTGTTGGGGAGGACAAAATGCTTATTATATTAACTTACGTACTGTCCAGGAAGGTTAGTTTTGTATGAGTTTATTTTTCAAAGTACCTAGCTGCATGACAGTGCTTAGTTTGACATATTTTGTATCTCAGTTTTCTTTAATCTGATTAAAGTAAAATTTAATACTGTTAATTTATATTGGTTGGGACCAGAGGCTGTGCATAATTATGAAGTTTCCATTAGATCCATGATGGTCCATCTTTACATCCAGATTTCTTTTCTAACTTTTATGTTGCATAGTACATAACTAATATGTATATATTGTAATTTCCTTAAAATATGAAGAAGTTTATCAAATAAAGGGCTTGATATTGTACATTAGGTTGAGTATGCTGGGTACTAAGTGACCCAGGAACTGGAGATGATGTATTACAAGGCTGTTTCATGAAACAAAAATCTTGGATGGCTTTCCTTACATCATAACTTTACATAACATCTTAACTTTTTATTGACTCGGTGATAACATTTTTGTCTGTGTATTTATGCTATGACCAGGGTGCTCTTGGATAGTGGAACATGATATATTGCAAACAGATAGAGTACATATTGAGTCTGGGAGTAGGAACCTACAGCCAGGAGGTTACATCATATATATTGAGTATTATTGTAAGAGATTGTGGTGGTTGTAAGATTACAAATTAGAGACATTACTGTATGCAATTTGGGTGGGCCGTGGCAGCGTGAGGACGCCGTTTTCAATTTGTTGCAGAGGCTGGTCTAGGACAGATATATTTTGTTGACTGTTGGGATTATTACACCAGATAAGTCCTTATTTTCTCTTATTTATTTGCCACTGGTCTCATTTACTGTTATTATTGTGTGCAACTCTAGTCTTGCTCCACTGTTATTGTGTTTTAGGGGAGTAAGGTTAGAGAGGATATTTTTATGTACTGGGGTTATGGGACATTCCAAGTGTACCTCCTTCAAAAGTTTTAGGCCTACCCAAGTATCTTGTTTGTGAGCCTTTTATTCCTGTTCCAGGGAAATGCTGAGCTTAAAGTAAATGTCACCAGGCAGTGCAAGGAGTTTTGTTATGGGGAAGTACTGTGATTAATAAACCTGTAACGCTACTCAGATTTTATTGTGTGGGGGAATGTGACTTACCCTTAGTGACAGGACATTCGATGGTAGCAATCTCCATGGGGGCCAGACCTACATTCACCCTGCTGTCTAAATGTTAAGCTTTAATTTATTATATTAGCAGCCCAGGAGCACTGTTGATTGTTAAGTGACACTAGTGTTACCTCAAATATATCATTCTATTCTAATGAATTAATATTTTATGAAGCTATAAAATGTGCATTGGAATGGATAATAACCATGTTTGATGTTCATTTTCTGTCTTTGCTCATGCGTCATTCCATTTGTGTACTCAGGTCTTTTGATTTAAATTCCTCTTGCTTCCCGTGGAAATCTAACAGTCTGTCTCCTGGTCAGGGTTGTGGTTTTGGCATGGCTAAAACCATGCTCCTGGTTGCCATAGAAACAAAGCTCCTCTTTTATGGTTGCACCGATTAATGCATGTTGTGGTACCTCTGGTGATGGTAGATTTAGATGTGGGTGATTTGTAATTCTCATTGTCCATGTCAGCTCTTGTTTTTGGGCTTAACCTGTTTCCCAAAATGTTTACCAGGCTTACTAGTGTGGTTATTTGGGTTTTTTGCTTCTTGTGATCTGTGTCCTGGCCATCCTTGATGACTGGTTGATCTGGGTTTGCAGTCAGTGCTTATGCATGCTAGCCAGTGCATAAACATCACGGTATAAGAGTTGGTTTCAATTTGGAGGGCACTTTAGAACATTTTTCTCCCTCGGGGCTTGACTGTGTGGCTGCACTCAAAACAGTTCTATGGTTGCTCGTTATCTCAGTCGGGAAAATTCCAACAGCTTTCTTTTGTTCGGTGTACTGGACTCTAACCATTGTTTCTCTTCTGCATTCTTGGGTGGTAGCAGTAGGCTTCAATTCTTCTCTTGATTGGCTTTGGTGATTTCTAGCATTCTTATGTGCTGCTATCTCATGTTCTCTGTGCACCTGTGTGCAGTTTGGGTGAATAATATGTAGCTAATGCCTTCACCACAGCTGCCTGGGTCTGGTGTCTGCAGTTTGAACATTTACAAGGTAGAACTTTTGTTTTGTTTTTCATTATTCCGTGTTTCCTTTTCAGGCTTATGTGTGTTTTGAGTTGTGTTGCAGGGTTAGTCATGCAAGGTACTGTAGGTAGGAAGCTTTGGTAAGCCACTAAGGTGGTCGTCACAGAAATAGAGCATTGAGTATAATGAAATTTCTGGGAGACCTCAGCTGCTCCCATTTCTCTCCCTGTTTTCCCTGCTTATCTGTGTGTTCTTAGGGTTGAATCACTCATGAGTGAGAAGTTTGGCCTTGCCAGACCCTCATTGAATAGCACTAAAAGAATCTGGTAGTGGTAGGGGTAAATGATCAGATGGCCTTTTTATTTGTTTCGATTAGTTCTTGAGTTGCGTTTTGTATTCATTGCCCTGTGAATGTTTTGAGTTTGTGACCCCCATTTGCTTTTCTATTGCTTTTCCCAGTGTGTTGTAGTTGCTCTCTGCCTCTGTGTGGAGGGCAGAATTTTAGTCTGCCTTGGGAATGCCTTGAGATGGTCACACGATGCCTGGTGATAGATAGTAATTAACCACAAGATTGTAATGGGACTGGAGTACTGTACCAGCAACATTCCCCAGGGAAGTCACTTAGGGGGCTCCAGAAAGTGCTGTCTTGTCATCTTCAATATTGTACAGGTATTTTTATCTAAAAGATGGATGGTAAATTTTATCATTAAATGATAATGAAAATAATTTTATTTTGTTACAGAAGCCATCAGTAATAGTTTTCCAACACCTCCCCTAAGAGCAGCTGTTTCACTTGAAGACAGAGTGGAGTGCATAAAAAACTTCATTATAAAAGGTATTGTTGTAACTGATGAAATTTGTAGTTTAAACAAGTCATGAATTATACTTGTAGTAGTATTAAATTCATAAAATATGACTGCATGCTTTTATTATTAATTTCTGGGAGAAGCCCCTTCGGCTCCCTGGAGCTATCCAGGCTCATATGAATGTATTAGACTCTGGCATCAGTCAAAGTGAATGAAGTTCTTAGGTCTACCGGGAACCATGAGCCAGAACCTGGCCCCCTCAGAGAGGCACGAGGAGCAATGGCATATAGAAACCCCCGTGTGGTTGGAAGCATTCTATGTCTGCCATCAACCGGGTCAGGCACCCAAAAAGGTAAGTGCCCCAAAACAAACCCCTATTCTGGTTAAAATATTGCTATTGAAAGCCGAACTAGTGGACAGAACTCAAAAATGAAAAAAGTATGACGTCGCCGCGCCACTGTCTGCACGACGTCCCCCTTTCCTCGGGAGGGGGAAGGGGGAAGCCCCAGACCCCCGCACCGGCTATCTACCCTGCAGTTCTGTGGCTGATGTGAGGCTGGCAAGGTCATGCGACTCTGACTCCTGAATTCCAGTCCCCTGACTTGTGGTGTGGTGCTGTCCTTGGTAGAGCGCCAAACAGGAGTATATTCACAAGTACTCGGGCTGCATGCACCTAGGGTCACCTTCCCTAGGTGCCCTGTAAGTACTTCCCTTGGGACTTGGGGCCATCTTCCACAAGTCTCCTTGGAGGCTACCTCTGCAAGGTCTTTTGCTGCTTGGTGATTGACCACCCTTGGAGTCAACTGGGGGTTTTCATTCACCCCTGCTTGCCTCTGGGTAGGGGGGTAGTATTCGTCACTAATTGGGGCGCAGGGTACTGTGCAGCTAGTTGTCACCTCTCATAGTGGCCGGCTTTGTTCCGCCTGGGTACGTTGTCCTCTTGCAAGGTTTTTCTTTTATTTTTGTTTTCTTGCCTGTGGGGGGATTCTGCCCCTTGGTTTTGGTCTCACCTGATTGTATCTTGGTGGTCCCCCGCAAGGCTCCCGGGAAAAGGGGGGGCAGCTTTAGCAGTTTTGTTGGTAATTTTGGGCACCGGTTAGCAGTGCCCTGCCGGGACTTCCCTTAGCGTGAGTTCTGTCTAAGGGCCCTGGGAATCTGTGCCCTGTAATTGTAATGTACCCTGTAAATGTAATGTACCCTGTGCCCACTGGGGCGCATGGATCCGATGGATGGGAACCCTGGGTCCCCTCTAACTTTGTAAGAGTTTGAGGGTTGCTCAGGCCCCTTGTCTCCGGATGACCTTCACTGTTTCTGCCTCCGTCATGCTGCCTGTTGGGTCGGTGACACCTTCAACCCAGAGTCATGCGAGTTTTGTTGCTTGTTTGACTCATTTCACTGTTTGGGTGCAGTCAGCGCAGGTGTTGCATACTCATTTTAGATTGCTGCATCGTGCTAAGTAGGTTGCTGACTCAGAAGCTCCGAAGCTGCCTCGTTTTGGTTATAGGGACCTGAACTTGGGGGGGTGTTAGTCGCCTCGACTTTGGTTCAGTCTGCGTCCCCTAGTCCTCCCCTGCTGTGGTTTGTTCTGGTCCTCTCCCTCCCCTCCTGCTTCCAGCTCCGAAGCGTCTGAGGGTTTCGGAGTCAGGGCAGAGTGTACTGTAGTTGGTTTGGAGATTTGGGCAGTCTCGAGGGATGCCCTCTCCGGTGTGGCGACGGGGACATTCGAGCCCGTTCCTCCTGCTAAAGAGTCTGGGTCTGACCAGTGGACCCCCCTTCCTTCCTGCTTTTTTGGCTGCCCGGGCCTTTCCTTTTGAGGCCGGGACTTTGGGGGACGGCTTAGCCCCAGTTCCTGCTGTGGAGGTTCCCAGAGTTGAGGAGGGATTGACTTGGAGGCCTTGGGCCCCATTGGACCCCGCTTGGGTTTTTGTACCCTCTGAGCGGGGCTTACTGTTACTGGGAGTGGTGTTTTCCTTCCCCCCTCCACGTACGAATTGGATTCTGTGTCAGCCCCTCCCCAGGTTCAGTTCCGTGTCCTTTCAGGTCCGTCAGTCCCGTCCTTCTGGACATTTTCGGCTTCCCGCATCCTGCCTCATGAGGTGCATGACGCCATTGCGGCTTGCCTCCTGCGCAACCCGGATTACACCTCCTTAATGAATATGTCTTCATTCAGGTTTTTGGAGGTCAAACAGGGTTCTGGCCGCTCGTTACCTTGTCAGTGTTCCTGAGCCTGTGTCACTTTGGATCAGTGGTTGCAGCCAGTTGTCTCGACTTTGAGTCGAGGAGCGAGTGCCGACCAGGTAAGTCCCTCTTGTTTTTGTCTTTGGGTAAGTAGCTCCGGGGTGCCAAGGGGGCTTTCCCCCCAAAACCAGCGTTGAATGTAATGAAACGCCATTTTCTGGACGAAACCCAGAGGATCCCCAGCAACCCTCCCTCCCTCCCTCCGGTTGGCATTTTTTCGCGTTTTTGACATCCAGTCTCAGAACTGCAGGGTGGATAGCCAGTGCGGGGGTCTGGGGCTCGTCCTTTTCCCTCCCGAGGAAGGGGGGGGGGAGTTACATAGACAGTGGCGCGGCGACGTGGTGACATCATTCTTGTTTGCTCGTTTTTATTTGGGGACTTCTGTCCACTAGTTCGGCTTTCAGTAGCAATATTTTAACCAGAATATGGGTTTGTTTTGGGGTGATTATCCCTCTGGGTACCTGACCCCATCGATGGCAGACATAGAATGCTTCCAACCACACGGGGGTTTCAATAGGCCATTGCTCCTCGTGCCTCTCTGAGGGGGTCCAGGTTCTGGCTCATGGTCCCCAGTATGCTTAAAAACTCCATTTGCTTTGACTGATGCCAGGGTCTAATACATTCATATCAGCCAGGATAGCTTCAGGGAGCCTCCGGGTCTCACCCAGAAAATGAAGTTTCATTACATTCAATGCTGTTTTTTTCCAAAATTTCTGGGCCAAAATTTTCAAAGTAAAAAAGCTTTGTATAGATTTCCTCACTGACAAGTAATGCATATGACGGCGAGACAAGCAAGGATAGCATAAAAAACATTGAACTGGGTAAAGGAGCACCTGATGGACAGAAAACAAAAGGTCATAGACAGAGAGGATATGTCAAGCTGGAAATCAGTGAAAAGTGGAATACCTCAGGACTCTGTCCCATAACTGTTTCTCTCTCTAATTTATGCTAATGCCTGAAAAGAGGGATTAAGAGTGTGTGTGTGTAATTACCTAAGTGTAGTTACAGGATGAGAGCTACACTTGTGGTGTCCCGTCTTCCCAATACTCTTTGTCATATGATGCTTTGAAACTACTAATGGTTTTGGCTTCCACCACCTTCTCACCTAACTTGTTCAAACCGTCTACCACTCTGCTTGCGGAAGTGAATTTTCTTTTATTTCTGTTGATGTAATTCAATGAATTCTACTAGAAATAATGAGAGAAAATAACTAGTAGTGGATATAATCCAAACACTAACAACAAAAGCTTGTGAGCAGAATAACATCAGTGACACTTGGGAAGTTGGCACTAATAAGAACAGTACTTAAAAATCTAAACAAGGAAGCTTTAATGTTCAATACACTTCCTATGTGGGACTAGTATCTTAAGGTTATCTTAAGATGATTTCGGGGCTTTTTTTTTTTTTTAGTGTCCCCGCGGTCCGGTCCTCGACCAGGCCTCCACCCCCAGGAAGCAGCCCGTGACAGCTGACTAACACCCAGGTACCTATTTTACTGCTAGGTAACAGGGGCATAGGGTGAAAGAAACTCTGCCCGTTGTTTCTCGCCGGCGCCTGGGATCGAACCCAGGGCCACAGGATCACGAGTCCAGTGTGCTGTCCGCTCGGCCGACCGGCTCCCTAGTACTAGAGGATGCTGCCCCCTGTATAAAATTGGCACCTCGTGAAACACAAAAGGACACTAAAAGTGTACAGCTTTGTGACTAGATTAGTACTGTACCAGAATTGTGAGGGCTCTGCTATTGCAAGCAAGTTAAGGAAACTCAACCTCAGAACCTTTGAGGAGATAAAAAAATAAACAAGATATGATCACATCATACAAGATACTGAAGAGAATAGACAAGATAGACAAAGATAGCCTGTTTAAATTGAGAAGATGTAGATGAGATGACATTGGTGGAAGCTGGATGCTCAGTTGAGTCAGAGATGTAGGGAAATTCTTGTCTCCTGTACAGGTTGTCAGCAAGTGAAGTACATTGAAAGAAGTTCTTTTTAAAGTCATATCCGTCCACAATTTCCAGAAGAATAAATATGGCAGTGTTGAAAGATATAATTAGTGTGCAAAGTAACAAAAGACACAAGGATGGGAGAGGGCCCTGGGAGAAATGATAATCACACCTAACAAGGAGCCTGCAAAACCCACAGATGAGACTGAAACACCTACCCCTATAGCAGAACCCCCAGAGGCAGCAAGGAAGAAGCCCAGGGGATGACAACTTCTAGCCACCCCTGCAGGAGAGAACACACATCCACATCTTGAATTATCTTGAGATGATTTCGGTGCTTAGTGTCCCTGCGGCCCGGTCCTTGACCAGACCTCCACCCCAGGAAGCAGCACGTGACAGCTGACTAACACCCAGGTACCATTTTACTGCTAGGTAACAGGGGCATAGGGTGAAAGAAACTCTGCCCATTATTTCTCGCCGACGCCCGGGATCGAACCTGGGACCACAGGATCACAAGTCCAGCATGCTGTCCGCTCGGCCGACCGGCTTGTGACCACATAGTCACAAGGAAAGATTAAAATGATCCCATTGCTGCATGAAAACAAGACATGTATAACTGAATTACTTCAGTTATACATTTACTTCATTATTTACTTCATTATTATTACTATACATTATTACTTCAGTACAAGACAGGCCCGGTAACAGGAAAAACCCTAGGTGGGCCACAGGTCAACAGTTGTTCAACACCCTCCCAGCAAGCATAGGAAATATTGCCGGAACAACAGTGGACATCTTCAAGAGGAAACTAGATTGTTTCCTCCAAGGTGTGCCGGACCAACCGGGCTGTGGTGGGTATGTGGGCCTGCGGGCCGCTCCAAGCAACAGCCTAGTGGACCAAAGTCTTACAAGTCAAGCCTGGCCTCGAGCCGGGCTTGGGGAGAAGAAGAACTCCCATAGAACCCCATCAACCAGGTATCAACCAGGTAGCACTGTGCGCTGATCCATCGAACACTTGACACAGGAACAAGAATTAAGATGACAGAGCAGACCAAGATGGGTGCTGTGACTTAGGAAAGAATTAAAAGCCACCCTGAAAGGCCCCATAAGTCTCCCATAAACATTGCAACACTGGAAAGAGTATGATGACCCTAAATGGGGGAAATGGGGCTGCACAAGCTTGCATGGGAATGATGCATGACTATCCAATGAACACACCCAGAATCTGATATCCCTCACTTGGAATTAAAGTATGTTAACCACCTGGGCAGATGGGAGGACACAGTTCCAACCACAGGAAACCTGAGAATGAGTTTCATGAACTGGGGCAGAAGGGCAAAATTCCAAAAATTAGCTCTTAAGAATACACATGGTAAAGCATAGTCACACACCTGTGTGTGATTGTTCGATACCTTTAAAAATGTGATGTATTATATGAGAGGACAGGTTACACAGTCAAACAGGATGAATGTTACAAGGCAGGTCCCCCAGAGGCTCTGTCTCTGTCACAAAGATTAGGATCAATATTGATCCTAATTTTTGTGAATGACCTACCTAAGGGAACCAGCTCGTGCATATGGATGTTTGCAGATATGCAAACATAGTTAATAAGGAAAGCAAGAATTGAGGACAACCAAAGAGTGCTGTAAGAAGACCCTTATAAACTCCAGAAGTGGTTAAACAAATAGCTGTTAGAGTTCAGCCCAATCATGTGTAACGTAATGAAGATGGAAGATGAGAAAGAGCAAAGAAGGCAACTAAAGAAATTAGACAGAAAATAAAATGTAAAATGGATATATTTCTAGCATTAATAACCATAGGCACACAGAAGCAGGATAACATAGACATTATATGGGGAAGCTGGCAAACAAAAGAAAAAATGTAAAACACTAAAGGATTTTGTTATAAACAATGTATGCAGGCTGAGAGAGATCAATAATAGAACACGCACCACTGACCTGGAGTCTGCACCTCATGTAACAAAACAAAATAAAACCTGAAAAAGTGCAGATTCATAAAGACTAAAATGTCAATACTGAGAGCTTCTATATTAGGACATGTTGAGAGAAGTCAGTCTCACACTTCTACAGGAAAGGTGCAGAGGTGACTACATACAAAATATTGAGGGAAATAGACATAGTGGACAAGGACAGCTTCTTTAAATTAAGATAAAATGTTGATCCACAGACTGTCTCTTAGACTGATGAATAACATGAGAGTAGATGCAAGGAAAAGCTGATAAGCACGGAAACATAAAAAGCATAAAAGGGATTGGGATTTTCAATTCAATTCATGACATGAAATTGGAATTTCACTGTACGAATTGTAAATATGAGTTAGAGAAAGGTATATGCAGTATATAGAAGTGGATAAGTTTATAACTATTATGCATTCAGAATTAAAGATGCTATGTATTAATGTTTTATTTTGTGTAAATTGCAGTAGGACAAAACAAGAAGTATGTTCTCTGTGTATGGGATGCCAAGACCTGTGTGCGACTGCTGGCGGCTGCAGGCCTGGGCTTCCTATCATGTCCAGTTGAGGATCCTAGAGTGGCGGCCTGGATGTTAGATCCTGGGAAAAAACAACTTAATATATTTAACCTAGTAAGATGAATAGTTTTAGTCTTACATAAATGAATATTAGATTATTCTTTATATATAAAAGTTTATATTAGACCGTGGCATCAGTCAAGCAAATGGAATTCTAGGCCTACCGGGGACCACGAGTCAGAACCTGGCCCCCTCAGAGCCTGGTTGCTGTGTTGCCAGCCTTCCTCTTCGGGGTTTTTCGAGGTTCAGTGCCTTGGTGCCTACCCGAGCCCTCAATCGTTGTGTTCACGAATGCGTCGTCTCTCAGCTGGGGTTTTATGACCAGTGCTCCCCAAGCTGGCCAGGGGCGGTGGGTTCCATCCCACTGCATGGTGCGGGAGTTTGCAGCAGTCTGGCTGTCACTTTGGAGGGTTCGGGTCGCTCGTGGCTCGGCCGTTCGGCTCCATTCGGACTGTTCTCTGGTGGTTCATTGCCTGAACCGTGGGGGTTCTCTTTGGTCCTTGCCTCTTTGGGGCTGGTCACTTCGAGTGGCTCATCTGCTGGATTCTCAGGGTTTGGCTTTCAATGCGGTTCATATCGCGGGGTGTGTCCAACATCCGTGCAGATGGCCTATTTCGGCTCATTTACCTATCTACGGAATGGACGGTCGAAGCCGACTCCTTCAGCCGGCTCTGCTGGACGTATGGGCTCCCAGAGGTGGACCTCTTCGTGTCGGCTTGGTTGCAGCATCTCTCGATATATGTGGTGCCCTTCCCTGACCGCAATGCATTCGCAGTGGACTCCTTTTGGCAGAACTCGTCAAGGTGGTGTTACCTGTACCTCTTTGCCCCAGTCCAGCTGTTGCTTCAGGTTCTGGCTCAATTGGAGTCCTACCACGGGAGAGTAATCCTCTTGGCCCCTTGCTCGCCAGCTCAGCCTTGGTATCAGGTGCTGCTTGCTCGGTTTCTGAACCCTGGGAATTTTCTGCATTTCCACCTCTTCCAGTGTATTGAACCGGTCCAGTACTTGGCTGGTTCGGTCTTCTCCTCCTCCGCTCTTCACGTATGGTCTTTTTGATGCAGGTTTATCACCATTTGTGTGGTGATCAGCTGGCTTCGTTGATGGTGTCTCACCTGAGAGTTTCGTCTCAGCGGCAGTATGAAGTTTCCTGGAGTTCTTTCCGTCATTTTCTCTCTCTTCATAGGGTTTTCTTCTATTTCTGATTGGGCTGTCTTGTCCTTTCTGTCTTGACTTTTTCAGGACCGTCCTTTAATGCCTAATACTGTCGCCTTGTATCGTGCGGCACTGGCAGAGCTACTGCAGCTTGCGTTTTGGGTGGATGTCACTTCTGCTTCGTTCCGTAAGGTTTCTCGTGCCTTGCTTTACCTCTGGCCTGCTCATGCACCGCCTGAGCCATCCTGGTCCTTGGACATGGGTGCTCTCCTATCTTTCCTCTCCTCAGTTCGTGGTGGCCCCTTCGGTTCAAGATTGTTTTTCCAAGGCTCTGTTTATGTTGGCATTGGCCTCTGGGGATGGATCGGTGACCTTTATGCTTTTCCCCAGCACAGGGGTTTCTGCTCCTTCTGTCCTGGTAGTCGGTTTGTTCGGTTGCAGCCTTCTCCTTCTTTTTTGGCTAAGAACAAGACGGTTGCATTCCATAAAGGTCCTTGGGTCATTGACGCTTGGTTAGTCAGACCGGGGGTGCATCATGTGTTGTGTCCGGTTGTGGCTCTTTGCCGTTACCTGCACGCCTTGGCTTCTGTGGCGGGTTGCGTTTTGGGCTGATCCAGTTTCCCTCGTTCCCTGTTCCAGGGAGCCAAAGGGACTCCCAACAGAAAGTTAGCGTTGAATGTAATGAAACTCCATTTTCTGGGTGAGCCCCGGAGGCTCCTTGGTAACTTTCCCTCCTTGCCGTCGACGGTTTTGTTTTACTTTTGATGCTTAGCCTCCGAAATGGGGTTGAGTAGCTGGCACAGTGGGTCCGACGTTTGCTTGTTTGCTTGTTTCCTTGGGAATTGAGGGAGTTCTTCCTCTCTGTTCAGCTTTCGGTTGTAATTTTCTTACTATGTAGGGTCTGTTTTGTTATGCCTATCTTTCTGGGTGCCTTACCCCAGTCGATGGCAGATAAGGTTAACCCCCAACCACAGGGGGAGGGGTCCAGGTTCATTGCTCCCTGCGCCTCTCTGATAAGGGGTCATGGGGGGCTAGTGGTCCCCGGTAGGCAGAACTCCATTGACTATTGCCCTGGTCTAAAGATTTCATATTAGCTTCATAGCTCCAGGGAGCCTCCAGGGCTCACCTAGAAAATGGCGTTTCATTACATTCAACACTGGGTTTTTTAGATATTTATTCAGTAAATCATTTTTAAAGTTTTGTCTAAATAAAATAGTGTTAATATGTTGCTAATAAAGATATGTTGAAGTGAGTACTGGAAATTATGAAATAATCTGTGATTGTTAAACTGAACTAAAATGGTTCCTAAATAAAAGTATTGTCATATCCAGGGAATAAGTCACAATAATATGGCTGAAACAAATAACTTAACTCACATTTTAAAGATGAAAGTGATGATGTCTCGGTTCATCCTGGACCCCTCATCAAGTCATGACATATCACATTTAAATGAAAGTCCAGGACATGCCAAAACGTCTTCACTTTTGTTTCATATATATGTGGGTTGGAGCACATCAATGGTTTCTAGAACAGAAGTACCGTATACGTTAGCCACATGCTCCTGCAAAATTAGGTTAATCATGGTTCTATGTTCACCAATGTCTCGACTCTACTCACAGGTGACAAACCACAATGTGGAAAGTCTTCCGATTTTGGAACAATTTGGCAGTTCGCGGAGCTTGTCTGGTCTTGGAGTAAACACTAATAATCCTGGGTCGTGCCGTGTTCGAGCAGCCACAGAAAGTGTAGTCGTGTATCACCTTATGGGAGCACTCAAAGACCAGCTGGAAAAACTTGGGATGCTGCTGTCTTTCGTAAGTTAAAGGAAAATCCTGTGTAGTTCATAATATTTGTTTTTGTAAATGTATACTAGTTCTTCTTGCAAGAGGATGTGAGCATGAGAAGGTGCTTACCTATCAGTGTTTACTAATCAGTACTCAGTATACTATGACTATATGGTATAGTCATAGGATACTATGATATAGTATACTGTATCAGTCACTATTGGGGCATGAGACCAGCCCGTCCTCCTAAGGTTTCCCAATGTCAAGAAAACGGTCAACTTAAAGTGTTCTCGCCTAACCTACCAGAAGACCCAAATCAGAAAACGGAACAGTACGCCACTTTCGTGAACCAGTTCCATTTTCTAGTACGACAAATGTTTGTGGCCTTATGTAACACATACTAGCAAAATGCAACATACTTTGTAGGACAGGTTGGTGAGATATAGCTCTTTATGTCGTGTTTCTAAGCAGTTTATACCTGGCACACTAATTACCTCTCTCAATATTACCATTTTCATTATGTTTCACTCAAGAGTGACCAAATTTAATACTGGTCAGGAAAGAAAGATTTATCTTTCTTTCACATTCATGAATGAAGTTTTTCCACATTCATGAAAGAAAAGTACAAGTGGTTGAAGTAGAGCTGTGGTAAATATAAATTTTATACATTAAAAAATGTAATACAGTATATTGTGTAAATTAAAAAATACCCATAGAATTTGCATTAGTGGTATGCAGATTGAACTGATAAATGTTGAACTGCACAAATCATTTGGTAATCCATGTGTTTACAGAATCATTGAATCCGTTCACAGACTATTGAATTTATTGAAGATGTAGAGATAATAGCTTAAATATTAAACAAAATCCTATTCAATATTCAATAAATATTCAATAAATGCATAAATATGCAAACTCTCCTTCACTGGGAATGGCAAAAAATTCACCAATGAATAGAGCTAGTGCTAGAAAATATAGTTGTATATATATTCAACCTCCTTTGTTTATGGCTTCATTTACAGAAAGAGGTTGAGATGCCAAGTGAGGTGACACTAGCAGCCATGGAGCTTACCGGGATGGGCCTCAACACTCGGGACTGTGAGGCCCAAAAATGTGTAATGCAGGTACAGTATTTGAATCTACAACCAATTGATTTATTTGGAAAAAAAAATGCAGACTGAATTGTATAATTTAAACAACTTATAGTTTTATATCCTTCCTCTAATTTTTTGTGTAGGGAACCGTAAATTCCCTACAATGATGTGGGGGTATAAGCTGGGAACCTCTCTTTCAAAATTTCTTTGCAAAAAATGCAAAACTGTCCACGAATTTGTGGCTTAACTGGCCAGGCCCCATAAAACAAAAGCAGGGTCAAATGATTGTGTGAAATCTTCAAGGAATAAATGAAAAACCAAATATGCTGGAAGTGCTGACTTTTTTTAGGAAGGCAATTTTAATGTGTAAGGTTTCTGTGAGAAAAAGTCAATAGGATGAGAATGAAGTGTGGAATGGAGAAAGGATTATAGAGTAGTAATGATAGAAAATTGAAGAAACTTCTGGACCTCAGGATCCAGAAGAATATGCCTTTTAATACTTTGTCTCGGCGGGGATGCATAATATGTCCGTAAATAAATCTTATAGGCGGGGATGCATGTTGCGTCCGAAATTAAAATATTCGTTCAAGATCAATTTCTTTTACGATCATTATGGGACTAGCTTTAAAATCCACACCTTTTGTTTGCGAACAATATGGTACCAAAATGAACGACGTAGCATGAAAACAAAAGGTTGGAAAACTGGAAAGAGTATAAATACTTGTGTGGTGGTGAGCGTCCAATATTAAAATATTTATTAAAATTCCATTCCTTGTTTGATTATTATGGGACTAGTTCTAAAGTGCGCTCCTTTCGATTGCAAACAATTTGATACCAAATTGAATGGCATAGGAAAGAGTATAAATAATTGAGTGCGGGTGGTGGGTGTACTCACGGGTAAAACTCTGCCTAACTTTGGGTGTGCTGTGGGTGGCACCCTTGGCCATTTGACCTTATATGCATATATCCCTTTAGAGCATTCTATTGCAAACAATTTGATACCAAAATGAGCAACATAGCACACAAATTGAGGTGATAAAACAGGAAAAAGAGTATACACATTTTAGTGAGTGTGCGGATAGGTGCTTGCTCACGGGTAATGCTTGGCTGATTTTCTGGTTTGCTGTGGATAGCATGCCAGGCTCTTTGACCTTATAATGCATATATTATCTTTATATGTAATTCTACTCTTTAGGTAATTCTACTGCGAACAATTTGATACCAAAATGAACGACGTAGCACAAAAATTGAGGGGACAAAACGAGAAAGTATTCACATTTTAGTGCGGGTGCACGTTCACGGGACACGCCAGGCTGACCTTGGGGTGGGCTGGGGCTCGTCCACTGGGCCATGCAAAGTGTTAATGAGCAAAGAGTGGTACAGGACATTGAAGGATTTTTCATGTCACAGTTGAAGGTGCTTTGTGTAGTGAGAGAAGTGTGAATGAAAATAAGATCTTATTTTAGTTATTTTACTCAGATGCTCCCACTTATGGCAAGATATATTTGGTACCATTGCCCTGATGGTCATAATGCTGTCCAGTGTGACAATCTGCAACAGTGATCATTTCAGACAGTTCTGCTGGTGAAACTGGTGCTAGAGAGGCAATGGAAAAAAAGCTCAGTCTGGTCAGGAGAAACCTTAGAAAGTTGACTGATAAGCACTAAACCCATCGATCCCTCACATTGACTAGAAATGTGCTAAGCATCTACGTTGTGATATAATTAAGATCTCTATTTTAATTAGGCATTGTGATGACATGGTGTTAAATTTTTTAACACTTTCGCGCTCCCTGGGAATAGGCTGACGGTAAGCCCTAAGTGGGCCGTTCGTGTCGGCCTACTGCGCGTCAGCACTAAAATGTTTATAATCTTTTCGGGGTGGGGAGCTTAATTTTGGCGGCATGTATTTAAATTTGGTATCATTGTGTTCGCGAGAGAATGCTCTAGAGGAATATATATATAAAATGTCACCAAAGACAACATGAGAACCACACCGAATAACAAACTGTGGCGGTCGTTAGCTGTGAGCGTAAAACCGGGCATCAATGTTTACGATGTTTTTATGTTTGCGAACCCCAGAATTATTATTCGTGGTTTATTTTGGTATCATTGTGACCGCAATAAAATTCCCTACACGGACATATAAATATACACAATAAATAATGGTGTCGCCCCACCCACAGGAATGTGGGAAGTTGGCTTAGGGTTACCCGCCGGAGCGCGCCCAGCTGCACATGCGCTCAACCACAACTGAAAAGTTTATACTCTCCTCATGTCTGTGACCCTCATTTTCGATGTACGTGTTTTTTTTTGGTATCACTGTGTAGCTAATGAAATGTACTATAAGAACATATGTATAACATTTCACCAAAGCTAACATTAGGCGACCAGCAACCAAAGAACTGCGTGCTTTGTTTCGCGCTCACGCTAAACTCCGCTAAACTCTCCCTATATGTTGCTACTCTGATTGTGTTTATCAAGTCAAAACTTGTTGCATATGGTTTTGTTTGGTATCACGGTGATCGCAATAAAATTGCCTACACAGACATATGCATAAAAGTGGGTTACACGTGCGCGCCTCACCCCCAAACACCCCCAAACACGTCGATGCCTCACCCGCCCAAACACCCGTTTCCACGCCCGGTACACCCAATACACCCGACAAACAAAAATATTGTTCCAATGGAAGTTTTTGTGCTACATTGTTCATTTTGGTGTCAAAATACTCGCAAGAAGATGCACTATGTAGACATACCAATCTGAGCACTAAGAACTGGAATATATATAGAGCTACCCACAGCAAAGTATGAAGAAGTAATAACCTCAAAATGTGTAATATAAATTATGTGTACTTACCCACGATGTGATGAAGGAAGGTCAACAAGTTGAGCATTTGATTATCCACTCCACCGGCTTCAGGAAAATGTCCCTGAAGTTGCTCAACAGATGTTACGTTAGGTGGAGTGGAAGCTTGCAGAGGAGTTATTTCTTTGCTTTCCAAAATATCCTCTTGCGGTGATATTTTGAGTAGCATGGTGTGGCACATAGAGCAACTCCACATGTCCTGCACTGATACATACAGTCTTTTCTAATTCCCGACTTGATACAAACTCGGCACCGTTTCCGTTTAGCAATTTTCACTAATGCATGAGTCAACTTCCTGTTTAGCCTGTCCTCTGAATCAACAATGCGGGGGTTTTTCACAGGTGGAGGAGTAGCTTCAGCTTGAGGTGCAGGCGTTTCAGTTTCAGGTTCAGTGTCTGATGAGGATGAGGCATGTGGTTGGCGTGGAAGACGATGAAATAAAGGACGCCTCGCTCCAGATGGGCCAGGTGTTGCCAAATCATGAGAAGGATCCTGGTAATCATCAGCATGTGGGAGAGGGCTTTCAGTAGCAGGCCACTCATCCATGTCCCACCCCAACAGGGCCCATATTGCTACTTCATGAAACTGGAGTAGGGTCAGTTTCTTGGCATCAGTTGTGTACATCTTGTACAACACATAGGCATTGTGTAAAGCCATCTGAAGGAAGTAAAATGTGATCTTCTTAGTCCACTTATGCGACTTCCTGGTGAACCTGTAATATTTGACCATTTGGTCGAAGTGATCAACTCCCTTCATGTTGTTGTTGTAGTCGCAAATGGCTGTTGGTTTGTTTACAGTTACAATCTGAACAGATGATGTTCCGTCACGTTTCTTCACTCTCTTCCTTCTCTGTACTTCCTGTGTGTCAGCATTATGGCAGTTTGTGATCACTGACACCACTCTCTTGTCTTTCCAAAGGATAACAAAAGTGTTATCCTTGCGCCTGAAAATAGTCTGATCAACAGCGAATTTACCTTTGGCAAGTTTTTGCAGCTCTTTAGGGGCACCACGCTGCAATCTGAGTGTTCCACAAGTGTACACCCCATTTTCCCTTAGCAATTCTGTGAGATGGACAGAGTTATAATAATTGTCCATATAAAGATGATAACCTTTGTTCAACAAGGGTCGCATAAGGCCCATCACTGTCTCAACTGTTGTCTTGCCCACTCCAGAATAAACCTCGAAATCAATAATATAACCAGTCCCTGCCTCAGCAAGCATGTACAACTTTACCCCATACTTATCAGGCTTATTGGGGTTGTAAACCTTGAAGGATAGACGACCACGCCACGACATTGTACCTTCATCCAAACTGAGTGCTTGATTGGGGACGTAGTAAGAGCCAAATTTGTTGGTCAAATAGGTAATGATGGTGCTGAGTTTTATCATGCGGTTCTTGTTGTTGGGTGGAATTGCAAACTGGTTATAAGTATGAAAAAACTGGGCAATATGTTGGAATCGTTTTGCAGTCATGAACACATTGAAGGTCCTCATATGCCACAACCGGCTTGTTTGCCAGTACATGCGCATTGTTGGGAGTCGTGCAATACCCATCAAGATTGATAAAGCCAAATACCTTGCCATTTCCTTCGCAGATACCTCCTTCCACAACCTCATAGTGCGCCTGGAAGCATTCTGAATAAACTGCCTGGCATACCTGTTAGTTTCCACTGTGATGAACTCAATTAGGGCACGGGTCAGAAATAATTGAATAAATTGCAGGGGGGTAATTGGCACTGGGACAGTTATGCCTGGTGTGGCACTGAAACTGCCTACAATAGGTGGTGTATTGTCAGTTGACCAGGCAGCATCGGGATTAGGCTGTTGAAGACGTCCTGCACGCCTCCTTACAGGTGCCTTGGGGCGGCCCACATCCGCTGACTCATCCTCAATCCCCTCGCTACTCTCCTCACTCGATGATGAATCAAACTCATCAGACGACGCTGTCCCCTCATTATCACTACTGAAATCACTCTGACGCTCTTCCCCTTCAGCATCTGCCTCCACATCTGACAAACGATCCAACAAATCAGGAATTTTACTAGGGGTAAGCTTCACATTGCTGAACCTTTTGTACAGCTCACTCAACTTATCTTCCTTGGTCATTTCACTATCCTTCTTGGGGGTAGAGGTGCTCTGTCCTTTACCACGATCCATGTTTGCAAGTAATAATGCGTTGTAAGGAGACAGGAACGAATAAACACTGCTACACAGGGCAGAGAGTGGCACAGGTTCTGGACGCGGGAGCGCGGTAGTCCGGTCACGAGAGACGTAAACAAAGGACTAGGCCGACCGCATGGCGTGACCCAGAATCCCATGCAGCCTACGGAGGATTGTGGGAAAACAATGGCGCTCATTTCAAAAAAAAAAAATTGAAGATCGCATAGAAACTTTTTTTTTTACAAATTTTTATATCGAGTGACGCAAAAATGCGTCACTGGAACACATTCAGTAGAAAAAAGAGTGACGACTTATTAAGTCTGTGGAACGCGAAAGTGTTAATCATTTCTCAAATGTTGGGGTTTGTATTTTATATAATTTAACTGTCAATGATTTCCAAAACAGGCACAACTGATTTCACTGGAGAGAGAGGCATATTCTATTGTTGGTCACCCATTCTCCCTTACTTCAAGTGACGAGATTAGCCGGGTGTTGTATGGGGAGCTTCATCTGCCATCTCCTGATGGGCCTGGCACTCCTCTCAGGTAATGGGTTAGAATATTTGTGTTATACTATTTGATGGATTAGAATATTTGTGTTGTACTATTTGATGGGTTAGAATATTTGTGTTGTACTATTTGATGGGTTAGAATATTTGTGTTGTACTATTTGATGGGTTAGAATATTTGTGTTGTACTATTTGATGGGTTAGAATATTTGTGTTGTACTATTTGATGGATTAGAATATTTGTGTTGTACTATTTGATGGGTTAGAATATTTGTGTTGTACTATTTGATGGGTTAGAATATTTGTGTTGTACTATTTGATGGGTTAGATTATTTGTGTTGTACTACTTGATGGAAGCATAGCAAGAATCTTTGCTAGTGTATTTATGCATTACAGTATTATACTCTCTACTGTATATATAGTACTGTATAATGTTGCTCACTTGCATGGAACTCTGTCCAAAAGTCATTTTGCAGTGGATATTCTGATTGTAAGATTATTAGTTTCAATTGCAAGGAAAATAAGGGACAAGTTCTGGTTAAGGAATTCATGTACAGTGTGAACTTATTTAAATGAACTATATGAGGCAAAGTTGATTCACTGCATGTGGGATTTCATTTGATTTGTCATGCCAGCTCAGTAGCTCCATGAGTGGTAATATACTGGGCTGCCAAGCTTCCAGGAATGGCACCACACATCAGAGACTAACTGGAGCCAACTGAGAACCAGGATCAGAATCTGGCACTCTGTGAACAAGGGAAATCTTGGGGATTAGGTATTAATTCAGAATTGAGAGAAAATTTGCCTGAAAGTATAATGCCATTAAAACAAGCAACTAGAAAGGAAATTAGTAACCGAGGAAAACAAGACAATTACTGCCACCCTGGCCACATTGCACCTGACTGCTACCAGATATCATCCCGAGTCACCCAGGGTCCTTCCCAGCCAGCCACATTATTCACTCATCTGGTGCTGCCAGAGTCTGACCTCTCTATTGAGCTCGCATTCATCTTTACACTCTGAGATAAGGTGTTTTAGCTATTGTTCTGCAAGGTGTCATTGCTTGAATTTTGTTTCATTAACTGCTTCATGTTTGTGTTTTGTGCTACTGTACCTGCTTTGTGTTGGCCCTGTATTTACATTTCTCTCTGAATATGTCACCCTTGTCTCTGAAATTATCACTTTCACGAGGTTTATAGTGCCTCCTCTCAAGTTCATTCAGTACCAGGTAGCATGTGGGTTTGCATCCCACTACAAGGCCTCTAGATGAAGCGTGACAATAGTTGTCTGTGTACTTGTGTGACTATTGTGCCTGGTTTTGCCTATTGTGCTGTCGACCCGACAGCACAATGGGCAGAACCTTTGCTTTTTGCTAAGCAAGTCGATGCTGAATGAGTTAAACACCCAGATGCCATGGCAGAAGCTACAAAGAAAGGCAGTGAATATTTGCCACATGGCTAATTTTGTATTTTGTGGCATGTTCTCATAAACCTCCTTATAAAGTGGCAGAATCAATATTAGGATGATCTGCAGCAGACAGTTCGGCAAAAGCCAGTAATTCAATGCAAAGTCATAACAAGTGGCCCAGGTCTGATAGGCAGCAGTACTAAAGGGAGGTTTGCAGGTTTTGCTTTTATTCACTATATACAGACGTTATATATAAGTATCTACATGTTTCATTAACCATAACTGTGTTCAACTAAGCTGGTATGGTGAGTTCAGGCAATAAGAGACGTAGCTACACACACAGCTGGCGGCTGCCTTCCTCACTGGTTCAAGGTTAGACGCACTAACATTTTCCTCCAAGAATATCGTTTGTGGTGTTATTACACTACTGTATATACACACATTATATATAAGAATCTACATGTTTTATTCACTATAACTGTACAACTAAGCTGGTATGGTGCCCAAACAGCATAGTGGCCACTCTACGCAGCATGACAGTCATGCAGACGACACCACCTCCCTTACTAAAATGCCTCCTCCCAACATACTCCTTTTGCTGTTATTACACTAATACACACGTTATATATAAGTATCTACATTTGTGTTCACCATAGCAAACTACTAAGCTGGTATGGTGAGTGCAGACAACAGGTGGCCACACAGATTAAGCAGACAATGCTACCTCCCTCCCTCCTTCAGCATTACTCCTCCCCACACAGTGCTAATTATCACAATAATCCTGCTATTATCACAATCCTGGTCATTTTTATCAGTTAGGGGTCTTCTGTAATACTGTCATCGCTAAATAATAGCAGTTACATATTCATTTTGAAATTTTTAGGCGATGCTGTGATCACAAGCTGAACAGCAATGCTGTTAGCTAATGCTGCATGTGCCAGCCGTGTTTGCTCGCACAGTACTGTGGCTCTCACACCGGACAATGTTGTCCACGACTTTTTTTTTTTTTTTTTTTTTTTTAATGGCATCTGTTCAAAAGAGCCCTGAGGAAGCTGATGTGAACCCCGTGTAAAAGCGGGACATTTGAATCGTGCCCGGCACCCTTCGTCGTATATGTATGCTATGCACACGGTGGGACACATTACTCCGGTCGTATATATATACCATGTGAAGTTTAAGGGTTAAGGGTTTAATAGTTTTCCAACTTATTTGTTAGGTTATTACAATAAATTTGGTGTCAAAATGTTCGTAAAGAATTGTCGAGAGAATAGATGGCAAAATCCAAAGTGTATTTATAATACTGTAGATTTTGGTCTTCTCCACTCAATGCAGAACGTAAACCTAGTGCACTCGGCAGGTCCTGCTTAATGATGCATAAAATGTTTATCATCATTTCACATTTTCTTGGTTATTTCTTGGGTTCTAACTGTAAATTTGGTGTCAAAATGTTTGCAAATGAATTTCCTAGAAACTAGATGCAAAAATAATATTGTATTTATTATAGATTATGCATAACAGATATGTAAGAATGTTCATGAACAGCAATCGGAAGACGTGTTTTAGTGTCATCGGAATGTTTACTTTCAGAGTACTGATGATGCTAAAATGTGTCATCAAAACACAAAATTGCTAATTTCATCTAACACGCACTTGTACTATTGTTGTCACCAGAGGAAGGAGAGGTCGAGGTGCTAGAGGAGGTCGGGGAAGTAGAGGAGGTCGAGGAAGTCGTCTCAGTGGACCAACCAACAAAGAGGCTCTGGAAAAACTCTCAAAAATTCACCCTCTTCCTGCAGTCATTATTCAGTGGCGAAGGATAAATGCCTCCCTTACCAAAGTAATATTGCAGTAGGTGTTTTAAATAATTTGCTATGCTTATGATATATATATGCATATATGTATATGCATATGCATGTATATACATGTATACATAGTTTTAAATAATTTGCTCTGCTTATGATATATATATGCATATATGTATATGCATATGCATGTATATACATATATACATATACAGTGATACCTTGGTTTTTAAATTTAATCTGTTCCCAGAGATGGTTTGTAAACTGAAAATTCGTAAACTGAAACTAATTTTCCCATAAGAAATAATGTAAATTGAATTAATCCATTCCACACCAAAAAATATTAACTTAAAAATACATTTTATACAGAATATTACTCATATTTTCATACACAAAACAATCAGGTGTAAATATAAACCATAAATAAGTGAACATTTAACTGCACTTTACCTTTACTGTGGACTCTAGTTGGCATATGGGAGATGGTGAGGAGGGAGGGAGGGAGGAGCTGTGTTGGTGTATGGGAAGAGTGAGGAGGATGGGGGGGGGAGGAGGTAGTGAGACCGTCCCCTGCTCGCCTTAAACGCTTCCATATCTGCATCACTTGTTCCAGATTTTCGTTTCACACATTTCACTGCCTCTGTTATGTGGCAGCCAGTCAGAACCAGTCACTTAATCACAAGTCAGTTAAGCATTCACAGTCAAGACCAGTCACAGGCAGTCAAGCATTCACAGTTCTGATAGCAACTGGTTAGGCATTTACGGTCAGTCACGCATTCACATTCAGATGATAACAGACAGGATGGCGAGATGGAAGGCAGGCTGAGAGGTAGGATGGACTGCAGGCTGGCAGGCAGGACAGCAGGCAGGCTGGGAGGCAGTATGACAGGCTGGCATGCAAGACAGTTGGATGGAAGGCAGGCTGAGAGGTAGGATGAAGGATGTAGGATGGCTTCTTTATTTCTGCTTGGATTCACATTCTCCCAGTGTGCATGGTTCCATTCCAGGATAATTTCAAGATGCCTGATATCCACTGTTTGCGGTGGATATCAATCATCTTAATTGTTATTATTGCAAAATCATTTATCTCTCTTTGTTCTAGTCAGGATGCTGTTAGCAGCCCTTAAGAAGTTGGACAGTTTTGTGGGACACGTGATAATGCTTGCCGTATTAGCCTTGATTCTTGACCATATTTGCCAAATGGCCAAAGCCGGTCATTCTTCCTTCTAATCATCATGCAGGAGATCAAACACTGTAGCTATTTTATATCTTGTGTACCTGCCTACAAATAAAATGGTTCTCAATATTTTTAAACATGAACATTGAACATAATTATATAGTACTTCATGACATGTCAGTACTGTCAGGTCAATTAAATTTTGCACCAAGAAAGTTGCAGTTAATATAACAGTAATTCATACTTATTTAACCCTTAGACTGTGCACTTATTTAAGAGTGCACCTATTTATTCATATGCACCCTGGGATGCACATGAAAAAAGTACTGAAGACCCATAAAAATCGGTCACATTTGGCAATTTGAACTCGGGAGGAAATCGCAGATAGCGAATGAAGCTGTGTAAAAATTAACTCGTCTTCTCTTTATTGTTTTCAAAATATCATAATGTTCACTTTACTTTGTTATCAACAGGTTGTGTTTCCCCTTCAGGCAGCACGTGTTTACTGTTGCCGTTTGGCCATGGACCGCATCCATTCACTTACCTACAGTTTCACTTCTACAGGCAGAGTCACCATGCATGAACCTAACTTGCAAAATATTCCAAAAGATTTCAGTATTCAGGTAAAATATTAATAATAATATTGTCTAAATAGTAAATAGTATGTATTGGTTTATTTCTTGATGAATTAAAGTTTACTTGACATTTAAATTGTGTAAATTAATTTGTGTAGTTACTTACTAAACATTGTGTTATGTAAATATATGAAAATTATGTAAAATTATTGTATTTACATATTGTTTTTAGAGAAAGACAATTTTGCTCTTGGACTCCATCACTTACCCATCTGTGTTGTATCTCTTCCATATCTTTTAATGCTTTCATTCCATTTGTTTACCACCCTTATATTGAAGAAATACTGTACCTGATTATATTTCTCAGATTCATTTGTTTCCAAATTACACAACTACCATTTCTGTGGGGAGCCACTTCGGCTCCCTGGAGCTATCGGACTGATATACGCTATATTAGTCTGGGGCTTCAGTCAATGGAGTTCTGCCTACCGGGGACCACGAGCCGGAACCTGGCTCTGGGTTCTGCCGTGTACTACCTAACCCATCAAGAGCCCCAGTTCCACCATGAAACTCCAGTGGCTGTGGCCATGTTTCAGACTCTGGCTCTGATATTTCATTGGTGGAGGTCTCAACTCAACTTGTTCAGCAGTATGGCAACATCCCATCTAGTTAGTGACGGATATGGGGCCAGATTCACGAAAGCACTTATGCAAGCACTTACGAACGTGTACATCTTGTCTCAATCTTTGGCAGCTTTGTTTCCAATTATTAAACAGTTAATGAGCTCCAAAGCCCCAGGAGGCTGTTTATAACAATAACCACAGTTGAATGGGAAGTTTTCATGCTTGTAAACTGTTTAATAAATGTAACCAAAGCCGTCAAAGATTGAGAAAAGATGTACACGTTCGTAAGTGCTTTCGTGACTCTGGCCCATGGCTTATCTAGTTTACCTGACTTGTGAGGCCTCATTCCTCCAACATAAAAATCTTGCATCATAATTTTTAACTATGTAGTGCACTACATAGTTATGCTATCAGTAATTACAATCATAAATCTAACATGACTTCTTTTAGTTATGGCTTATTATTTTACTTCTTTCCATATATTCAAGTTCTGAAAGAACCTCCCACTTTTCTCCCTTGTGCAACGTTATCTTTGGCCTCAGTTTTCATTCCACCATCTTCACTACACATTACCCATAAACATATACAGTATTGTAATCTCTAGTAATCACAAATATTACTCTTTTCATTTAAGTTATTATTATTTGTGGTTTCATTGTCTCTCTCTCCCTCTCTAAAACATAAGAATCTTAACTTATAATATAAACAATCTGATTCTGAGAGTAAAACTAAATGTTGTAACTGCAGTAACTTCTTAATGTACTCAACACTGAACTCAATCTAATTCATCTTGGCTAATGCTCCATCCATGGAAATGTCATGTAGCCATAGTGAATCTAGCACCCCTATGCCAATCATATTCAAGGTTTAGATGCTGGTGGCAAAATATCTAACCCAGAATACAAATATCCCTGAGGAAACCCCCCCATCCCCACAGTGCACCAGCTCACAGTCTAATCACTAACTATAGACCAGGAGCAACAAAATTAATTTTCTGGGTAAGCCCTGGAGGCTCCCTGGAGGCTCCCTGGAGCTATTGGATTGATTTGTGCTATATAAGTCTGGGGCTTCAGTCAATGAACTCCTGCCTTTCGGGGACCACTAGCCAGAACATGGCCCCCCTCGGAGAGGTGCAGGGAGCAATGCCCTTAGGAAAATCTGGTAGGACAAAATCTGGTAGTTAAGGGCAAGGCAGCCAATGTTAGATCACCAGATACTCCATCCTGTAATAATGTGTAAGAAAAGACCTGATTGCCAAGGGAAGTCTAGGCAGGTTTAACCTAGCCCTGTTCACAGAGAACAAGGGTAAGCAAGGAAAGCTCACAAGCAAAAACAAATAAAGCCACAAAACCTCTGCTAAGGCACAATCTGGGGTAAACAGACAGTGCATTGCCACACATAAGGAGAAGCAACCTGCCATATGGCATGCACTTCACACACACACACACACACATATGCATCACTAGAAGTGCTGATTGTACTGTAGTGGAAACACATGACGAGAAATGCCACCACAAATGCTCTCTTGAACCTGAAACGTGACTCAGAGAATCTTGGTACTGTGAATGTAATGGGAACTCAAAAGATAAACTTCCCTGCTGAAAAGCATGTACCAGGCACAGAGAAGCAAATTCACATTATTCACAGTCAGCTTGTCTAAACAAACGAAAAGCATTCGTGAATGTAGCCCACTTCAGAAACGGGACAAAGTCCCTAAGAATAATGTGTACCATTTATGGATTAAGCTGGTTCACTTTGCTGCCCAAGACCTACCCCTAAGGCATTGCAGAACGAAATGTGAGCATGTCAGGTGGAAGGGCCAAGCCATAGTGTGGCAATACCAACAGGTAGTGGTCATGTTTGTAAGTTATAGGTAGTTTAATAGCTTGCCATGGTGCTGCTTCACAATCTTTGTATTGCCAAGTTGTGCCTGAGGTAGGTTCTTGGGGTTACTGTAAGCACACTGTCTACATCCTGGGCTGGATTCAGTGTTATCCAGCATCTTTCTAGCATCAGAATGATCAGATATGACCTGTTTGAAAAGTTCCTAGCTGGGTTGGTGAAGACTGTTTAGCTTCCCCAACTGCTGCTAATTATATTCACAGGCTAGTAGGATCTTACTTCAGGGAGTGGCCAAATGGTATGGCTCAGAATATGGGTAGATGATCAGAAGATATTTTCAGGTGACTGCAGACAAAGCTGGGGTAGGTACCACTGTACCAAGAAAGCAGCGGCCCCTTGTAAACTCTGCCATCATGACTCAATTGGCTCCCCTCTTGGTTAGTGGAAAGGCTCATTTTATTATTTTGTATGAACTCCAGTAATCTTACTTTCATATGTACAATAATGTTTTTCAACTGTATGCATTAAAAGCAAAATGCTAAATTTATGTGCTTGCATGTGTATGTCATTCACTGAAAAGCTGAATGATATTATATACTGTATATATATGGTTAAAACAATCCTAAACAAAAAATTAAACAACAATAACAATCCTATTACAAGGAGACAGGAGACTGTGAGGAGCATACAGTGAGTATCCGCCACTTATTTGTGGCCCGGGCCGGCAGCGTCCTCCTTGCCGCAGACTACTCCCAACTGGAATTAAGGTTACTGGCTCATCTGGCATCTGATGAGAAGCTTCTACACTTGTTGAACAGTGGTAAGGACGTGTTTACAATGATTGCAGCAGAGATCCACGCGATGAGTCCTGAGGAGGTGATGCCAAATCAGCGGCAGCAGGCCAAACAGGTCAGAGGCCAAGTGGCATTGCATTTAAGGAAAATTGACAGTATTCCTTCTGTCTTATAGCATTTAAATTTATAGGTTATTTTTTATCCATTTATTTGAGAAGCTATGATTGTAAAGTAAGGCATTTTGCCTTATATCCTTATCTTGAGAGGTTATCTTGAGATGATTTCGGGGCGTTTTAGTGTCCCCGCGGCCCGGTCCTCGACCAGGCCTCCACCCCCAGGAAGCAGCCCGTGACAGCTGGCTAACACCCAGGTACCTATTTTACTGCTAGGTAACAGGGGCATAGGGTGAAAGAAACTCTGCCCATTGTTTCTCGCCGGCGCCTGGGATCGAACCCAGGACCGCTGGATCACAAGCCCAGCGTGCTGTCCGCTCGGCCGACCAAGTCCCCAAGGGACTGTTGTGTCCTACACATAGATACATATATAAGATACAAATAACAGCCTTATAAATAATAATTTTCACTAAGTTATTATAATATATCATAAATCAAAGCGTTGCATCAGATCTTCAGGGAAAATTCTAAAAGGGTTCTTCCTGCACATGATGCAAGTATTGAGATTTACCTGCTGGTGATAGTCTAGCAAGACATGGTATAGCCCACTTCTGTGTGGCAATAAAACATGCAATGAGTGTAGTTTAACACACTATGCACCCCATACCCATCCTGTGGGTGGTAGTGAAAAGGGTTACAGGGGCACATAATGGGCTCATGGGACTGAACCCCAAAGTTCATCTAGCTAAGCAAGTTAGTCTTGATGAGCTAGTTACAAAATTTAATGTTTACTGCATTCTTACATCAACAATGGGATCGAGATCGACCACAAGCACAGTCTCTAAATTAAGCAACTTACATATGTGGAGAGCTAGTGTCATAATTGATACAGTATGTATATCCTGCACACCACCCCTTAACCAGTGGGCAGCGGTAAAAAGGTTACAATCACCCACATTTACTACCTACAGTTAGCAAACTGGGGATATTTGGCTAAAATTTCTGGTAGTAGAGCATTTTGAATGAAATACAGTATTTACACATTTCTTGTACATTTCTTATTGGGTTGCCTTTAAATTCACACATTTTTTCTGTAGAGAGCCCCTTCAGCTTCCCAGAACTATACCGGGCTGATATATTAGACCGTGGCAACAGTCAATCGATGGAGTTCTTAACCTACTGGGGACCACAAGCCAGAACCTGGCCCCTCAGTGAGGCATGAGGAGCAATGGCCTGTAGACACCTCCATGTAGTTGAAAGCAGTCTGTGTCTGCCATCTACTAGGTCAGGCACCCATTAAGGTAGGAATTCCAAAACAAACTACAGCCGATTAAAAATTGCAAACCAAAAGCCGAACGAGCAGCCAGAACTTCCCCATCAGAAAACGAGCAAACAAGCATGACGTCACCACAGCCACCGTGCCGCTGGCTGTGCAGCGGCACGGTTGCTCCCCCTTTCCCTCCCTGAGAAGGAAAGGGGGAGCCCCAGACCTCCTGTGCTGGCTACCCAACCGCCAGTTCTGAGGCTGTTGTGTTGAGTGATGGTTGATCAACTCTGGCTCCAATCCTTGAGCAGTACCGTGCCTTATGGTGGTGTACTACAGTGTGGTAGTATGCGAGCCAGGAGTAATTCAAGAAGTACTGGGGCTGCATGCGCCTCGAGTCACCTTCCCTAGGTGCCCTGTAAGTACTGCCCTTCCAGTTTGGGGTTACCTTCCACAAACTGTTCGGAGAGTACCTCCGCAGGGTTCTTTTGCTGCTCGGTAATTGCCTGCCTTGGGGTCAGCTGGTGTTTTTCCTACCACTGTTTGGCCTTGGGCAGGAGGTAGTATCATCGCTGGCTGGGGCACAAAGTACTGTGCAGCTGTCTTATATTATGCATAGCAGCCAGTTCTGTTCCTCCTGGAGACATTGTGGTTTTGTGGGGTGTTTCTTTTTTTTGTTTTGCCTGGTGGAGGGTCTGCCTGGTGTGGCTGTAAAGCCACTTGTATTATTTTGATGGCCCTCCGCTAGGTCCCCGTGATTGCACACGTTGCAGGGGTTCAGTTTTTTGTTTGTTTGTTTGGTAGTTCTGCGATAACTGGTTAGCAGTACCTTGCCTGGGCTTCCCTTAGCAGTCAGCCAAAAGGCCCTGGAAACCCCCATTGGAGCTCATTGGTCCAATGCATGCATCCTCTGAGTCCCATCTCGCTTCGTGCGAGTTTGAAGGTTGCTCTGTCCCCCTTGTCTTAGGGTGACACTCACTGTATATGCCTCCGTCACACTGCCTGTTGGGTCAATGACACCTTTGACCCAGATTCCTGCGAGTGGTGTTCCTTGCTTGTACTCCAGTTGCCCCAATCCTCTGATGCTGATATTCGGTTGCATGTGACTTCTGCTTTGCATGCGAGGTTCAGGTTGCTGCAATGCGCTAGGTTAATTGCCTTTCCGGATGTTCTGCGGCTGGCGCACTTTGGTTATAAAGACCCGGACTTGGGAGTGTTAGTAGCCTCGACTTTGGTTTCATCTGTGCCCCTTTGACCTTTGACCTTCCCCCCTCCCCCCATCCTAAATGTCTGAGGGTTTGGGAGTCAGGGCAGGGTTTTCTTGGTGGTGAGACTCGGGCTGCTTCGGGAACTGCCCCTTCTGGATCGGCAGCGGAGGCATTCGAGCCGCCAGCTGGCTGTTTGAAGGCCATGTGCCCGGCTGATTGAAAGCTGTATGCCCTTCTGTTTGTGAGCTTTGTGTCCAGTTGTTTGTAAGCTGTTTGCAGGCTTTTCACCCATCTGTTTTTAGGTCGTGTACCCAGCTGTTCATGGGCTTTGTGTCTGGCTGCAACCAAGGTTTTGTTCTCAGTCAGTATGCCTGGTCTTTTTCAAGCTATGTTTCCAGATGCTTCTGACTTTGGAACTTCAATGCTTCAGGCTGAAACGTGCTGTTTTGTTCCTGGTTTGGGCACCAGTTGCCATGTCTACCATTTGCTGGGTTGGCTTGCCTTAGATTCCAGTGTTTTGCCAGCTGTCTCGCTGGCCTGGCTGTGGTGATGGTGCTCACTTTTCCACTGAACCCAGTGGTCTGAGGTCTTCAGGTTTAGTGGCCAATTTCCAGTTTAGAGTTCCAACATCCACATCTTCTGCCTGTTGATTCATGGCACCTGTCTGGGCCATTTGATTTTGCCCAGCAGTATGCCTGTTACACTTCAGCATTTGGTATGCTATAGGCCCTCTTTTTCCTGCCATTTTCTCCCACAGGTAAACCCGGGTTGCATTTTTCTGTTTCCTGCTGTTTAATGAGATGCCTCTGTGAGTTAGCTTGGGAAGCTACACGAGAGGTCCTCCCAGAAGAGGTAATTTCATTCCATTAAACATTTGATTTATCTATACATCAGTAGGAATATGATGGCGCTCAAGGTAGGAGACCTGAGGCTGGCATCGGTGCTGCCTTTTGGCAGCATCAGGGGTGGTTTCCAGGTAGGTTATCTTGAGATGATTTCGGGGCTTTTAGTGTCCCCGCGGCCCGGTCCTCGACCAGGCCTCCACCCCCCAGGAAGCAGCCCATGACAGCTGACTAACACCCAGGTACCTATTTTACTGCTAGGTAACAGGGGCATAGGGTGAAAGAAACTGTGCTCATTGTTTCTCGCCGGCGCCCGGGATCAACCCCGGGACCACAGGATCACAAGTCCAGCATGCTGTCCGCTCGGCCGACCGGCTCTCTCTAGGTAACCAGCAGTTTGGGAGAGCATTGCTTAACGGTCCCTGTGATGCCAAGTAAATTTTTGAAAGGCCTTGATTGTTTCTGAGTAAACTTTCAGTAGACTCTCTGGGCTTGTTTAGGCTTCTTTCCATTGCCTCCCTAGCACCAGTTTAATCTGACAGGGATGTTTTACAAGATCTGTTGTACTGGTGCAGTGTCACGTGCCGTTTACTTCCCGTAGGTATCATCCAAGAAAATAACTTTTCATGTTCATTCAAATACCGATATGTTCTCTTCAGGAGGTACAGTATTTAGTAATTAAGGATACTGTACTGTTATGATATAAGAACACTCTAAAATTAAGAATAGTAAATAAGTTATAATGAAAATAAAACATGCTTTATTATCGTTAAATTGCAAATGAAAATAAATGTTAAGCCACAACTGTTTCTGTTGGATGTTATTGATAATAGAAAAATGGCAAATTTTCTAGATGGTGTACACTTAAAATGTTATCTTAAGGTTTTGTCTAAGATGTTCTGCATAAACATTTTGAAAAGTATGAAGTTTATTAATAATTAATGATTCAGCTTGTTTTGTGATGCTAATATCTTTTGAGTTGTGGTTAGCAAGACACATTTGATTGGCGCTGAAGAAAGGTAAACATTTTAGTCACTATGTGATTATATTAGTATTATATATATAAAGGGAGCCGGTCGGCCGAGCGGACAGCGCACTGGACTTGTGATCCTGTGGTCCTGGGTGTAACACGGGTTCGGGTTCCTCTCTCTTTACTTCCTTCTTTCTACTCCCTCTACCCGTATTCTTACTTTTATTTCTAAACCAAGGGACTCCAAAACTTTTACCAAAGCCAACTCCACGCCACGTGGTCCTAAGACGATTGACCGACTTAGGATTCTACACCCAGTATGACGTGACCTAAGCTCTGAACAAAACCCTAGAGTCACCTCTGCTGCCACCACCAGACCAGTAATACAAGAGCAATGATCGAGGTCTGGATCGATCACGCTAATTAATCAACCTAGGGGCTTGATCCCCACTATAAACGATGACCTTGAGTGTGGAATAAATTACACGGTAATGATAATTCCGATTCGATGTTAGAATCGGCGCCCAATGCAACTCTGCCTCGTGTGGACCACGTGACCAGGACAAGTATACACATAAAACACATGGAAACAATAAAATGCAAATTAATAACAAATTTAATTTATTAAAAGAAAACTAAAACAAAATCTAAATATGTTCACTCCCTATTACTTTAACACTCCCTACTTGACCTGAGTGGCAAATGAGAAGACTATTTCTATAATTAACAATAGCAACTATACCTTGTGCGACCAGCTAGATGTCTTGGCTGGTCTAGGGGAGAGGTAAGATGTTTGACCTCTCCTAGCTGCTTCCGTGACCACACTGATTTTTTCCTTGTCTGGACTACCCCAGACAGAGTATTGTATTGTTCCGCATCGCTTACCCAGTTACTTTAGCAAGGTTAAGTTATAACAATTATCCTCTGTTTATACTGAATTGATCCAGACTGGTTGAATTATTTTACTGAATTAAATTACAAACATCTAACGGCAGAGCTGTTCCCGATCACAAAAATGGTTATTAAAACTTGTAGAAATAGTAGACCTGTCAACCCCTGATGACCTATGACCGCCGGTCACTCCGCCTTAAAAGTTAGATCCGATTCGTGACGTCACTGATGGTGACTTAAACTCAATAATTAGAATACTCTTGATATTGTATCCAGTACTATTATACAATACAATTTTAATGCAAAATGAATAAAGGCTAATTTTCTCTAAATTGCTGAATACTATAGGATGATTCATTATACGCAGATATGAACAAAGCGTCGGTTATTTCCACCGCGAATTCCCCTGGGGGTCAGGTCACCATGCGGCTCAGCTTCCCATTCTCTTTTGTCGATAAACCACTCTGGATAATTCTTACAACAGCCTAGTCTGTTACATGGGTTCGATCCCAGGCGCCGGCGAGAAACAATGGGCAGAGTTTCTTTCACCCTATGCCCCTGTTACCTAGCAGTAAAATAGGTACCTGGGTGTTAGTCAGCTGTCACGGGCTGCTTCCTGGGGGTGGAGGCCTGGTCGAGGACCGGGCCGCGGGGACACTAAAGCCCTGAAATCATCTCAAGATAACTCAAGATAACCTCAAGATTCAATGCAGTTAATTAATTTGCATGATTAAATTCTTTCAGATTTGTTATGGTTTGATTTATGGCATGGGTGCCCAGGCCCTTGGTGAGCAGCTGGATGTGGATGAGGAGGAAGCTCTTTCTTTTATGAACAAATTCAAGAGTCGTTTTCTTGGAGTTCGACAATTCATTCGCTCGACCATTGAGAAGTGCCGCAGAGAGGGCTATGTTCTTACCCTCATGGGCCGTCGCAGATATCTTCCCAACATCACCAGCCAGGATTTGCCTACTCGAGGTATGTGTAGTGCTTTGATTCTAAATAACATTTTCATGAGTGCAAACCTTGACATGTCAGATAATTTGGTTCATAATCACATTTATGAAGGTTTAATATTTTGGGGTAATGCTTATTTAATTTAAATGTTTTAATAAATTTATGTAACCAACATGATGAATTTCATTGTCAAATTAAATATATAGTATAGTGTGGCGATTGTAAATTATACCATGTCATGCACACTTTTGGTTTTGGGATATTGGTTCTGTACAGTTTACAACACTGTTTGTACAGTTGCCCCCAAAGTTGTTCTCTGCTCATCTTTATTCAAGGATTTGTAGATCTGTGTTTTGCAGTATAGAGAGGTTTGTGTGCTGTATCTTCATAGATAATTGATATATATGGTTATGATTATTATCACTTGCATCATCACTGAAGGGAGATGTATGGCAAGAGTCAGTAACACTTGCTATAAAGCAATACTGTGGAGTATTTGTCTGGGCATAACTGGCCGACCCCTCACAGTGTTCAAGAGAGAACTGGATAAGCACTTCCAAAGGATACCTGATCAACCAGGCTGTGACTCGTACGTCAGGCTGCGAGCAGCCGCGTCCAACAGCCTGGTTGATCAGTCCGGCAACCAGGAGGCCTGGTCGACGACCGGGCCGCGGGGACGCTAAGCCCCGGAAGCGCCTCAAGGTAACCTCAAGGGGTGTGGGGGGCATATTCTTGGGTGGTTTCTATCACTGTATAACATTATTTGTTTAATGCTGAAGACACTTTGACATAATCAATATTCACAATAGTCAGGTTTAGGAAGGATCCGTTCTTTACTGAAGTGCTTTTTATGTGTGTTTTCAGCTCAGAGTGAGCGACAGGCTGTCAATACAACAATACAAGGCTCTGCAGCAGACCTAGTCAAGTTAGCTATGGTGAGGATAGGCACAGCGCTACAACAAGCATTCCCAACTGCACCCGTCTACCTCACACAGCCAACTAACAACAGGCAGGATATTAGTGGTGCCTTTCTCGTGTTGCAACTCCACGATGAACTTATATATGAGGTATATTGTGTGAACTTTGTCGCTCAACTTTCTCATCAATATTATAACTAGTCTTAGTTGTCTCTGTTGATCAGTCTCATTAATATCCCTAATTCATCCTCATTGAACCTGGGGGCAAGAGGTAAGTAAGTGTCATAAGAAGCTAAATGTGTATTTTCAGCTAAATTCAATTTAGAGATACAAAAGTTTTACTTTGGTCTAACAGAACATGATATGCAAAGATTAATGTAAAAATAATTATTTTTGTTAAAGTGTAACCTCAACAGTCATGAAATATTTATTAGGTATTTGGAAGGAAAGGATTAGTGAGTTGAGTTCATATACAGTATAGTGAATAACCTGACGACATTATCAAAATTATAATAGTTGTTTGAACTGTAAAATTGTGTCACAAAATGATATCATGCAGAATAACAGAATCATGCTTCTGAATTTATGCTCTATAATTCCTGTTATCAGGAGACAGGAAGCCTGAACTTAGGCTTATAGAAGTTCCTGTAGTTCACCTTCTGACCTTCCCCAGGAAATAACCCACAACAGTTGTTCAACTCCCAGGTACTTATTTACTGATAGGAGAACAGATGAATCAGGTGAAAGCAAATGTGTACAACTATTTCTGTCCTGCCCATGGATTGAACTGGAGTCCCTCGATTGTGAGCCGAGGATGTAGACCACTATATTAGACACGAGGAGGATTTTCCATAAAAATATTACCACTAGATAGGCTGTGGTTCATAGCAGCCAAGAGTCGGCCATTCAGTGTATCACGAACCTCTATAACAAATGTCCATGTTCTGAACTTGAAGCTGATGACTGATACTGTATACCTCAATTCTGGAGATAATTATCATACTTTTCTTCCTGTACAATGGTTTCTGTGTTAAATAACCAGTTCTGCTGAAAATATAAATTCATAAGGAACTATGGTTATTCAAGATATAGATGTTATGTTACATAAGGGAGGGAGGGGTATTGAGGGAGTGAACATTGGCTAGGTGGCTCTTTGTTGAAAGGTTGTGTTCATAAATATAACTTTCATAGAGGTAAAATTTGTGTAAAAGTCCTAAATGAGCATTTTCACATTTTTATTAATTAACATTATAGTATTTGAAAAATAATGTTGGCCTTGTCCAACAGGTAATAAGCGAAGATGTGATTCAAGTAGCACAGTTGGTTCAGCGCCACATGGAAGGAGTCCAGCAGTTGGCCGTGTCTCTGCCAGTTAAGATCAAGATTGGCCCATCGTGGGGAACTATGCAAACACTCAATCTCTGAACACTTTCATCTGTACTTGTGAAGAGGTTTAGGTGAGTACTACAGTATTCAATAAAACAATAATTATAACATTACTGTTGTGAGCCCTCGGGTTGTTCAGAGGATGTATTAATTAAATGGTACACAAATCATATAGGTTTAAGTGTTGTATGAGAAAAAGAGGTGTATCCTAGACATCCCAATTGTTGCAAAGGGGGTCTAAAAGAGCACATATTTAACAATATATGAGTACTCCCACCACTCCATCCCCACCAAAATTAAAATCATATAGAAGTTCAGTGCATAAAAGTTTTATAGAGAGGATTTTCATATATCAGGATCAAATTTTATTCATAACATGTACAAATCATTACAATAATGGCTGGACTAAACAGGTGTACAGTGGTCTAAGTCAAACTGACATAGTTGGCATATCTTTGGTTAAATCTGATGATCAGCGTCCCTGCAACCCGGTCTCAAGCATAAAGTGAGTAACATTTAACTAATAATTTGAAAGGTGATATACAGTGTATCAGAATAATATAGTGTAGTTTTCCATTAGAGTGGTAAGACTAAATGGCATAATTGGTATAATTTATATCTCAAAATTAGGATGATGAGACAATACGAAGGGGAACTAATATAAATTAGGCTCAAGCTTTATGTCTACCTTTTCATGGGCCGGTGTTTGACATCACTTTAATATTTACTGGAATTTACTGAGCCACAGCTTAATTTTAACTGAATTTTGTTTTGTGTGTTCTAAATTTGTTAATGTCATACATATAGACAAGAAATGGTAACAGTAGTGTTGCCTCTGAAGAAGTGTAATAACTTCGAGCTTTGTTTCTAAAGTCAAAATAACATTCACCATAATTTCTTTATGGGACAGTCTTGAGGTACTAGAGAATTTGCAGCATATTTGGAATTTGCCCCATGGTGCAAATAGGCAATCTCAAAAGTACAGAAAGTATGTACACAACAACACTGAAAAGTCATGTTTTAGTTATATAGAATTATCAATGCAGCATAATGGGGAGCCAGTCGGCCGAGAGGACAGCACACTGGACTTGTGATCCTGTGGTCCCGGGTTCGATCCCAGGCGCCGGCGAGAAACAATGGGCAGAGTTTCTTTCACCCTATGCCCCTGTTACCTAGCAGTAAAATAGGTACCTGGATGTTAGTCAGCTGTCACGGGCTGCTTCCTGGGGGTGGAGGCCTGGTCGAGGACCGGGCCGCGGGGACACTAAAAAGCCCTGAAATCATCTCAAGATAACCTCAAGATAACAATGCCCTTCATTAAACCACACCTCTATAACCACTGAAAACCAGTTTTGAATTGAACTAGTACAGAGGCCACCTCCAAAATCTTGACAAATTTGTTCTGAACTTGATCTGGATTTGAGAAAGATTGTCCATTATTGGTTATATTATTCATCACCAGATTTTCTGGATTTTTCTTAGTGCAAATGATGCAATAAATCAGTATGGCAAGTATTTCTGTAAAAGACATTGAAAAACTACAAGCTGATGTTAATGAAGTTTTTGATTGGGCAACAGAAAGTAACATGATGCTTAACAATGATAAATTCCAGATACAGTACTTGGGTATGGAAAAAAACAAAGACCTTAAACAGGGTACAGTACCCTGTACCCTTGTATACTATACAAGACACAATCACATCTACTCATACTAGGAAAGCAACATATAAAGGATCTGGGAATAATGATGTCTGGCAACCTAATGTATGGAGAGCATAACCAAGCAAATATAACATTAGGTAGTAAAATGATAGGATAGATTATGAGAACATTCAAATCCAGGGATCCCATCACAATGTTAATACTTTTAAAATTAATTGTACTGTCCTGTCTTGAGTACTGCTCGATGCTCACTTTCCCCTTCAGAGCGGGAAGAAATTGCTGAAATCTGTTTCTCTTTTGTATATTGGCACTACATGGCTATCTTCTAACACACTGGTAGTTCTCCTGTTTCCAGTAAGTTATTATACTGGATAATAAGTGGCTAGCACAAGACTTTCACTCCTTTTTCTTTGTATCCATGTTGAGATCTTATATCCTGCATCAAACTCCAGTAAGTGCCTTTTTTACTTCATCTGTGGTTATCTCAAAGATTGATAAAGATTAAGCTACCCAAAAGGTGGCACGGGCATGAATAGCCCATAAGTGGTGGCTCTTTTGAGCCATTACCAGTATCAGGAGCTGATACTGGAGATCTGTGGACGTGCGACTGCACCCTGCCTGACGGGAGATGTCTCCCATTCAATGTGTCCAATTGATTGGCGATTGATGAAATTTAAGCCACCCAAAGAGTGGCACGGGCACGAATAGCCCGTAAGTGGTGGCTTTTTTGAGCCATTACCAGTATCAATAGATGATACTGGAGATCTGTGGAGGTGCGACTGCACCCTGCGTGACAGGAGATGTCTCCCGTGTGTTATTCCAAAGTTCTCCAGTGCTGTTTGGTTTGACAGCAGTTTCCTCAGTTGTGGAACTTTTCCTTGTTCTATTGTGCAGATCTCTTGGAATATCATGTTTTGTTCCTCGCACAGTTTTCTGTTATTGTCAGTCACTGAATCCTCTCTTGAGTTGCACCACCTGTTCCTTAACTGTTGTTGTTGTTCTACTGACATACTGTGAAGCATCTTGAGTATAATTATTTCTTTATCTGCAATGTTGATTTCAAATTACTGTTCTACTTTCCTTCTCCATCTGAGGTGCTCAGTCTTGCCCCTTTGTTGTTCAATGTTCTTGTAGCTTTTCTATACCCTCTTGTTTATGCCTTTCCTTCCTTATTTCCTTGATTAAACTCTGGGTTAATCTCATGCCTTTCATTGTCATCCCAGCAGTCATCACTGCTTGCCTTTCCACCCTATTTCCCAGTACTGTTGTAATGATGGCTCCTGCAATGCAGACCTTTTCTTTCAGGTTATTGTGTCAGTGCAAGTGATTCCATGTTATAGTATTTGCATCATCCTTGTCTTATCCTCCATCATCTCACACACAGCCACTGACCTCTCATCCTCCGACACACAGCCACAGACCTCTTCGCCTCATCCTCCAATACACAACCACAGACCACCTCTTCTCATCCTCCATCATCTGACACACAACCCTGAACCTTCGACCTGATATATTGAAGTCATGGCCATTTTTGACTCCGAAGGATGAACATCATCATTTGTATCATGATGTGGTTGCTCAGTCTTTTGCACATCTGTCTATTGCTGTCTGTTTCAGCTTGGTTTTAGGGTTTTCTTCCCAGATACTGTTTGTTAATGGATGTCAGCTTTCAGATTTTTGTCTTATAACAAGTAGTCACTCAGTGGTGACAGTTGTGATACAGATTCTCTACTATCTTCCCACTCTAAACACGTGTTAAGACCTTTTGAGTAGTTCCTTGCCATGATGGAGCGATATGTTAATTAGAACTTGGTGTGTGCATTATGTCATGGGTGAAGTACATGGCTCTGCTTAGAGAGCTGCCGAGGGAGCTCCTCAGAAAGTACAGTACAGTACAGTATTTCATTTCACTCAGTGCCCTTGATTTCATAAAGATTTTTGAAATATTTCATTTACATTTTGTTGGTGGGGTTCCATATTTTGGTAGTCACATTTTAAAACTAGCATCCCCAACAATTCTTGTCACTGAAAAATATATAGTTTATTTAATTTTGTTGGCAGGTTGTGTGTGTGTGTGTGTGTTCATCGAGCAGATAATATCCTTCAAGGCGCGTAGATTACTCACCAACAACACTTATATTTAACTGGTGAAATCAATATCTTAAAGGCTTTGGGAAAGATATTATTGTTAGGTTATTATGAACCAAGTTTGTATGATAAAATTTAAAAAAAATATTTATAACCTGATATCTGTATTTGCGGTGTACTGGTGTATGTTTTCCCAGTCTCTTGATAACATTCACGACTGGTTTAGCTTGCAACCTTCAGAATATATAGGTGACTGTCACACATACACTGAAGGCATTGAGTATGTTACTTGCTTAGAACCATCAGTCCTTGTATGTATTTACATAAAGTAATTTTATCAGTATAATATTTAATGTTTTTAAATGTTTATTTTACTTTTTTATCAATTTACTGTTAGACATGTTGTTATATTTCATAATAATACAGTACATCAAATCAAGTTTACAAAACTGTGAATGCAATATGATAAAGTTTTTAATCATGTGTAGATGATAGACATAGAAATATTGAACAATATCTTATATCATCTTATTGCAAGACATGTAATATACTGTGTATGTATGTGTGTATATAAAGAGATGCAAATATATTTTATCTGTGTATAGTGAAAAAAGAGGAACATTCTTAAATTTTAAGATTTTATTGGTTTTAAGTAATATTTTAATTCAGTGTTTTATATATTACAGTTTTGTATATGTATTTGTCATTAAAGATTTCATTTTATTGATTTGTTTGGTTGGTTTATTTAGGGAAATGTGAGAAGGGGAGCATCATGCTAAATTGTTCTGCATTGCTAGAAACAAACCCATTTCTGACCTCTTGTTTGTGTCACGTTAATATGTGTGTTGTGTTCACTGTTATCTTCAGTAAGAGAGCACAGTACTACATGGTTTATACTGCACTCTTCACTTCATGTTACTGTGTGTGTGTTCACTGTTATCTTCAGTAAGAGAGCACAGTACTACATGGTATATACTGTACTCTTCACTTCATGTTACTGTGTGTGTGTGTGTGTTCACTGTTTTCTTCAGTAAGAGAGCACAGTACTACATGGTATATACTGTACTCTTCACTTCATGTTACTGTGTGTGTGTGTGTTCACTGTTATCTTCAGTAAGAGAGCACAGTACTACATGGTATATACTGCACTCTTCACTTCATGTTACTGTGTGTGTGTTCACTGTTATCTTCAGTAAGAGAGCACAGTACTACATGGTATATACTGTACTCTTCACTTCATGTTACTGTGTGTGTGTGTTCACTGTTATCTTCAGTAAGAGAGCACAGTACTACATGGTTTATACTGCACTCTTCACTTCATGTTACTGTGTGTGTGTTCACTGTTATCTTCAGTAAGAGAGCACAGTACTACATGGTATATACTGTACTCTTCACTTCATGTTACTGTGTGTGTGTGTGTTCACTGTTTTCTTCAGTAAGAGAGCACAGTACTACATGGTTTATACTGCACTCTTCACTTCATGTTACTGTGTGTGTGTGTGTGTGTGTGTTCACTGTTTTCTTCAGTAAGAGAGCACAGTACTACATGGTTTATACTGCACTGTGCACTTCCTGTTCCATATAATGATAACTTCCTGGCCACCTCATGTTTGCACAATCTGCACATCCTCTCATGTGTATTTTATATATATAAAACGCTGAACTGTAATGTCAATCCGGACCTTAAAAGCTTCCTAGAAGGTTGTAACCGATCCCATGAGCACCACACCAGAAACAAATACCTATTTGATATTCCAAGAGTACGACTTAGTCAAACTAGAAATGCTTTACAAATCAAGGGACCTCGAATGTGGAATGACCTTCCCAATTATGTTAAAGACTGTACCTCTCCCAACCAGTTTAAGATAAAAACTAAGTGCTACCTAATTAACTCGATGTAACCTACCTCATCCCTAAATGTCAACCCATCCTGTTTGTTGACCAAATTGTATTTTTGTTTTTTTTTCTGCCATTATCCCCCCCCTTTTTTTCATTATTTTTCTTATTTTTTCTCAACACAATTTATACTTTAATCTCAATTAGTATTAAATTTTAGTCTTAGTGTTTTTCCTGCCCGAAACACTTTGCGTAATAGTGGCTTTAGGCATTGTATGTACTAGCTCTATCTATAAATCCATCAACTTTTGTATCTCACCCTGTATGTATGTACTTTACCTGAATAAATATTTGTATAGTATTTTTATAAGGATCTTATGGAAAAATAGGATTCCATTACTTAACACTGAACAACTTTAGGCAGTGTTTCCTTAAATACAATCTATTCTTTGATGTACTGTATAGTGTTTAATTGATTTAACTTCATTCAATTAGTTTAAATAACTAAAATACAATGAATTTCAGAAGCATTGTAATTAATCAAAATATGAAGTACAATTTCCAAGAAAATGTAACTACTGTACAGTTTTATAAAATTTGATAGACTAAAACCCAGATTTTTTCTGTGGCTACTATGATGCTGTTATATTTTGTTTGTGAGCGCAACACAGGTCACTCTGAAGATCAGGGTAGTTCATAGATTTAGACTCGATTGTCATAAAACCGGGAAATCCTTATTGGAATCGTGAGAAAGACATTTTTTGGCTTCTCGAGTCAGAATGTAGCCTAGCCTTAAGCTAGGCTAAACAAAATATTAAACATTAGACTTTCAAAGCATTGCATCTGCACTTAACTTTCCTTGACAGCTTTAAGTTATTCGTGCATCCTGGAATATCTCTGATTTCTCTGATGTTTACACTGAACATATTCCTGAATCGGCAATGTTTCTGAAGGTCAACTTTTTCTGGCAAATACCTGTCCATTTCTTCCTGAAACTTCTTCAGATGACCTTTAAATATAGCTTGAATGTCAGTGAGATTGCTATTGCAGACTAATAATTTAGCACAACTCTGTTCTGGAAAGCCATAATATTTTTCATCTATCCATTTATTTTCTCTAAAGTACAGGTTTCTGGAAAGCCCCTCAGTAACTCCGTGAAGTATAGCACCGGAGCTGTAAAACATTAGGGAATTGTACCAATCTCTGACACCCACCCAAGCCTACCTGCTTATTACTGCAGCAATTGTTATATTCAATACCTTTGAGAAGAAAGGGAGATGCTCACTGAAATAGTACGGGTTGTTTTTTCAGCTGTTCTTACAGAAAGCATATTCAATATATAGTATACTGTATAGGTCTGATGGGGCAATAATTATAGCCTGGATGAGCATTTGAATTCTCTAATGGGGGTACAAATCACTGCACTTTAATGAACATGAAACTATCAGACTTTCTAAAAATAATAATATGCCCAATGAGGTGTACCTTGATGGATGACATCATCCTTCTCAGTTCTAAAAAGAAGGGTTAGCACAAGACACAATAGCAACTGACTTAAGGTCTGTTTTTTATTAGCCTTAAGATCTAAATTATACAAATAGGTTTATTGACAAATTTACTTTAGTGAGAGTAACTAAGCTAGGTTGTCTGATAGATTCCAAAGATTCATTCAACAAGGCAAAAAATATAACACTTCTGAGCAATTTGCAATACCAAAATTTAAAAAAAAAAATTGCAAAGGCACAGCCACAGATATCAACAAGTCACAAGCGAATAATGGTTAGTAGAGTAAATTTTATAGCAATGATGACAGAACTAAATACTATAGCGATTCCAAATTTGCACATAAAAATATATCTACTTTGCCGTCACCCAGATGTGCCTGACATGGTACAGGTACATCTTTACCAATTCACACTCCAACTCCACCAAAGATAATACTGTACTGTATTGGCAAATAGCAAATGCAGTAATACAAAATGTATACCTTGGCAGTTATTCAATGCTTGGTGTATTCTACACAAAGCGCCCTAAATCAATTACGGTTGTTTATAAGACCGTAACATTCCATATACACACGGTGAGATCATAAACATTACCAGGCACCAACTGGGACGTCAACATGTCCCCATTCCTTCCAAGATCAAAGGAATCCTACTCTGTTCTAAACAGAGAAGAACCACAACTTTGCACACAATACCTATATGTATTGAGGAGTGGACACCAAGTCCTTGATGAGGAATGGGATGCCTCTACAAAGCTCAGCAACATGGCAACATAATCCATGTCTCGACAAGACACTAGTCTCCCACACAGTGGATGATTGATGGATTATTTAACACTGGTGGTACATTGACAAGGGGATACAGGTGGAAGCTGAGTACCCAAATAAGCCACAGAGACATTAGAAAGAACCTTTTCAGTGTCAGAGTAGCTAGTAAAACAACAAAACGGCACAAACAACAGGGCTCCATCAAGGAACATATAATCGCTATACACAACGAAACAATCACCAGAGATATTTTGACGAGCAACACTAAAATAATTGATACAATGACAATAGAGAATTAGACATCGGTGAAGCGCTGCATATCAAGAAATCTAGACCAGCTAATACACAGTTACTCTCTACCAACTTCAAGACTCCGGGCCAGTGCAGAAGCTGGACCGAATGACCCTGCAACAGGAACAGAAGCAAACTACAGTACTTTTTTTTTTTTCACACCCCACACACACCCCAGGAAGCAACCCATGACAGCTGACTAAATCCCATGTACCTATTTACTGCTAGGTAACAGGGGCCTATAATGATCCCTTCTCTCTATCTGAGCTTCAGTCTGCCCTAGCCCTTTGCGGTTCTACGACAGCGGGCTCCGATGGCATTCATTATGAAATACTTCGCCATCTCCCTCAGTGCATGTCTCGGTGTTTACTGAGTCTGTACAATCGGGTCTGGGAGTCATCGTCAGTCCTTGAAGACTGGCTCGATGCTGTTGTCCTCCCTGTTCGGAAAGCAGGGTCTCTCGGGTCATCCCCCAAGGACTTCCGCCCTATTGCCCTCACGAGTTGTGTCTGTAAGCTCTTTGAACATATGGTTAACGTTCGTTTGATGTGGTTCTTAGAACACTATAACCACCTCTCCCCTTCTCAATTTGGTTTTCGCAAGTGCCGCAACACGACGGATGTCCTGGTGAACTTGGAGGTCTATATTCGTACTGCTTTTGCTGCGAAGACCTCCGTTGTTGCCATCCTTTTTGACCTGGAAAGGGCTTACGACACTACCTGGCGGTATCATATTGTCTCAACTTCATTCTTTTGGCCTTCGTGGGAATCTTCCTCTCTTCCTCCAGAGCTTCCTCTCTCGTCGTTCCTTTCATGTGCGGCTTGGTACCACTCTTTCTGCCCCTTTTCGGCAGTATGAGGGTGTATCCCAAGGTAGTGTTCTGAGCACTACTCTTTTTCTAGTTGCCCGCAACAGTATTCTTTCCTCTCTTCCTTCTGGCGTCTTCTCCGCTCTCTATGTTGATGATCTTACCCTTTGCTGTTGGGATGATGATTCGCCTCTCTTCAACGGCGGCTTCAACTTGCGATTGATGCTGTGTCGTCTTGGGCCTCTTCAAGTTCTCTGCGTCTAAGACTTGTGCTATGACTTTTACTCGGAAGTATGTCGTTCTTCGTCCCTCTTTGTCGCTTTATGGTCATCCCCTTGTGTACAGGGAATCCGCTAAGCTTTTGGGGTTAGTCTTTGACACTCGTTTGTCTTGGTCAGCCCATATCTCTTACCTCCGAGTTGAATGCTCTAAGGCCCTTAACCAACTTAAGGTTTTGTTCCATACTTCTTGGGAAGCGGATAGGCGCACGCTCCTCTATTTGCACTCCTCTCTCGTCCTGTCTAAACTTGATTATGGTTTCCCTGCATACTCTTCTGCTTCTTCTACTCTTCGCCGTCTTGATGCTTTGCACCATACTGGGTTGCGTCTCAGCTCTGGTGCCTTTCGTTCGACTCCCGCCCTCAGTTTGTATGTTGACACTGACTTTCTCTCTCTTCAGGACCGCCGTGATCGCTACTGTCTTCGCTATCTTGCGCGATCCTTACAACATCCTTCCTATCGCCTCTGTCGTACTTTAACTTTTCCTCCTCCTGTAGCTCCTGTTTCTCCTCATCTTCTCCCTCGTTCTGTCCGGTTATCTCACTTACAGGATTCTCTTTCTGTTCATATTTCTAATGTTTCTCCTCATATTGTTCCTTCCTTGCCTCCGTGGAGAGTCCCCCTTCCCAAGTTTTGTACGTCCTTGACTTGCATTACTTAAGCCTTTACCCCTCCTACGATTCTGAAAAGCCTCTTCCTTGAGCACTGTTCCTCGCACTCCCACTCTATTTCCATCTTCACCGATGGATCTAAGTCTGCGGACGGTGTGGGCTACTCTGTTGTTTTTCCTGACCGTACTTATATGTGTCGCCTCCCTTCGGTGGCTAGCGTCTTTACAGCAGAACTTTATGCTATTCTCTATGTTCTCCGTCTCTTGCTTTCTCATTATCATTCCTCATCTGTGGTTGTAGTTGACTCACGTAGTGCCCTCATGGCTCTAGGGTCCTTTAATCCTATCCATCCGGTGGTCATCGAGATTCAACATTGGCTGTTTCTTATTTCTAGTAAATTTAAATCAGTAGTTTTGCTGGGTTCCCAGCCATATTGGTGTTTCTTTCAATGAGCGTGCAGATGCTGCCGCTAAGGAAGCTATCTGTTCTTGTCCCATCTCCCGTAAAGGTATTCCTTATTCCGACTTTTATCCTGTTATTCATTCCTCCATCCTTGCCCGTTGGCAGGGTTGTTGGTCCTCTGTGGTTAGTAACAAGCTGCGTACTCTCAAACGTAGTGTGTCCCCGTGGCCTTCCTCCTACCACCGTAACCGGCGGTGGGAAACTGCTTTGGCACGGCTGCGAGTTGGCCATACTTGCTTAACCCACAGTCACTTAATGGAGCGCCGCCCTGCTCCTTATTGTCCAAATTGCGTTGTCCCTCTTACAGTTGTGCATATCCTTGTTGAATATCCTGACTTCCAGGACGAGCGTGTGTCTTGCTTTCCGACCGTCCCTCGCGGTCACTTGTCCCTCGATAGAATTCTAGGTGAATCGGATACTTTTGATATCGTTCGCCTTATGCGCTTTTGTTCTTGTATTGGCATTCTTGGTGATATTTAGCACCCTCTGATTATTTCGCACTTTGATGGTGCTACATAGCCTTCCCGGTTTGGTGCCTTCTTTTGATAATTACCTTACCTTAGATAAATGGGGCATTCAGGGTGAAAGAAACTTTGCCCATTTGTTTCTGCCTGGTGCAGGAATCGAACCCGTGCCACAGAATTACGAGTCCTGCGCGCTCTCCACCAGGCTACCAGGTAGTCGGAGTGGTGGTGGTGGGGTGGTAGCCGGAGATGGTGGTGGTGGGAGGCTCAAGTGAGTGAAATATTTTTATTATCCGAGTAAATGTTCTTATTGTTTCTGGCTGTGTTTCTCCTATGCTTGTGTAGTTGATTGTAAAGGGGTAGTGGTGGCACAGGTAAGTAAGAAATAGCTTTATTATGTGTAAATAGGATCTTATTGTCTCTCCAATGGTATACTGTATCTATTTGGTACTTGGAAATGCTACTTTAAAAAGATTATTCCCTATGTTAGCTAGCGTGCGTGCGTGCGCTCTCTCTCTCTCTCTCTCTCTCTCTCTCTCTCTCTCTCTCTCTCTCTCTCTCTCTCTCTCTCTCTCTCTCTCTCTCTCTCTCTGTCTCTGTCTCTCAGTCTCTCAGTCTACCACATATCAACCAGCTGGTTGATAGTGGTAGTGGTGTAGGGAGTGCTGGTAGGTGAATGGTGGTTTAACAGGGTGTACTTGGGGGTAATGGTAGATAGGCAGTGAAACATTAACAGGGAAATCAGGTAATGCTGATAGTAATCACTATTGGGTTTGCTCACTACTTCTGAATAAACTCCAGGAGATTTTTTTTCTTTATTATTATTAATACATGAGGTACATCTGCATTAGTGCAGCTACCCTAGACTATATGAAGTGGAGTACAGTGTGTCAAAAAAGATAATTAGGTGATGCTGAAAAATCCCCATCACACAGGATGGTTAGTCGTACAGAGGCATGTGATAAGCAGTCTGCACTGGCAGACTCCGGATGCATTTTGAGGATATCATCACATGATTGAATAAGGTAGCAGTGGTAATACAAGTCCCCATCTCGCAGGATGGTTAGTCATACAGGGCCATATGTTTAGTAGCCTGCACTGGCAAATTTTGGGTACACTGTGAGGATATCTTCAAGAATACGAGAGTGAATAAAGTAACTGCAAAGCTCCAGGTACCTCATGCCAACTGGTCTGAAAGGTCTAATAACTGGGCATTCAGTGATGTAGTGTGGGAGATCGTGCCGTAGTTCCTGCTCACAGAGTTTGCAACTGGAGTGCTCAGGATTGGGAGACCCATCACCTGCAGCCACCTGCCACAGGTAACGGTAACCCAACTTGATCCTTGCAACCACTGTGTCGCACAGTCTAGTGGACATTTTGTGCTGCCCATAGATATAGGTTTCAGATCTGAACAAATCAGCTTTTTATACTAGTACTTTCAGGTCGTTGGGAGTCAGTAAGTTCTTTCCTATCAGATCTGAGTGTTTGGACCAATACAGTTTTGACAGCAGAGATGGGGATACCTAGATCTAATTCAACTTCATCCTTGTTACACGCTAATTTGGCTGCAATGTCTGTCTCATTATGATGGGTTATATTTATGTGTGAAGGTATCCATACAAAGGAGATTTGAGACCCTTTACTCTGTGCATCAATTAGGTCATTACAGTACTTCTGATTCAATTCTACGGGGTTGGCTCACTACTTTTGAATAAACTCTAGTGTTTGCTCACTGCTTCCGAATAAACTCTACGGAGTTTTCTCACTACTTCTGAATAAACTCTAAAGGGTTTGCTCACTACTTCTGGTTAAACTCTATTGGTTTTCTCATATCTTCTCATTAATCTCTGAATTTTTCACATATCCCTGGAAACACAAACCGAAACTGTCTCTATTTTCCGCTTGTTACAACTTGTAATAAAGTTGTTACATCTTGGCTTAACGTGTTTATGACGTATTAGAACGTTGTTACAACTTGCTATATTGGTTGTTATAACTGGTTAGGTGTTAAAACTTGTTCGAACGTTGCACCAACGTCGTAGTTTCGGTGTGTGTTTGGCGGGATCTCATTTAAGTCTACAACTATTCCCTCCCGAAAAAATAAGGACTACAGGAGTTACACCCCACTTTTCATATCTCAACAAAGCATACGGGATTTGCACGCCATCCTTGGGATGGCGGAATCTATCGTAGTCCTCATTTTCCCTATTTCCATCCGGTGGACCAGTGACGGCAGTAGAGTTACGGTGCAACTGTATGGTCCTGTATACCATATCAGCACCATATATCATCACAACAGACATTTCCTCTCCGAATCACGCCAGAGAGGCTGGAACAGGAAACTGGCCCCTCTTACATATGAGACCTCAAGCCTCTTGGGTCTCTGGCTTGCTTAATGAGTTAGTTCCTTGCCCACCTCCATCAGGAACTTAAGTGCACACTTACCCCAGGCGTCCAGGGTCTTAGAGCCTATTGACACAAACCTGTAACAATGTTCTCAAGACCCCTGTACTGTACTTCTTAGTTTCCTGGTCTCCCTGAAGGTAGCGCCCTACCACAGCTCTACTGTACTGTAGATGCATCAGTCAGTGTAGATGCACAAGAGTAGCCCACACAACCTGTTTACCATCCCCCATGGCTGCTGGGTGACCCCCACCTGAGCGCTTGTGACTTGTCAGGTCTGCACATTTGAGTTTCCCTTTGCGCTGGATACAATAGGCTGTAAACAAACTTCTTTTAATGACATCATTAACTGCTTCACGCCTAGCAGTCTTCCCCTGTGACTTACGACAGATGAGACCATGGCTGCCGTATTGGTCTGCCGACGCAGAGCCGCAGATACACCGGTGTTTAGTGGAGAGAGGGGCGGCGGCAAGGCGCAGGGCAACACCAATACTTAAGAGCCCGATAGGCCAGGCGGAATTAGGGACAGCCAACGGAAAATCCCTTCCTACTGCATGTGGGGCTTGCATAGGAAGGCGTGCCTTAACCTTCCCAGAATCAATTAAGATTACTTGTGTAAAGGAGGAAATTTATATGTTTATCTCTCAGAATGTTCGGTAATACGTTTATTGCTTGTGATGTGTGTTTATGTATGTATTAACACGATGTACTGAACTGGGTGAGAATAGCTTGATCTACCTCGTCCCTTTGTGTGTATTTTGCCTCAATAAACTTATTTCACTTTCAATTTCAATTAAGATGCCTCAAGGATTGCTTAGACAATATTCTGATATTGTTCAATGTTCAGTGTTTAGTTCTTCTATTTACTGCTAGGTGAACGGAAGCATGAGATGAACGGAAATATGCCCAGACATTTATGTCCTCCGGGGATCACGACAAGGATCCTCAATAACTGAGTTGAGAACATATAGACCAAGACCCAAGCTAGCGGCTACGTCTGCATAAGGAGTGTGGAGGATGTGTGTTTCCGGTAATATTTAGACGGTTGCCTCGTATGTGACACTGCTAATTCCAGAATAATTAAATACAGCATAAATTATTTGCACATTGGGGAAAAATATTACGAATCATGCACGGAAGGTGATACTGTTCCCACATGGAGGCTTGAAAGTTTCCATTCTACATCGTTTTATTTCGTAATCATTCGCATAACTTTACCTAATTATTTGTCTAATTTTACCTAATGAAAATATTTACTAACAATCTAACCTTTTCAAAGCATGTTAATCTACAGAAGAAAGAGTGCGGTTATCATAGTGTTGAGGTTAAGAGATGAGGCCCGCGGTGTTAATACCAGTGAGTGATAGAGCAGTGAGCGCTGAGCGGTGTTTGAGCGCAGGTGTGTGTTTGGGTCGCTCGGTGGGGCTGGTGGCGGGTCGACGCCTCAGTGTTCAACTGACCATTGTCGGGTGAAGGCTGTTGCCGCTGTCTATCGTACTCTTAACTGTAAATGCAAGTTTACCATATGTTTGACTAGTCTCTAAATATACTTTATTATATACCGCCGTTAGAGTACATTAATTTACAAGAGCTTATATGTTGACTAGATAATTACAATACTGTGTTTCTTTGAGGAACCTGAAATTTTCAAATAATTACCAAGCGAATAACCATTTACACCTCAATAAGCTGCGTAAAATCCATAGTTGTGGCTGAGGAAAGTGGTAAGAAATACGACATAAGGAGCGAGCTTGTCGCTCACACCAGCGGTGAAGACAATCATCTATTCACCCCAGGACGACCGGCCAATTACTCCATTTCAGGTAACATTTTCACTTAAGTCTATGTAGAGGCCTATGTATATGTATATATGTGGGTGGGGGAGTTCTGGAGTTCACTCTCTTAACTATAATTATACCTAATATTTTTGTGCTTACCAATATTTAATGCCCTTCATCATATAATTCGTTGTCTTGTCAGAGTTAATGGCTTTGAAAGACTGTAAAAATATCACTAATGTAATCTCACCAGCCCATTGTATCGTCTTGTAAATAAAATATTATTATTATCTTATTATTATTATTAGTCGAGAAGGAAGCCAAGTGTTAATTTGGAGGTGACTCGCGCATTGATGCAACGTTTATAGTCGGGAACGTTTTAATCGACCCGGTTATATAGCAAATAATTTGGGTATTACAGAAACTCTAGAAGATTATTTAGAAACACAAATGTATAAATGTTGACAGACAGACAGAGACTGGCACACAGAAAGAGACAGACATACATAAATTATATATATATATATATATATATATATATATATATATATATATATATATATATATATATAATTATTATATTATATATATATATATATTATTTGCACATTATACGAAAGATTGTATAATGTACGAAAGATTGAGAAAATTCGTGTTAGAATTATTAATCTTACTTTTTCGGTCATATTTAATAATATATATATATTTGTATATATATATATATATATATATATATATATTTTGTATATATATATATATATATATATATATATATATATATATATATATATATATATATATATATATATATATATATATATATTGGTGTATACTGGCAGCAGGTTTTCTTTCAAACATGTTTCATTGAATATGACCGCATATTCTGTATTTATTATTTTCTGGTTTAGGGCTTCTATCCCTCTAACTATTTTCTTAGCATCAGGGCTTAATTGAAATAGGAGTTCTCCAAAACTCATTTTCGTACTGTTAAGGTGAAGAAAAGAAGTGATTTACTATAGAGTGTATTACACTTATTTGTATAATTAGCACGACGTTTCGAACCTCCATGGTTCATTCTCAAGTGAACAGATCTTACAATACTAGTTGATTTTATACCCGCATTAGGTCAGGTGATAATACAATGAAGGTGAAAACATGGGGGGATACATAAGGGATAAACATAGGGGCTGCAGAAGGCTTATTGGCCCATACGAGGCATCTCCTATCTAAACACAAAGATAGGTATATATATATATACCTAAGATAGGTATAGGTATATATAGGTATATATATATATACCTAAGATAGGTATAGGTATATATAGGTATATATATATATACCTAAGATAGGTATAGGTATATATAGGTATATATATATATATATATATATATATATATATATATATATATATATATATATATATACCTATATATATACCTATATATATATATATACATATAAAATGTGTGTGTGTGTGTGTGTGTGTGACTTATACTTAATTTGTCAGTGATGATATTAACTCAGATTATAATATTTGGTGAGAGCTTAGTTTAGTTTATTTATTATGCACCCCATACCCATCTTGTGGGCGGTAGTGGAAAGGGTTACAGAGGCACATAAGAGCTCAGGGACTGAACCCCACAATTCATTTAGCTAAGCAAGTTACAATCTTGATGAGCTAGTTACAAAATTCAGTATAAGTCGCGCACAGAGCTAGTTTTCCATAGTCGGAGACAGAAAGATTGACAGATATATCGAAGTACTCTTAAGCCAACTATTGACCTTCCTCAAGATGAAATTCACAACAGCTGCCTAACTCCTGGGTACCTGTTTACTGCTAGATAAACGGGCATTAGGTGAAAGGAAAGTTTCCCATAAGCTTGTGTCCTGCTGCTGGAATTGAACGCGAGACATTTCAGGAGTGACCCGCCAACTGTGCTGACCGCTGGCTGCTGCAGTAAGGTAGGTGTGATGGTTTTGGATTCTGCTGTGATGTTGAGATTTATTTCTTAATATTGAACAGTAGTACATCGTCACGCATATTTGGTTGTTTCATGACGCTAATTTCTGTCTCAGGAGTATTGTATTTATGCTCAAAATTATAATTAAATTAAGATATATTAGCGTTTCTGTGATCTTTCTCTTATATCCCAGTTAAGATGACTTGGTTTTAAAACAGTGAAGTGAATAAAAACAGAACAGGAAACTACACTGTACACAGTGTACCTCCCATATGTCACTATGTACGTGCAGAAATGCACGTACTTGTCAATACCTATTACATGTCAGTACGTATATGTCATAACAGGTTTTGTTCGTGTGTTGGAGTGGGAGATTCTTGCGGTCGCGACATGTGTGGAGTGACAGGCTGGGGAAGTGATGGCTGGGAGGTGCGGGTAGGAGGTGGGTGCCGCGTGGGATCGGGTGAAGGACGGGAAACCCTTTGTCTCGAACCCATTGTTGATGTGACGACTTATATTGAATTTTGTAACTAGCTCATCAAGATTGTAACTTGCTTAGCTAAATGAATTGTGGGGTTCAGTCCCTGAGCCCATTATGTACCTCTGTAACCCTTTCCACTACTGCCCACAAGATGGGTATGGGGTGTATAATAAATGAATTAAACTAACTCTATGAGGTCTGATAAAGACCTTTTGTGCCCTCTGTAATGCTTTTGCGTTACCGCTCACAGGATGAGTATGGGGTGCACAATAAACTAGCCGCCTTCGGCGGCAACAATCAATCATTCTAGTCCCCGAATTCTTAGCTCTGAAGTCAGGTCTTCGAGCACTTCAAAACTTAAATTCAAAAATATTAGGAATAACATAACATCTGTTATTGTATAAATTAGCCTAATATAATTTGTGCAGACATAAAGAGTTCTAGAGTCAACTTTGTGAATACCTCCCTACATACACTACATATTTACCTAACTGCCTAACTCTCATGGTTCAGACGAGGCAGCTACTGCTGCATGAAACAAAAACGGAGTCGAACTACTGTAATGTATCCCAACATCTCATATTAAAGCCACATTACTAAAAATCATGTCCGACTGAATACCAATTCAGTCGGACATGAATAGCAACGCTCAAAGGGCAGAAAGCATGAGCATTAGAAGTTACGATCTCTCTACAACTGAGAACTATACATGCGGACGGCACAAAACGTTCACCAGGCAATACTCGCCAAATTGTGCTTGCGGGGGTTGAGCTTTGGTTGGTTGGTTGGTTGGTCCCGCCTCTCAACTGTCAGTCAACTGGTGTACAGGTTCCTGAGCCTACTGGGCTCTATCATATCTACATTTAAAACTGTGTATGGAGTCAGCCTCCACCACATCACTGCCTAATGCATTCCATTTGTTAACTACTCTGACACTGAAACAATTGTTGTAGTCTGGTGGCATTCCTCTGAATCTTCTCTAACTTTGTCTTGTGTTTAACTAGATATGGACTCCAGGCTGGAGCTGCATACTGACATAAGTAGTGTGATATAGTTATTGCCTGAATAAAACTGGAATATCGTTACGTACAATTGCATGGCAGGTAAGTGCACATAATGGACCACTCAACACTGAACGCACCAACTGTAAACTGTTTAAAAGAATAAAGGCACTCCAATACTAAGCCCTTACATCTTAATGCCCAAATGACTGCAGAGCATGACTTCTTAATGACTTCAGGGCAAATGGTATCAGATATTTGGAGCTTTGTAATTACTCCATTTGCTGAAGGATATTATTATACATCCTCATAGCCCACCAAAAGCTTTCTAGTACAGGCTAGTAAGACTACTCTCATCCACTGTAGGCAGGCCTATGACAAACCGGCTTGCGAGATATAGAGTAGACTTTACACCAGTATATTGGTGTCTGTCTAGGCTTATTAATATCCTCCCCCCACACTATATATATATATATATATATATATATATATATATATATTAGGGGTACCACCTCTGGTGCAATTGCAGGGACCCACATCATCGAAGAAGAAAACAAAGAGCATTCAGAAAAGATCTTGTGGATTCTCACTGAATACTTTATTCTTTTCATCTCCTACACCACTCCCATTATTTTTTGTATATAATATATATATATATATATATATATATATATATATATATATATATATATATATATATATATATATATATAATAATAATAATAATAATAATAATAATAATAATAATTACTAGATGGGGGTACTGGACGGTAAATAAAACCTTCACGAGAGTGCAAATTGCTAATACTATATTTTGGATAAAACTGAAATGACAGGAAGTATTTAGTGAATGCTTTTGGTGCGTTTGAACACTCGTGTACCTTGCGGGACTGCCTGGGGGGCTTCTCGCACCTCAAGGTTACCGCTTATTACCTCAAGGTTCCGTAATTAGTATTGCTAGCCTTCAACCCTCCCCAACCCCGGCCCCACATACAAGGGGGGTTAACCTGCCCCTACACTGTATGTCAGCCGGGGTTAGCGACACCTAAGACTGACTATTATAAACTCGTCCTAAAATGAATATGGATTATAGGCTTGACTGATAAAATACTGGTGCGTTAGGTTCTGTACCGGAGCCTCTGGTACTGTACCGGTGCCTCTGGTACTGTACCGGTGCCTCTGGTACTGTACCGGTTCTTCGGAGCATACCATCATGTAGAAGATCTCTCCCCATCCCCTTTCATCTCTCTCTCTTCCTCCCATCTCATTTCCTCCCTTATCCACTCTCATCTCTCCCTTACCTCTTTCTCATCTCTTCCATCCCCCCCCCTCTTATCTCTCCCTGACCCTCTCATGTCTCATTCTCCCTATCAACCCCCCCTCCCTCATCTTCATCTCTAATTTCTCCCTTCTCATCTCCTTCCCCCTCTCACCTCACCTTCTCTACTGTATTTTTTGTCTCATACCTCTTCCCCTCGACCCATCTTTTCCTCCTCCTCCTCCGCCTTTGTGTCTGGGTGTGAGCTGGTAGGTTGTGAGTCATATTTCCGAGAGTAGCTTTCATGAAATTTCCGGCAACTGCAATTCTTTTAACTCGTATGA